CCACTTCACCTTCAGGAACTTGTTCTTAGAACACAGACACCGGATCATCATTATCAGACACAATGGGGATCCAGAACAAACGGGCCACTTTCCCGTTTGGAATATTGTCATTTCCCCAGACAGCTGCCAACTCCTGTTCAGAACACATTCAGCACTTTAATTACCGCACTGCTATTACTGGGCTTACTCCAGACCGCTGGACAGAACACAGGCGAGGCAATGCAGTTTATTTTAATCCGCGGGTATTGTACATTTTCCTCTCTCCTCTGTACCCTCCACCCCTTGCTTTGCTGTGCCTTTTGCAAAAACACACCCACTTACCCACCCAAAATCATTTTAATGTGCTTTGGCCTTTGTAATTCTTGGTATGGAGACCCCAAAGGGAACAATTCCCCTCCCGCTTGGAGGACCTAACAATTGGGAATCGATCCGTTTGTGCCAAGGTTGGGGATCTGTAACTTTAAGAGCAGCGAGATCACAGGCCATGTGCTCGGTGCGAAACAAAAGCAATAACAAAGAGAGCGGAGGAAGCCTCGTCCTCCGGCCTGCCCCAGCCAAAACGGAAAAACAACGGGAAGGACAAGCAAAAGGAGCACACACAAAGCCCCAATCCTACCTCCTGGTAGCAGATCCCAAGGAGGAACCCCCCCACACACGAAAGTCCCGCAGAAAGAAATCAACCTCCTCGCCGCTATCAGACAAAGGCATCAACAACATCGGAAAGGAGCAGCACGTGTCACTGAAGCAGGAGAGGCTGCCCTCCTCCTCCTCCTCCTCCCCCCTGCCTCAGCTGAACTCCCAGCGAGCCAGCACCACTTACCTCGGAGTCACAGTCGCCTCTTCCTTAGCCAGGAGGAAAAAAGGCAGAGGAAACCGGGCCTTTGAGGGGCTTAGGGGCTATTTCGCTATGAGGCACAAGGAAGGTGGCGCTCACCTTCTGCAAGGAAGGGGAGAGGACGACCTTAGTTGCACACACACACACCCCGTCGCTGCAGGTGCAACACACCATCAAAGGCGAGGAAATGCCCCGGGCTGTGTTGGTGTTGGAGGGAAGCCGCAGTTTGCAATACTGGCCCACCCATGCCTCCCCACCCCCCGGAATTGCCGAGCAGCACCCGGACTGGCTTTTTATTTATTTAGTGTGGCTTAAGAGGACTTGATCCCCCGAAGCTTTGCAGCTCAACTGTCCAAGCTGCACGACCACCACCCCCTTCTTCTCTTTCTCTCCTCCCACCCCATGCATCGCCAGCTTGCGGCTGAATGCATGCAATCACACCCCTCCGCCCCCGGGACCTACCTGCTCCGCTGGCTGCTCGGGGTGCAAATGCAGCTAAATCACACACACCCCTCTTCTTCTTTTTTGTCTGTTCGTGGGCGCCTGCTCTGGGCTCTGGGCCCGCGCCCCCTCCCCCGCCGCCGCGGCTGTTTCCGGTCGCTTCTTTTGTTTTCTTCTACGCTCGGGGCGAGCGGCGACCCTCCCTGAGCTCCCAGCTGAGCCGGGCGAGGTAGAAAGAGGGTGCCCCTGGCCCCAGGGTCTCTGGCCCTTTAAGAACCGCCCGCGCCGCCAGGGTGTAACAAACGGCGCATTTTATTCACAACATTCGGAGCTGGGAAAGAAGAGAGAGGGAAGAAGAGCGCGCACGCGCGCCGGCCTCCAGCAAGCCGAGGGCGGGAGCGCGGGCCCGGGTTATGGACACGTGACCAGGCGCGCCGCCGCGCCTCCCTCCCCAGCCACAGGCCATCTTTGCGCAGCCGCGCTGCTGTCGCCGGAATCAGCTGCACGCGGCAGCAGCGGGACTTGCAGCTTGAAGAGGAGGTGTTAGGATGGAGCCATGGCAACTGGGGACGGAGCCTGGAACACGTTTGGGATACGGTGTGCCCAAGGTGGGGGCGGGGGCCAGGGAGAGCAGAGCAAGGAAATTCACGGTGCAACTTTATAATAAAGAAAGGAAAGGCGGTGGGACAGGGGTGGACTTTGGTAATATGGCGAGGAACTGTGGCCCACAAAAGTTTACACCACGATAAATTTCCTAGTCTTCTAAGATGCCACAAGACTGTTATACTTCCATAAGAGGCACAGTGCTCATTATCAACCACGCACTAGAGCAGCAAGCTCTAAAGATCGCAGCTCCTAGGGAATCATTGCATTGGCAATCTGCTACCTCGATTTCTTTGAAGCAAAAAAAGAACAGCAGCAACAAGGTAAGGTGTTACAACTCGGGTAGTCTGAGAAAGAGGAGGAGAACCAGGAGGGATCAGTTGCAGAAACAGTGCATGCAGCCGTCAGATTGTTTTCTGATATAATGTTCCTCTGAGCAAGTGTAGTAAGCCTCCCTCACAATAAAGATGCTAGTTATCCTGGCAGGCCAGAAAGCATTGTTTCCCAGTGGCCCAAGTACTTTTTTTTTAGCAGCAAGAACCCATTCTTACCTAGGCTTCGTTGGTACCCTTTGGGCTTTGTCCCCCCCCCCCCCCCAGCCAATTGCTTATACCTAATGGGCTGAGCCAGCCCCAATCTACACAACAACACAATACATGTCTGGGGACAAGAGGGTGCACTTCAGCATTAGAGCTGAAACAATTCTCAGAGGGGTTGTCATGTTAGTTTGCTGCAGCAAAAGCAAATATTTTTATGGCTCCATAAAGACTTCTAAGAAAATGTCATGGCATAACGATTTGTGAGCTGAAATTGACATATTATGCATAAAGTGTAATCCTCAGTTGCAGGTGTATGCCCACATGCTTGTAAGGAGGAAGAATTAAGCAGCGGGGTCAGGAGGAGATGAAATGCAAGAAATATTGATAGTGGTACTTCAATTAGAAGGAGGATTGATGCAAAATAAGCACAGTGCTGTTAAAAGAGATGTGATATGTGGTGAAAAAAAAATCACCTTGACAGTGCTGATACACTACATGGGTACACTACACAGTGGGTGACATCCAGCAGTTGTTACACATAAGGGTAGGTCCGCTGATTGATGAGTACTACTTAGATATCACTCAGTGATTGTTGCCTACAAGCACCCCAGCAGGATGCTCCTCTTTTGCAATAGTAGAAAGGAGCACCCCAGATTTTATTTGCTGCTGAAAGGAAAGCAACCACTTTGCAAGTATACTTGGTAGGCAGCACACATATTTGCATACTTGAGAGTAAGCTCACTAACTTTGCTTATTTTTCAGTAAACACATGGGATTTGGCTTAATAAAATTTGAGCAGAGGGTGTGTGTTTTTTAAGCCCTCTTATTTGAGAAATCAGATTAACAAGGGTGACTTGACAGTCCTTTTCATTTGCTCTTAGTATTACACCCACTTCTCTAGGGCAGTAAAACTAGCATACATGAGGCAGGAGAAAAGTTGAAAAGGTTGGTGAAGGGTGGCAAAACAGCATTAGGTTACTTTAAAGGGGGGGGCAACCAATGGAACTTCTAGCAATGTAATGCAAATACGAGACAATATACATACAGTGGTTATGTACTTAATACATTACGGAGGTCCGTTCTTAACCTGAAACTGTTCTTAACCTGAGGTACCACTTTAGCTAATGGGGCATCCCACTGTTGCCGCTGCACAATTTCTGTTCTCATCCTGGGGCAAAGTTCTTATCCCGAGGTACTACTTCTGGGTTAGCGGAGTCTGTAATCCAAAGTGTGTATCCCGAGGTGTTTGTAACCCGAGGTACCACTGTATCTGCATGGCATGCACGTACAGGGTAGCAAATACACATTTGCTGCCACATGGTACAAAGCAGCTCCAAGATAGAATGCTTGCATTCTTGACACTAGCACTATTCATCACAATCTGGGACAACTTGAATATTTACTAAGGTGTTCAAGGAGACTGAACACTAAGAAACTATGCACAGCATTGCAAGCCTAGTCCCTACTGGTTACTTTTAAGAACAAGCCGAATAGCTTACAAAACATCAATCAATATGGTATGATCTCACTTTGCAAACCAATCTAATGGTGCAAGTTTTCTGCAGTGAGAAATTCTACATAATTATATATTGAAAAACTTTGTACAGCAGAAAGCTTGTTGCTGTTGTAAGGGTCCCCCAAATCAAGAACAAAAATAAGTGATGTGGTTTATGTATTATACGCTTTCCTATGGTCAGAAGATAGAAAACCATGTTTTGCATTGAGCAAAGATGTTAATTTGAGAACATAAGAAATTATAAAGTGCCCAGGGTTAAAAAGCTGTATGTTGGTATAAAATGGTTAGTGTCAGGATAAAACATAACTGTGATACATTGGGTGCTATTCCACTATGTTTTACTTGGAGTAGAGCTATTGAAATTAATGAACTTAACTTATTCATGTTCATTTATTTTAATGGGTGTACTCTGAACAAAAATCCATTATATTATACTAGACACACAATAGACCTGCAATCTCCCCCCCCCCCTCACACACACACACACACACACCAAAAAAAAAAAACCACCACAAAATCCCTGCATGTATTTTGGAAGTCACGCTGGTCAGCATTGAGTACTTCTGCCAAGTTACCTCTATGGCTTGTTTATAATGGTGCCTCTCACGGACAAACCAGTCACAATGTTAAATGTGTTTAGATTTGCTTTTAATTATTTGTAGAGCGGTCACAGGGTGGGGATGTCCGTCAGGAATGGGACTGCAATGCAAGGATGGGAAAGTCTTTAACTCTCCCCCCCATGAGGTGCCACTGAAACTCATCCCATTATACAGTGAGGAAGCTACCCATGAAAAAGCTCACACCCTGGGGCCAAGAGTAGCTTCAGGGTCTCAGTCCTGGGGGAGGAAGTGTTTAGCTCTCCTCCTTGTACCCCACAGTCTTCCAGCTCTGATCAGAGCCACCTACCTAATATTAAAAGGACAAAAACCAGGCACATTAAATGCTGCCACATATCCAGTGTAATGCCTAGCTTGGCCCTCAAAATTTTCCACCCAGCAATAGAACATTCTGACTTACTTAACAAGTGGCAGTTTGAACTCGTTTTTGAAAAGTTCCTAACCCTACCACATCTTTTTATGTAACTGTGCGAAGGGGCCCAAGAAGGAAGAAGCCAGACGACAAGAGGTCATGGATGTGTTTCAGAGTTTGTGGTAATTTCCCCCTCATTAATTTCCTCTTAATTAAATGTGAATGCTGGTATGCAGCAAGATTTATAAGCGTAGAGGAGTTTTCAGTGTTCTTTTAGCATTTTCAAATAAACAAGTATGATCTGGTATAATATGCCTAGGGACATTCATGTGTACATCGTTTCTTGCCTGTCTGGGAACCCTCCCCACTTTTATCCCCAAATTTACTGGGGGAATGTGGGGGAGAGGGGTGAAAAGAAAGCCTGTGGTAAGGACCATAGCCACCATTAGCCAGGGTGAGGCAGCCCAACACAGGCAGAAGATTTGGGAGTAATAAAAAAGGGGGGTAGCAAATTGTCAATTCCTCTGGTTCACAGCCAACAAAACTGTCCCATTCACACAAGGACATCTGCAAATGGAACTTGGTTGGCTACAGCTCTTAATTTACTGCATTTTTATCACCATGAGGTATGCCGTTTGGGATTTTCTGCCTCAGGTATCAAAATGTCTTGGGCTGACTCCAGCTGTGTCAGGCAGCCACCAGCACTGCTGCTTCTAGTACAGACGGTCTAGCAACCTCCCACTATTCAAACAGCAGGCTGTAAACAATTTAAGCTTGCCCTCACTAATCCCCTTCTGCTGCCCAGGAGCCAGAGTCTATGCCACCGCCTCCTCATTTTTCAAAGCAAGGCTAAGTCTATGCCACAAGTACCAAAGGGCAGCGACAGTGTTGGTTTTTAAAGCCAACAGGGCTGGGGGACCATATTCAGCTCAAGGGGTGCATTCCCTTGCGTGGATAAGACCAGGGACAACAGCAGACAGAACAGTGGAAGCAGTGCCTTTGTACAGTAGGCGACACTGCAGCCACACAAGAACCAGAAGTCTCTATACATACTTCAGTCTTTCATCCAGGCAAGCAAGAGGAATCAAGAGTTCAAGGACACATTCCAACCAGGCAAAAGCATTCAAGAAGGATGTAGAGCAGGGCTGGAGAGGGTATGGGGTGGGGGCAGAGAGAGATCCCTGGAGGGCCACATTCAATCCCTGCGCCTGAGCTTCCCCATGCCTGCCTTTAGAATAAGCTAGACACACATCCATATGAATTCTCTCTTTGTTGCAGGAGCAATGCTGCTCATCAGAATCTGTAAAAATAGGAGGAAGGGGGGGGGGTTTGCCTTTGAGAAAACAAATGTGGCGTTGAGGTGTCTTAGCAACTAAGACGTTCATTTTGTTCAACCAAAAAGGATTCTTCTTAGCAAAACAAGAAGGGAAGTCAAATCTAAGAAACCTACACCTAGTTGTTACAGAGGTGGTCAACTTCAGACAGGAGGTTGGAGTTTACATGGGCAAATTGGCTATTGGGGTCTGGGAAGCTCCCTGCATATAGAAAATTTGGTATCGGGAAGATGTCTCTCTCATCTAGGCAGCTCACAACTAGAAGTCTGAAATGGTACATACCAGACAGGTCTAGCACCTCTGTGAGAAATACAACAGTGTTGCAAGCAGAGTTGAAGCAGAATCTTAGGCATATATCCTGCATACTCTACTTCCATTGTGTGCACTGAAGACAACCAGGAATCTCCAAAAGGGGTGTTGCCCCCCCTTAAAACTGCCATACAATATGATCAAATTTCCCCCCATGACCATTCAGAAATATGGAGAGGACGAGAGATCTCCCACAATCACTATTTTTATTCTTGCTGCACTCCCCATAGGATGAATAGGCAAGATCTGTTAGGGGAGGGAGTTATTTAAATGTTATGCAATTGAGTGACTTCAAAAATTCATCAAAACATAAAAGCCGCAGTTGTCTCCCAACAGGACAGATAACTGAAAATGCAATATATACCTTGGGTAGGCCAAGGTTTTGAAAACGGTATAAGTGCAATTTATTCAGAACAAAAGGCTAAACTAATTGTAAATAATGTGGTGACGGAAGAATTTAGGATAGAAAAAGGGACAAGACAAGGTTGCCCAATTTCCCCATTGCTTTTTATATCGGTCCTGGAGGTTCTGCTGAACATGATTAGAAGGGACCGGTTGGTTAAAGGTATACAGGTCGGAGCCAAACAGTACAAATTGAGAGCATTTGCAGATGACTTAGTATTGACGTTACAGGAGCCAGAATCTAGTACCAAAAGAGTTTTAGAACTGATTCAAGAATTTGGTCAAGTTGCAGGATTTAAGTTGAATAAGTTAAAGACCAAGGTTTTAGAGAAAAATTTAACACCAATGGAGAGAGAGAGGTTTCAGAATGAGACAGGTTTAACAGTGGTTAAGAAAGTTAAATACTTGGGGATTAACATGACAGCAAAAAATGGGAATTTATTTAAAGATAACTATGAAAAATGCTGGGCTGAAGTGAAAAAAAGATTTAGAAATTTGGTCAAATTTGAAGCTTTCACTGCTGGGCCATATTGCTGCGGTAAAAATGAATGTATTGCCTAGAATGTTGTTTTTGTTTCAAACACTGCAAATTGTGGACAAAATGGACTGTTTCAAGAGGTGGCAGAGAGATATTTCTAAATTTGTCTGGCAGGGCAAGAAGCCTAGAATAAAATTTAAAATATTAACAGATGCAAAGGAACGAGGTGGATTTGCCCTGCCAGACTTTAAACTTTACTATGAATCAGCAGCTTTTTGCTGGTTGAAAGAATGGTTGCTTCTTGAAAACACTGACATTTTGGATCTAGAAGGTTTTAACAATGTATTTGGATGGCATGCATATCTGTGGTATGATAAGGTCAAAGCACATAAAGCATTTAAAAATCACATTGTCAGGAAAGCATTGTTTAATGTCTGGATAAGATACAAGGACTTATTGGAAAATAAAACTCCAAGGTGGCTGTCACCGATGGAAGCAAAAGCTCTGAAAAAGCTCAATATGGAGGCCAAATGGCCGAAATATTGGGAAATTTTGGAACAAGACGGAGATAGACTGAAATTGCAGAGTTTTGAGAAATTAAAAAACAAAGTGCGAGATTGGCTTCATTATTATCAGATAATGGAGGCATATAAGTTGGATAAGAAAATTGGTTTCCAGGTGGAAAAATCAAAATTAGAAACAGAACTATTAGAACCCAAAACTAAGATTTTGTCAAAGATGTATAACTTGCTGTTGAAATGGAATACTCAGGATGAAATGGTGAAATCTGTTATGATTAAATGGGCACAAGATGTCGGACATAACATAATGATGGCTGACTGGGAACAGTTATGGACCACAGGTATGAAGTTTACGGCATGTAATGCCTTAAGAGAGAATATTATGAAAATGATATACAGGTGGTACATGACCCCAGTCAAGCTCGCAAAAAATTATCATTTGCCTGATAACAAATGTTGGAAATGTAAAGAAACTGAAGGTACATTCTTTCACCTTTGGTGGACGTGCCCAAGGATTAAGGCTTTCTGGGAAATGATATACAATGAACTGAAAAAGGTATTTAAATATACCTTCTTGAAAAAACCAGAGGCCTTTCTCCTAGGCATAGTCGGTCAATTGGTGCCAAAGAAGGATAGAACTTTTTTCATGTATGCCACAACAGCAGCAAGAATACTCATTGCAAAGTATTGGAAGACACAAGATCTACCCACTCTGGAAGAATGGCAGATGAAGTTGATGGACTATATGGAACTGGCAGAAATGACTGGCAGAATCCGAGACCAGGGAGAAGAGTCGGTGGAAGAAGATTGGAAGAAGTTCAAAGATTATCTACAGAAATATTGTAAAATTAATGAATGTTAGAACGATGTTGGATAGAAATTAAGTGGTTTCCAGCTGTAATGCTTTAAGGGAATATGAAAAATGGGTTGTTAAGAGGTAAAAATCTAATGTTACTATTTTAAGACCAAAGATTAGGACAAATAAAGAGGGTAAGGATTTGCTGAACCAACAAACTGAACTGGAATACAGAAAAGGGAGGTATGAGGAGGTCCGGGAAACAAGCTAAGGAAAAATAAGCAATGGAAAAATTGAGTGGTTTTTAATTATTTTTATTTTGTATTTTCTTTTTCTTTTTCATTTTCTATTGTAATATTTAAAAAAATCTTAATAAATATCTTATAAAAAAGAAAAAAAAAGAAAATGCAATATATACTTTTAAAAAGAGCGATTAATGTATTACTTTGCATGATTTGGAGAAGAGGAAGTGAAAGAAGACTTAGGAACATATTAGATGTCGGCTTCTGTCAGCTTCTTAAGAACAACCTAATTTCACTAGAACATATAGATAGTGTGTACCCTTCTACTTTGTGAGCTATGGAAGAAGACAGCCACTACTACTTAAAATGTATATAGCACTTTTCATAAGAATTTAAAGTGTTTCACATCATTGTATTAATACTTGGAGCAGCTGGGTGAAAAAGGCCAGCCTTACTGCCCATATCTTACTAATGCAAGCCTTGGCTAAGGAAAGTGGCTTGCATCCTACACACAAGATGATGCACGGAGATACTTAAACAAAAAAATTAATGCAGTAAGTTCCTGGTTATAATAGCTAATTAACATCATGAGCATTTCATCTCCAACACCACTCATGTGGTTTGTTGGTTTTGTAGAAAGTATTTCCATTTGTTTGATATGTTTTGATAACCACAACAGTGAATGGCTTGTGAGGAGAGTTCCCACAGATTTGCTTTGTTTTATTTTTAGAAATGTTCTCCTAGAACATACACTGATAACAAGGAAACAGGTGGCCACATTCCACATAAAATGGGCTCAACTATGAATATAGCCTAGTTCAGGCTTGGCACTAAACCATGATGTAACATTAAAAGTCTCTCTTCCTTCAGTAGGGTCGCAAAGGGTTCAGAAGCCTGTTTCAAACCAGAGTTTGGATTTAGATCCAAATCTTGAACTATGGTCAATCTTAACTGCTGTCAGTTGGAAAAAGCCTGCTTCTTAAACTATGGATTGACGTTGGCTTACTTCATAGCTAAGATCATGGATAGGCAAACTAAGACCCGGGGGCCGGATCCAGCCCAATCGCCTTCAAAATCCAGTCTGTGGACGGTCCAGGAATCTGTGTGTTTTTACATGAGTAGAATGTGCCATTTTATTTCAAATGCATGTCTGGGTTAGTTGTGGGGCATAGGAATTCGTTCAATCCCCCCCCCAAATATAGTCCAGCCTGCCACATGGTCTGAGGGACAGTAGACCAGCCCCCTGCTGAAAAGGTTTGCTGACCCCTGGGTAAGAGTAACCAACTTTGCCATGTTCAGATGACACAGCAAGCTCTGGAGAATCTAAATGGGAAGTACAAGTTTCTGAACTTATCCTCATGGGAAAAGGAAGAGTGTGCAAGTCCAAAGCTTGCCTAGACTCAGTGTCACCGAAAGCTGAGGATTCTCCTGAAGACCTTTTTTATGCCAACAGGCTCATGCAGCTGATTACATTTTTTTCAATAGCCAGTCATTTTAATGCCCATTTTACAGCGTTTTTCACTGTGTTTTATTGTACACCACAGTGATATTTCGTATGTGTTGGCAGTATATCAATATGTTTGAAAATATAAATAAATATTAGGGACAGCAATGTTAACAGCACACCACGCAGCAAAAGTGGGTATCATGGATTTTTACCTAAATAACAATAATTACAGAGATATGGCCCGTTCCCTCTGAGCAACTTGGAAAATATTGTCCCTAAAAGCTAGCACTTAACTACAGAAAGGGTGCGACTCACTTGACGTTCACTACTGTCCGACCTAAGCAAGGTTGTCACCTGGCCAGTTTGAGACCGCGAGACAGAGTATGGAAAGAATTGCAATGCTAGGGGCAGTACCTGCCACAGATGGAGATGATACCAAGGTGTATGAACTACAGAAGTAACAATATTGAGACTATTTCTAAATATGTAAATGCCAGTACATAAGGACAGAAGAAAACACTTCAGTACCAACAGCCAGCTTACGAAGCTATTCATAGGAAAAGCTTTCAGTCATTATCATCTGTGCAGGAGCTGTAACACCTTCGTTTTTGCGGACACCTTTTCACCTATCACAAAAAAGAAGCAAACTCACTTTTGAACCCCAATATGCTTAAACATGACTGTTAAACAGACTTATTATTTCAATCCTGCTATTGTACAAAAGTGTATTCTAAGTAGCTTACAAAACAAAGACTATGATATATCTAGATTAAATACAAAAGCCTGAAAAAGACCAAAGTACAAAATCAGCTATTAACAACTAAGGCATTAAATAACAAAAGACAGACAGCAAACTTCAGACAGTCTGGATCCTGGTGGTGTGATAACTGGGCAAAATGCACATTTGGATGGGGTCCTGCTCTTTCCTGAAAGAGCAGGTTTCTGGGTGCTCCCAAATCCACCTAGTTACTGACCTCAGTAACTAGGAGTGCCTTTTATCACCTTTGATTGATAAAACAGCTATGGCCATTTCTGGACCATGGCAGCCTACCACTGTCATCCATGCACTGATAACCTCCTGGCTGGATTACTGCAATGCTGGATTACTACCATGGCAGCCTACCACTGTCATCCATGCACTGATAACCTCCTGGCTGGATTACTGCAATGCTGGATTACTACCATGGCAGCCTACCACTGTCATCCATGCACTGATAACCTCCTGGCTGGATTACTGCAATGCTGGATTACTACCATGGCAGCCTACCACTGTCATCCATGCACTGATAACCTCCTGGCTGGATTACTGCAATGCACTGTGGGGGGGGCAGCCCTTGAGGTTGGTCCAGAAGCTGCAGCTAGTGCAAAATGCAGCAGCTTGACTGTTCACTTGGGCAAGAGGTTGTCACCATACTACCCAACTCTTGAAAGATTTGCACAGGCTGCCAATTAGCTTCTGGGTCAAGTTCAAGGTGTTGGTTTTGATGTACAAAGCCCTACATAGCCTAGGACCAGGATACCTGAAATATCATCTCACCACTTATGTGCCCAATAGATCACTGTGCTCTGCAAGCAGGAGCCTCCTGCAGATACCATCTTATCAAGAGGTCCATTCTGCATAATATAGGATTATTATGCCTTTCGTTTTGTGGCAACTTCCCTTTGGACTTCCCTCCCCTTGAGGAATATGATACAATTACAATCTCTGTTGTCTTTTTCTAGTGCCTACTGAAGACTTTCCTCTTGCAACAAATATTTTAAGCCAAGATCTTCCCCAGTCTTCATCTGTACTGGAATAGTTTGGATTCCTTTGGGAGAATGGTTGGGATATAACAACATAAATAAATAAAATAACCCCAGAAAACTGCATACAGCAATCAGTTTACAAAGCTGGAGTACATACTCAGCCTCCCTTAACAAAAAACACAACTAGTCTACACACAGCAATGGGAACTCTCCTTATGTCCTTTTACGCAGCATTCATGATTTTTGGGGGCTCATCACAGTATTGGCGTGGTTTAAACTTGGTCCCAAATTCAGTACTATTTGTGCCCGCAGAAATTTTGGGGTGATCATACTGCTTAGTTTCCAATTGGAAAGCTTCCTGCTGAATTCCTATAATTTTTCATACTACAGATGTTTCAGGGTTGGGTGGTTTTTTGGGGGGTGGGGGGAGGTTATCCACATTTGTTGCACTATAGCTCAATAAGTGTTCCCCTTCCAGATGCCAATAATGTGTAACATTAGGGAAACATCACAGAATAAAGTTGAACAATGTATGGACAGTCTAGTATAAACCTACAGTTAAAGCACTATTGTTGCACAATACGCCCTCAAAAAACCCACCAAACCCACAGTGCCAGACAAGCAGATTTTTCTTAAGAGGATAAGAAGTGCCTTGCTAGATCAAATCAAGGTCTACCTAGACTAGCATTCTTTGCAAGCATCCTGGCAATCAGGCACTAGCTGATCCACCAAAGGAAACCAGATCCATCTTCCATGCCAATCATAGAATTGTAGAGTTGGAAGGGACCCTAAGGATCATCGAGTCTAGGAATGGCCAAACTTGGCCTTCCAGATATTTTGAGACTACAACTCCCATCATCCCTACCTAACAGGACCAGTGGTCAGGGATGATGGGAACTGTAGTCCCAGAACATCTAGAGGGTGAAGTTTGGCCATGCCTGATCTAGTCCAACCCCCTGCAATGCAGGAATATGCATCTGTCCCATACAGGGATTGAACCTGCAACCTTGGAGTTATTAGCACCATGCTCTGACCAACTGAGCTATCCAGCATCCTAATATATATATCAGTTTTCAAGAATCCACTGTTAACGAACTGAGCAGACCCCCCTCTTCCCATAGCAATTATACAAACACTCTGTAAAGCAAGAATATGCATCTCAGTTTCCTCAGCAGCTAGAAATAGAAGTCACTCGGTTCTAACTTTCCCTGAACACAACCTCCTTAGGAGACCATCTGCTGCGGCAGACATGTGCCACTTCCCATGACCCAGGTATAAGGCCAGTTCACCAAAAGGATTAGACTGTTTGGATTCCATCAGCATTTCTTAAGAATTCTCTGATCTAACATGGTTTCTATTTAAGCTCTGAGTTCACAGAGGAAATGTTCAGCCCAATCTCTCCCTTACTTCAGCAAAAAACAATTTATACCAGAACCTCTCCATGGTCAAAAATATGTTATTGCTCCTAATTAAATGCGGGTGGTGGGAAATTATTTTTGTTTTTGCCCTCAAACATGGAGGTCTCCTCCTCCTGTTCCTATGTGTCATGCAAGTCAACATTTATCCAATGCATTTTATTGCTTGATAAGAAATTATTATTATTATTATTTATACCGCACCCATCTGGCTGGGCTTCCTCAGCCACTCTGGGCGGCTTCCAACAAAATATTAAAATACAGTAATCCATCAAACATTAAAAGCTTCCCTAAACAGGGCTGCCTTCAGATGTCTTCTAAAAGTCTGGTAGTTGTTATTCTCTTTGATATCTGGTGGGAGGGCGTTCCACAGGGCGGGTGCCACTACCAAGAAGGCCCTCTGCCTGGTTCCCTGTAACTTGGCTTCTCGCAGTGAGGGAACCGCAAGAAGGCCCTCGGCGCTGGACCTCAGTGTCCGGGTAGAACAATGGGGGTGGAGACGCTCCTTCAGGTATACTGGACCAAGGCCGTTTAGGGCTTTAAAGGTCTTTGAATTGTGCTCGGAAACGCTTGAAGACTTAGCAAGTCACTACATAGTGTGGGGACTATAAAAGGACAGCCAATTCTTGGGTTTTACATCAGAAGGACCTTCCAATAGATAACCTAGATGCTTTGTGGCAAGCAGAGTCCTTAAAGGAATACAGAAGAGGTACTCCAAGTTGGGCTGCATAAATTCTGTGCAGGCACAGGGAAACCTATGTGATACAGAGCACAAAATTCCAGCTTTTTAAAAAAATCGGTAAGTCAAAAGACAAACGTTGGGGACGGCAAGGATAGATTTGAAAAGGAGGTGGGGAAACCTAGCGTAAGAACAATTGAGAAGTTGATTGCTAGTTCCCTGTTCAAAACACATCTTAATCAGTAAATGTAACAAGCAAGGAAAGTTTATATGCCCCTATTAACATGTATCCCCATGACTGGGAGACTAAGCTCTTCAAGACTGACAGTGATTTGCTCCAATCAAAAATGTTCTTGCACAACTTGCATTAATTGTATGATGACTACAGATGACAATTACAAATAAGGAAGTGAGGGGAGGGGGTCCCATAAGCATTGGGCAGCTTCAAAGCATTCTCCTGGAGGTTTGGGTAAGTTCTAACTTGACATTTTTGCATGCCTCTTCAGTCTCCCATGAACAGGAGAAATGGGACAAATTAAACAAAATATAATGTAAATGCGCTCAATATTATTTTCCTTATGCAGGTTGCAGGGTTTGGGCTTTTTCTACATGAAAGCTGGGAAACCTTGCCACATAATTACTATTTTTTTAAGTGCACACAGCCTTCACATTTAAAAAGGAGAAAAGTGTAAACATTTATCCTGGAACTCTTGCAGTTCACTAGTTTAATAGAGGATCCTGCCTATGCCAAGTAGTTCTTATTCCAGCAAATCAGTGGGATGTGTCAGAATAACTAAAGGAAATCAGAAAACTGGCTTTCATTAGTCAAGGCCCAGTGCAAACAGGGTGGCATCTGCTGGTGTTATTTGCCAAGCACATGGGCTCACGGTAGCCAGCATATCTCAACAGCAACCATCCACGTTTCTAGGCTTCTTTAACCATCCCACACTCATGGCTCTTCCAACGGGTTCATAAAACGGGGCTAATCGAATCTCTCTTAAAAACTCCCTTCCACTTAATACCAAGAAATCCACTGTCTCATCCTGCACTGCACCCCCCTCTCTCGTTAGCAAGGCTTTGGGCTTTACTGCCCAATCAATTCCCTGCAGTGGGGCAGCATCTGTCACAGGCAAAGGGAACAAGGCAGCCTCAAGGAGCAAGCATTGCCCCTGCACAAGCCTCAGATTCTCTCCTCCTCCCCTCCCCTTGTTTGTTATTACACGTTGCCTGAAAATGGGAGCCATAAACCATGTCGTTCAGCAGCAGCTGCTGAAGGGAGCGTCACTTCTACCGCCGTTTTTTACAAGCCAGATTTAGTGCCCAATGAAAGGGGAGACTGTGCCATTTATCTTTTTATCAGACTTCAGCATTAAAGGGGTGGGGAATACCAAAGCAACAAGCTCCACCACCACCATCTCCAGCATTCCTCCTCGGCTAAAGCAAGTTGTGCTCTAACAAGTAGGGGACACGTAACCCCCTCCCCAGATCATCCACTGACAACCTAATGCCCGCCAGATGTTATGGACCACAGCCGTGCTGGCTGGGGCTGATGCAAGTTGGGATTCCAAAACATTTGGAGAGCACCAGGTTGGCAAATGCTGTAACTGATGAATGGAGTCATAAGCTATACATGGAATGGTGCATGGGGGTGAACCGTGAATCCAGACACTTCCTCCAATTGCATCTGGAATATTTAAATGTGAACTCTAAATATGCCACACCCCATCATTTTCTGTAGGTGGCCGGAGGGATCATATGAGTATGGTCTGCTCACATGAACTCAAGTTCATATGGCAAGGTTTGTGCACAGCGGGGTGGGTATATGAGCCAAAGGCTCACTCTCCACCAAGCCCCATCCCATGTACATAGCCAGACCATCTGCAACCCAACACCAACATGGACTATCAATACAGTTGCTCAGAGGATACAATACTACTCTGCTCTTCTCATAGGAACAGTGGGATACAAATGTAGCAAATAAATTAAGTTTAACCAGCCTTCCCAGACCTGGCAAAATACAGATATTTTGTACTACGACTCCAATAATCCACTGGCCACATGTGACTAAGGCTGATGAGACTTGTAGTCCAAAACTGGAGAGCACCAGGTGGGAAAAGACTGATCTACCTAATAGCGTAATATATTAAGGCTCTTCCTCCCACATCCTTTGTAGTCAGACACCTAGCAGCAAGGGGCTTCTCCAAACACTTGTATTATTAGCCCGTTGAGAAAGCACTTTCCTTTGACAAGTGCATATACCACACCTTCGCCCAGGTAATTTAAATAAGGCCAGAGCACAAAGGCTATTGTTGGCTACCTTCACATGTTCCCAAACTGCTGGAAAGCCAAACCTGGAGGGGCACAGCCAATGCAGCTAAGGAACAAACTGTGCCTGACTATTGGGAAAGAAGGGACAATGAAGTTGACATCATGGTACACAGCAACTATCACTAGATGGGAGGATGGGAGGGGAAGAAGGGAGTGCAGCGTAGGGGACAGTTTTCCTGGCACTTAAACTCACTGACACAGCATTGCTGTGGACATGCAAATAAGACTTAGGAGAGCTAGGCCCATAGGGACTGGGTACACATCCTGTACAGGATGTGATGTGTACATGCTGTACTGGCACATGCCAAATGAAGGGGAGAAACTCAAGATGAATGCACACTCACCTGCCAGCTCAAACCAGCCTTCTAGACAGGCAGGCCCTGAGAAAATACAGAGTGCATTTGCACAGACTATCTGAAATATTGAACGCCTTGCACAGCGCTGACATGACAAGTGTGCTAGCTTCTTTCCATATTGTGCCACATTTGTTGTGCATGGCAAAGTTCAGAAGGGACGTGGTCTCTCTCGGGACAGAAGAGGATGAAGAAGCTATGGTCCCTCCAGAGATTGTTGGACTCCCATCAGCCTCAGCCTGAATGGTCAATGGTCAAGGATTATGGAACTCGAGTCCAACAACCTCAGGAGAATCAAAGGTTGACCATCCCTGTGCCATAACCACTAAGCACTCTCCACAGCCCGCATTGTGGGTAAGGCTGAGTGTGGCGTATATGGCTGCCAACACTGAAAGGATGCAGTCTAGCATGAAAACAACAAAAACAACAAAAGCCACAGCTGTGCTGTTAAGAAGGAGCATTTCTGAAATATCCCTATCAAGCCGGTGCAACAGGAGGCTCAGCTCTGTTTGGCATTTCCTCCAAGAGGTCTCCTGTTAGGCTGTGCAGTAAAGTTCTCACAGCTCTTTCCATTCACTGCCTCTCCCATCAGGACTGGCAACAGAGATGAGAATTGCAGGCAATTCTATCAGGTGTCTCCTGGGAACTACGGTAAGTAACCTACTATCTTGAACCAGGCTGAAGCAAATCATTCCCCATTCAGTTACCTTGCCAGCAGTCGCCCCACAGTTGTTATAAATCATGCCTGGATTTCCCCTGTCCATTCCACAACCTCTCTGTTTCTTCCAACAAAGGCTTCCTTAAGGCTTTCCACAACTTCGGAAGACCGGTAGACACATATACACACAAGAAACCAAGAGAGGCCTGTTACACTTTTAAAGACCAACAACTTTATTGTGGTATAAACTTCTGTGGGCTGCAGTCCACTTCATTCAATGCATAAAGTTTTCTTTTTAAGGAGACAGAAAAATAAGAATTACTTTTTAAGCTAAAAACCAGGAGCAAACAATAACAAAAGGTCCAGATTCCGACTTTGATGGGTGGCATCCTGAAATCAAGCAGCCAAAGATGACATATAATAAAGCTCAGGGACAGGCAGTGGGCACTATTTGTATTTTAGCTTCTGCTATGAACCCAGTCTTATTATTTTAATTATGATGTGCCTAATTACCCACATAGCACTACAAAGCCACCAGAACCCAGAACACTCACCCTCTGAGTAGAGCTGACAAAGTGCAGAACTGCAGCTGTTTTCCCTATTTTGCTTGACTGGCAGTGGGGTCAAATGACAAAACATTTCTTCCTAAGTGCTCTATTACAGTAGTGTAAAGCACATTTGCACTAAGGTACTTGAGAGCAAAGCATAAATCTATTCCTCATCTCCACCTAGAGAGCCATAAAGGTATTGCTTGCCAACGGTCAGTACTTTCTGGGATGGATCTAGGGCCATGGCCAATCATTTGCTCCACGACATGGGGGTAACCGGCTGGTTTATCACCCCATGGCAATGAACAGTGGCAGCACATTGCTCTCATGTCATTTGATTGCTAGTCAGGAAAAAACAGCATCTCTGTTGAGCAAAGGCAATTGCCAAGTTGCCATGGGGCAACAGATTCCTACTGTGTTATGCAATAGAGCAATAGGGCTAGCCTTAGCAGGGGATTAATTCCTCAGGTAACGTCCCCATACTTTGTGGGCGTTACCTTAGCCTGGTATGTTGTGAGTGGGAAAGAATTCAGAACATGGTGGGTGTTGTGGGAGGGAGGTAGAATGCCATACAGACAGGTACAAAATATGAGCTGGTCTATGGTAGAGATGGAAAGGCCATCAATCAACAGATGCTAACAGATACACCAAGCAACTCCTGGTCCACGTTCCAGGCCATAACTTAACTGCTCATGTATTTTCACTGAAATAAATGCAGAATTAGTACTTCAAACAACAGATTCTACATCATGTATATCCCTGAAGAGTTATGATACAGGACTTGCTAAAATAAACCAGGTATTGTTAGACTACCACTCGCCTCAGCCTCAGGCAGCATGACCTATATAATCAGGGATGGTGGAGTTACAAGCCCCATTCTTGATCTAAACAAACAACAACAGGTTCAAGATAGGAAACCTTTTAGCACTTTCTTATGATCTGTATCTTTAGTATCACAGGGTGGATAAGAGGGGGAGGAAAGGACTGAGTGTAGGCATTTGACATTTTCTTGATGCTGACAAAACTTCTTGCAATGCACTTAGCTAAATCTAGAACAGTTTGTGTGGTACTGTTTGTGTGGAAAGTCTGTTTGCTGGCCTGCCTTCTGCACTGTGTGTGGTCACTTAGGAAATTTATAAGATCAAGCAAGCCCCAAAATATAGACTTGGCCTTTTGTATGTGCAAGTAAGACCAAAGTCATTATTATGTCAAGACCTCTCTATCACACAGCTAGTTTTCAAGGCAGGATTTTTTAATACACGTGATTCAGCGCTGCCCTCTATGCAGTCATTTCATCTAAGAGTTGCTTATTTTTAAAAGATTTTTTTTCCAAAATAATATTTTTTCAAGCATCAAAAGAATCTTATTTACAGATCACTTCCTAGCCAAAATTCTTGGAACTGTTGATAACATGCTACCATGTCAAACCACAATCATTAAAGAGTAAAATCCAACAAAAGAGATATGATTATTATTTTTTCCCTTTAGAAGTGCAACAACTGATACTAACTCAGGATGAGACCCGGCCAGGCAAACGTTCTCTGGAAAAAATATTATTGTTGTTGTGGCATGTTTTGCATAGTACTATACCAGCTTTATAGCAGTATTTTGCTGTTTAGCTTGTTTTATTTATTTAAAAGGTTATATATCCTGCCTCTTTTTCTAAACAAAGCGAACACGCAACAACAACCAGGATGCCTAGCAAACATGAAACAATGAAAGCACTCAACAACCAACACAATGGCCCACAAACCCAATTTGCCAAACCCCCCAAAAGTCTTGATAGAAAAGATGGTTTTCACTAATGTCAAAAGCACAGCAGTTAATAAGCCAGACATTCCACATCCCTACAGAAGACATTGCCCAACAAAGGTGCCACAACGGGTTAAGACACTACCAAACTAAAGGGGGGGTGTTTATTTGGGGGGTGAAAGCCGCACATTTATATAAGCATGTGAGGAGATGCACACAGGAAAAGCCAATCCTTAACATTTTGGGGGGAAAGCACAGATCAAAACCAATTTACTTCTCTTTTGTAGGTTTACCTATGTGCTCACTTAGTCATATTCCACTTCATATATCTCAGTGACAAAGTGAGCTCTGACCCACAAAAAGACTTGTGTCACAATAAGTTTGTTAGTCTTTATGATGTCTCGGGAGTCTCTGTTCATTTTGCTGCAATGGATTAACCCAGCTACTCCTCTGCAAATTCTCGTAAAATATGGCAAGGCCTCACTGCTGCCAAATGATGCACAACCGAACAACAGAGAAATATTGAACAAACCACTTTACTGTTACGAGGGGAATTTCAACCAGTATGCCTTTGGCTTTTCCACAGCATCCTCAACTTTCTATCTAGTACAGGGATGGGGAACCTGCAGCCCTCCAGATGTTGCTGGACTACAGTTTCCTGACCATTGGTCCCTGATGGCTGGACTGGTGGGAGCTGTAGTCCAACAACATCTGGCGGGGCACAGATTAACCACCCAATTCTAGGATGCCCAGTATCTTGCCACTAGTCTTCTTGTGTCATATCAAAACTTACACAGTTCTACTATTCCCATTTTTATCTCTTCCATGTTTTCTCAAAGCCTGACACAGGTCACCATACGAGGTGGGGGGGGGGGGACAAAGTACAGAATTGGAAGTGGGTAAGCACAAGGGGGATCCTCTTTCCTAAAATACAGCAATGATACCGTCTTTGTAATTGCAATGTATGATTCTGTGCCAACCAACTCCTTGGTGATTTATTCATGGGGGGGAACTGTAATTACTAGTCACATTCTGCTCCTTTTTTTTTTTTTTTGCATGCATGCAGTTCATTTTTTTAAAAAAAATAATATGTATAGCAGTGCTATACATATTCGAAAAATAATAACAAGAAGAACATCAAATGAGAGATTTTGGTACAGCCTCCTGATTATGCACCTGAGCTGCTCTGTACCATTTTCCTGTTACCTTGGCTTCAGTATAGGAGTGAAGAGCTGAGATACTTATTTAAGGATAGGACTTTGCCAAAGCCATTACTGCTGCTTTCACTGGGAGAAATAGAGGGTTAAAGAGCCCAGCACCTGGTATGCTAGTGAATCAGTGAGCAAGGCCAATGTTGCTGACCCTTCAGCCCTTACTCAGTTGAAAATATGGCCCCCATTAAAAAACAACAACACTTGCCAACCAGGAATCTATAAAATACAACAGCAACCACCTCGAACTACAAATCCCATCATGCAACAGCTCTCGCTCTTTGCCAGAAGAGTAGAATATGAGGTTCTGTTAACTTGTGCCTTCACGTTAAGAAGAAAAGCTACGTCTATATGATGCAGTACAGAAGGAAGGCAAAAGCATTTGCACGTTTGCCAGTATCCAAGAGGAAAAGGGGGTGGGGAGGCAGAGCTAAACGTTTCTCAAAGTCCAGAAGAGACTTCATTGCATCAGTTCATTAGTGTTAACATAGACAAAGGTACCAAATGCGCACAGCCCTGACCTCATAAGTCACTCTAACAGCGTATAAATAAATGAAAGACGTGTCTGTAAGGGAGTCCTTTCCTGCGGTGTTTTACAATCTACTACACACACATACAGGGTGGTGGTGTACAAAAACTTTACTGGCACCGATCCCCACCCCCTGCCCAACCCCAGTAGTCACGCCAAGAGTTCACACTTACTGAAAAGCCTTCTAAGTGATCCCAGTGAGATCTGCAGCCAAGAGCCAAGCTATGCATTGCGTTAAATCGTTAAAGTGGGTGGTGGTGGGAATTTCACAGTGGCGGTCCATGCCACGCCCAACACAATAGGCCCCTTGAGTGCGCTTGACATTACTGGGTCGCCCGACACCATATCCAGGCGCGACTAATCGCCCCTCCTCCGTCGCCCAAATGACCAAGGCAGGTCCCCGCCGCCACTCCAGGCCCCAGCGCAACTCCAGGCGGTCCCTACGCCCTCCCTAAACACAACAGCCCTTCCGCTAGGCAGCCACGACGTTCCCGCTGCTCCCCCGGCCTAGACGCTGCAACAAGCAACAGCCTCTCCTGCAGCCAGGGAATCTGCAAAGGACATCTCCAGGGATCTTAAGTAATCGGCCAATGCATGCGTTCGGAGGGGGGTGGAGGTGGAGAGGGAAGACAACGACACAGCCCCATAATTCTCTCGCCGTATGTCCCAATCCGTCCCCCCAGAACAAAGGAGCCTGCTGCCGCTCCGGCTCCCTAGCAGCCTACGCTGCACAATACTCAAGCGCCAGAGGCAAGCCGCCCCGGGAATGGGGGAACGCCCTCCTCTCTTCGCCCCCCAACAAGCCCCCGCGGAAAGGAACTGCTCCCTACATCACCCCTGCAAACGGGACCCGCCCTTCGGGCCCCGATCGCCGGGGTAAGCGCGCCCGCGGCTCCCGATCCGGTTCTGCCTATGGCTCGGCTCTCCCGCTTCCACACCCCCGGTTACAAGGAGAGAGAGAGAGAGCGCGTTCACACGCACACACCGGCTCCGTCCATTCCGCCGCTCCCCAGTGCAAGCGGCTCCTGCAGTTACCTCCGCTTCCTCCCGCAGCCTCCGCCTCCCAGCTGCCTCATCCCCGGCCAGCCGCCTGCCTCTCCCGGCGAGGATTGCGAAAGAAGCCCGCGAATCACCGCCGGCCTTGCAGGTGCAGAGCGCCCGCCCCGCTTGACCGCCCGCTTACCTGACGGCACCCGAGCCTCCTCTCCGCCGCCGCCGACTCAGCCACCTCGCATAGCCGGGCGCTGGGAGCCCCGCGGGCTCAGTCCTCCTCCTCGGAGGTCCCGGCTCGGGCCCGTCCTCTCGGATCCGCCTCCTGCTCGCCACCGCGCGCTTCGGCTTCCCAGCCCCTTCCCCCCAGACAGCTCCCCCGATGGAACCGGCCGCTGTGCTCAGCTCGTCGAAGAGGAGGAGGAGGAGGAGAAGCGGCAGCGAGGGCAGCAGCAGCAGCAGCAGCCTCCCCCTCCCGAGGAAGTGGGCTCGTCCGCAGCGGTCTCCATCTGCACCTACGGGCAAGGGAGAGAGAGAAGCTCGGGTAGAAGACCGTATTGCTCCTAAAAGCCTCGGTCCCTCGGCGCCTCCGGAGGGCTTCCGACGGCTGCGCCCGTAATGCGCCAAAAGCACGCGCCTCTCGATCTGCGGGAGTGGAGGGATTGCTCGCTGGGCACCAGCGGGAATGCTATGGAGCGCGCCGGAAAAGGAGACGGCCGTGGAGAGCAGAAGTCTCGAAAGCGCCGGCGGGCGGGAGAGAGCGCATTTCAAGGCCGCTTAGCTCTGCTCTCTCGCGGGCAGCCTAGTGCAATTGCTCTCGGTGAAATGGGCCTGAGGAAGGCGCCACAGCCCTCGCCTCTCCGTTTAGGGTTCTTCTAGGACGGACTGTCCCGCCTAGGCGTTTAAGGGGAGCGTTCCCAGCAGCCATTTACCGGGCTCAAATGCAGCCATTAAAAACAAACCACCGCCTGCTTGCTGGTGCGCCAGGTATTAAAGGCGCAAAAAAGCAGGGGGCGGGGGGGTGGAGAGAAGTACATTGAAAAGTTGGCTGCCCTTCCCTCAGCGGGGCAGAATTCAAGGGGTTCCTCCTGGCTAATGGTGAAAAACCTCTGAGGTGAACCTCCTCTGCAGCTGCCCACCCGCCCAATTCCAGGCCTTTGGGACATGGTGACTTCAGCTGTGGGGGTGACTTCTGCCCCCCCCCGTTTCCTCATTGGAACCTCCAAATAAGCGAATGGAATAAGATTCCTTTCTTTTCAGTACATAGAGGGCTATGTGATATGTGAATGTGCATGCACAACATTCCCTTTTGCCTGTTTTCGAAAGGAGTTGCCCAATGAGGATTTCACCTCATTAGTCTTTGGTTTTAGGCCCTTAAAGTTGTAAGCATCTGTGAGTCTGAGCATGGCGGCCTTCTGAAGAGGGAATTTCTCTGTTTATATACAATGTGATTAAGTGGCCTGCTATTAGCATGAGGTAGATGTTTGTCCCCCTCAGCTAGGGCAATGGTGGGGAGGGGGAGAACTATGTTTGTAAGTATCTCATGGTGAAACCCTGATTGCTTGCCCTAGTGGCTGTCTCTAGCCTATTTAAACATTTCAGCTGCATGTTTGGGCCACCTTTGTTGAGGGAGATTGTCATAGGATCATAGAATTGTAGAGTTGGAAGAGATCACAAGCAGGGCTTGAACCCACAACCCTGAGATTAAGAGTCCCATGCTCTACTGGCACAACTATCCCGGAGTGTTAAAATGTCATATGAATAAATTCATACAACAATATAGAGAGCTTGCTTACTGTGGGGTTATTAATATTAATATTATATATTCCCCTTATGAGTTAGAAGCCATGTGCTTTCTGACAAGGATAAAGATACAGCTGATGCCTCAAAGAAGCCACTCTGAGCGGTTTGCCCAATACAGTGAGCTGCCCAGCGCACATGCAATCCACTGCCACCATGTGCCCATGAGGGGACATTGCAGCACAGTTTTCCATCCCCAAGCAGAGGATGCTTTGATCAGAGGTGAGCCTACTAGGAAGATCAGAACAAGATGAGATCAGAGGCTCTCATTGGTCAAGGTGTGAATAACGGGGCCAATGTGGTCTGTCATATCAGATATCTTGTGTCACAACAGAGTAGCACTAGGTAAAAATAATACAGTGGTACCTCTGGTTGTGAACAGGATCCGTTCCGGAGGCCCGTTCGCAACAGGAAAAGAATGCAACCCGCAGCGGCGCATCTGTGCACGTGCGGGTTGTGATTCGCCGCTTCTGCACATGACATCATTTTGCATGTCTGCGCATGCATGAGCAGCAAAACTGGAAGTAACCCTTTCCGGTACTTCTGGGTTGCTGCGGGACGTAACCTGAAAGAACGTAACATGAAGCGGACGTAACATGAGGTATGACTGTACAGGCTAGTTCCGGAAAGTTACATTGAGTTAAACAGTTACAAATACCAAAAAAGTTACATTCCTAAACAGTACTACTTTAATTTCCTAAATAGTACTATTTTAATTAATGTGGAAGCAAGCCCCTCTTAAATGAATGGGATTTACTTTTGAGAATACATTTATTTAATAACTACTTTAAAGATTTCTTACCTACCCTTCAGCATAAGATCACAGGGTGTGTTACTACCATATCACCTTAAAATACAATGAAACAGTTCAAAGCAAACCAAATAATGTACATCAGACAACAGCAGTGGTCCCACAAAAATCACAAACATCTTAACTATCCAAGACACACCCGCTGTTCGTGTCTGTCATTCCTTTATTGCTGAAAGACAATTTGATGCAATTGCAGAGAGGCATGCCAGATCAAACATTTGGCATGAATTGAGTGATTTTAATACTGATTTTATTGTTATTTTACTCTTTTTGTAAATTGCTCTGGGAATTGTTTGACTGAAGGCTTGTATCTAAATGTAACAAAAGTATGTATGTATGTATGTATGTATGGGCAGGCATTTCAAATCAGACGCCAGGGAAGGGCTACATGGGTGAGTGGCAGATCTTTGCATACAGGTGGTCTTGGGTTCATTTCCTGCCATCTCCAATTAAAGGAACATTATTTAGGTGACAGACTGAGAAAGACCTCTGCTGGAGATCATGATTACTGCTGCTTAGTAAATCACGGAGTCCAAAAGTTCAGAGCAGCTTCAACATGTACAGAGGATACTTGTCCTTTTAGATGGGAGTGAAAATACTCTGCAACTAAAGGGCAGAAATCCCGCAAGTATGAAAACGACCACATGGCAGGAGTTCAGCAGGAAGCTCTTGAGGTTCCAGTGGAGAATTTATTGTGACCATGACAGATTTCCCTTTGCAATTGAGAACATAAAGCATAGCTGTATATCACAGTCGAGATATAACAATGCCGATGTACATAACAGCATAAAACGTATCTCTGCCACACACATGCACATGCATAAACGTTGGTGGCAGAACGGGTGATACAGACATGCTGCTGATTACCTTACCATTAACCACTTATGCTCAGCTCTGTTCATCCTAAAGTTGTTGCTGCCTCAGGCTGTGCACAAGAGATAGGAGGAGGAGGGGAAAGGGAATGTGCATAGGATGTACATGCCCTGTCTAGTTTTGATAAGGAAAGCAATGTAGGGGAAGCTGCTCACAAAAACTGATGTCCACAGATACATAATGCCTTTAAGGAGGGTGGAGAATAGTTACTGAAACAAGCAAAGTGGTATCTTTTGCTTAAAAAGTAATCCAAAGGCGCAGCAGCACAAAGCCTCCAAATGTCTTCCATATCTATCTGGCTGCAGTTTTGCCTCTGGCATATTTGAGCATCCTCTGGAAGCTCCAGCTTTCACTTGCCCATTCTCCTATATCGGACCACTGAATCAGTCACTGACCCAGCCAGCAGATCCTGTGCTGAATCTCTAGGTGACAGTGCAACACCTAGGTGACAGTACATCACCCTTTATTGAGTTGAGGATTATTCCTGTCCAAGGCATGCTTACCTAGGAATAATCCTCAACTCAAGAAATAGGTGCATTTGGCTTTGCTGGAAAAAAACACTGAAAACTGTCAATAAGGTGCTTCATGCACATAAATGACTTTGTCACCTTAGTTCAGGGATGGGGAGCCCCTGGTCCTGCAGACGTTGTTAGGCTGCACTCTATCATCCCACACCACTGGTTATGCTCACAGGGCTGCTATCACTCAAAGACGGATGTCACAAAATTCCACCATGTGGCTTCTACAACTTCTCCACCCAAAGAGACCTCCATGATACAAGTCATGCCCAGGGTCAGCCAGAAATAGAAGATTGGAGGTCATCAGTCTAATGTCAGTACCTTTTCACTTTTCAGGTGTACATTGTTTGAGAGAACTAGAGACAGCAGTAAGGTGAGTGTGGGGATTCAGAACAAAATCACACTGCGAATTCAGACAATGTAATACTTTGTATTCTAAATGTGTAAGTTTTGGCACATGAAAGGTCTCTGGGTCAGTACTCAGGAATTACTATTATGAGCTGACTTTCTAAGTCATGCACCCAAACTCGGCTCTCCAGATGTTTTGGGAATACAATTCCCATCATCCCTGACCACTGGTTCTGTTAGCTAGGGATGATGGGAGTTGTGGTCCCAAAACATCTGGAGGGCCGAGTTTGGGGCTGCCTCTTCTAAGTTAAAAAAACACCGCATTCTCCAGAACCAGAAATTATATTTCTAAAGACATACAAAAATTCTAAAGTGAGGTAGAAGTAATTGAAACATACATTTGCTGCTTTCTGAGGCATTTGTTTTCAAGGTAATGCAACAACAACAGCTTATGATTTATTGTTTAGTTAAGATCAATCAGGTTTTGTTTTTGTAATAAATCATTCTATCTTGCATTCCTGTTTTTGTTACTATATTTAATGCCTGGAATTTTAGTACAATTTTAAAATCTAGTAACATTGTTAAAATCTAAATTTGACTTGATTGGTCTGGTTTTTTGTTTCATTTCTAAAAAGTAAGTAATATGCTGGGATCCTGCAGACTAGAACTGGGAATGCTCTCTGCACCTAGAGAGCAGGAATCTATGAGAGGCCAAAGGCCTGCTTGCACCAGCAGTGAGCCTCATCGCCTGTCTCTTTGCCCTCCCCCACCACTGCTAAGGATGCCCCTGCTGTGTCCTTGCTGGTCACAGCAACAGGAGTGACAGTACATTCACTAGCCCAAATAACACATCATCAGGCTGACACGCTTTCTTCACTTCCTCCACCCTAACCCATCTTCTGCTTGAATGGAGATCGCACAATCCTCATTTGTTCCTGTAAGTAGGTCATGGGGGAGGCTGCAGCCACTCTCTCCCGCCTATGAACACACAGATGCCGGGACCCTGTCTGGTGAATCCTCTTGCTTGTCAGTTTCTTTCAGGCTGAAGTCAAAGGCATAGACCAGCAGCACCAGGAAAGGGGGTTCATCTGCCCTGCTAGAGCGCAGGCATCCCTGGCCCTATGCAGGGCTCCCAAATGCAAAGCCCGAGTGTGGAAGGGACCATGAGGCAGGAGCAAGCTCAGGAGCCTGGGGTAAGATGGTAGCTTTCTCCCCTGCCTGTCCCATGGGTAGAGCTGTTGTCTTGATCTGCCTTGAACAGCTCCACAGCAGGTAGAAATCCAGCTGTTTCACTACATTCAAAAGCAATCATCAGGGAAGCTGGGGCTGTTGAATTTCTGCCTGCTAGGCAGCTATGGAAAGGGAGAGGAGCCCAACCAGGAAATCAAACCCAACCAAGATGGTAGTCCTAGCACTGGTGACAGCAGCACTTGCATCCTTTAGAAGTACCACAGATGCGCGTTTAAAGGAGCATACAACTTTTTCTTACATCCTCTGCATGAGGAGGTCTTATGTGGTGAAGGGGAGGAGAGGAGATCAGAGGTGGGCTGGTGACTCGGGGAAAGAGGGGTCTCTCCAGGAAGTCCCATCTCACAGGTTGGTGCTTTCATAGGTCACCTATAAATGCAAGGTTTCTGGGATGCCATATGGTAAAAAGTGGTGTTCAGAAAAGCAGCTCACCTCCTCTCTGTGGTCCACCTCATACTTGGCCCTTCATTTCAGCAGCATGATAGATTAATACATCTCCCTCAAGTGATTCCCCCCCCCCGCCCAGTAGATCTCTCTACGTCGACTCTGCAGTGTGGCCTGGATGTCACACAGCAGCCAATGAAACAGATACTCCAACTGCTAATGAGTCATCATCATGCATAGGCAGCGGCTGGGCCATATAAAGTAGTCTGGACCAGAACCTCATACAGAAGTGGCAAGAACGGAAAAGCAGGCTTGTGTTTGTTTATTAATTTAAGGCAGTGGTGGGGAATAAGGTGCCCTCTAGAGGTTGTTGGATGCCAACTCCCAACAGCACCAGCCAGCATGGCTAATGGGAGCAGAATTACAAGAACTGTAGTCCCAACAGCACCCTGAGGGCCACAGATGTCCTCACCCTAATTTTATGTACAGTGGTACCTCTGGTTACGTACTTAATTTGTTCCAGAGGTCCGTTCTTAACCTGAAACTGTTCTTAACCTGAGACACCACTTTAGCTAATGGGGCCTCCTGCTGCTACTGTGCTGCCACCACACAATTTCTGTTCTCATCCTGAAGCAAAGTTCTTAACCCAAGGTACTATTTCTGGGTTAGCGGAGTCTGTAACCTGAAGCATATGTAACCTGAAGCGTATGTAACCTGAGGTACCACTGTATTTATAAACAGTTTTCCAGGCAGATCTCACAAAGTAAGTTTATAAAAGGTTATTACAAACACTGAGAGACAATTTGTTTGTTTAGAATAATCTGTAGGCACTTCTTCTCCACTCCCCTTAGCAGTGGTGTCCAAACTTTTTTCAAAGAGGGCCAGATTTGATGAAGTGAAGGGCCGTGGGGACCGACCAAAGGGCCAACCAAAGTTGTTAACCTTTTTTTAGGATTGAAGTTGTTGAGCTTCTTTTAGGATTGAAGTTATTGAGTTTTTGGGGGGATTTTACCCTAGGAAATAAACTGCCACAGGATTAGGCCCCCGAAACGGACTTTGGACATGCCTGCCTTAGAGCAAGGTGTTGGGAATGAGACCCCTCAGGGTGACAAGCTGTCAGTCATGTTGGATGTGGCCTGTGGCTGGGATATTTCCTTTCCAGAACACCCAGGAAGAATGACATCATGGACACCTTCTTGGGGGGAGGGGGGGACTGACGTCCAAGCCTCAAGCAAGATAGATGATTTGTGACGTTGAGATACCAGAAAGTTGGGCTGAACGCCTGATCCACTAATTTCAGTTAATGATTGATCAGCTAATTTGCAGCAGGAGCCAAAGTCTGAGCGAAGTACTCAGATCTCTGTCGCCTGCAGCAGAATTGAGCCGCTTTCTCATGGTCCTTCAGGAAACAAGGTAAGGGGAAGGGGCTGCTACATGTATCATTGGTTGCCCATCAGTGCTGTGACCAGGGGGATTACAGTGACATTAGGGAATTATGCAGCACCATGTGAAAACATCCCTGGTCCACTGGAGAATGAGTGCTCTGCATAGATCGGCAGGTGCCAGGCCCTGCGAGCAGCTGTGGGGCCTGGGAAAGGCTTCTGCGTTAACAGGATGGGGTAACAATGAAAGCCAGAACTGAGGGTGAAAGGGGTGGATCATGGATTCCTGCAGGTACCAGTGTAGACTGAAGGGCTGTTGATTTAGGCCACCCTAGAATGATGGCAAACAGTATATGGCTGCCTAAGCCTATATTTTGTAATGGCATCTTCTGTTTAAAGCAGATTCATAAGCTGTCAGTTTCCATCTGTTGTGCTGAATTAGGGCTTTCTATGGCCTTTCAAGGGACGCGGGTGGCGCTGTGGGTTAAACCACTGATCAGTGGTTAAACTTGCTGATCAGAAGGTCGGTGGTTCGAATCCCCGTGACGGGTTGAGCTCCCGTTGCTCGGTTCCTGCTCCTGCCCACCTAGCAGTTTGAAAGCACGTCAAAGTGCAAGTAGATAAATAGGTACCACTCCGGCAGGAAGGTAAACGCCGTTTCCGTGCGCTGCTCTGGTTCACCAGAAGCGGCTTAGTCATGCTGGCCACATGACCCGGAAGCTGTACGCCGGCTCCCTTGGCCAATAAAGCGAGATGAGCGCCGCAACCCCAGAGTTGGCCACGACTGGACCTAATGGTCAGGGGTCCCTTTACCTTTACCTTTATGGCCTTTCAAACTGTGTGCGTCAGTATTGTTGTTTGTTACTAGGTTATGCATTTTTGCGTTTTTATATTGTAAACTGCCCCGTAATCCTTGGATGATGGGCAGTATAGAAATTTAATAAATAATAACAAGAAGAAGAACTTGCTGCTGATCAGGCAGAGAAGATTTTGTAAATTGGAAGAGATTGAGGAGTTTTCTTCTTCTTTTGGTGTTATGATGGAGCCATGTAGCACCTTGGGAAGCTCTATCTGAGCTCCTTGGGGGACATCTATGCCATACGTTTATGCAACTTTAACAGTCTGCCCGGTCACAACCTGTGCTGGTTATTGTGTGAGTATTCCTTCAAAAGTCCAAATGTACCACCAGGCCCCAAAAGGTTGGCATCATTACCTACCATGTGTGTACATTGAGGTTTTCTTAGTCCACTTGCGTACTTTTTTTAATACTTGGGATCCTTGGGGTCTTTAAACTTAAAGAACATAATTTCTTAAGCACATTTAAATCTCAGCATAGCAGCTTGTAGCATTATGAATGCTGGAATTATTGTTGTTGTTGTTATTGTTGTTGTTGTTGTTGTTATTTTGTGAGAATTATTAGGATAAACTTGAGCTAAACATTGAACTGAAGTGAACCAGGTGGGTTCATTTTTGTAAAGGGATGAACTGGAACAAGTTCCTTTTTTGACAAGGTGAACTAGAAGTAGAACTAGTTACTTTTTAAAGCGGACATTCCAAGCTCTGCCCAAAACTTTATGGGAGATGGTGAGACCAGTGTGTGTCTCCATAAATTATTGTGCGCAAAGCATTTTGGTGACATGTGGTGCATATTTGGGAGGTTTTGGAAAGATGAGGTAGATTTACAGGGGTGCGTAGAAATTCCACTCCAGCAAGTTCAGCATATCTCCCACTGCACAGTCAGTAAAGGAACTAGATTCCCGCAAGGCTCACAGGTTGGCAGCCCCATCTCTGTGGAGGAAGGATGTAATGTTTGACAGTCAAAGGGCCATCCAGACAAAGTTATGAATACAGTTCCTGTAATAGGTTCCTGGTAGGTCAGAGTCCAAGCCTAGCTAGGAAAGAAAAATAGTGCCTTTATCTGGCCCCTAATCCAAAGAGCTTATAGGTGGGGCAATATTGTGGCTCAAAGTATGGTCTAAGATGGGGAACCTGTGGCCATCTATATATTGTCGGATTACAGTTCCCATCATCCCTGACCGTGGGCCATGCTTGCTGGGGCTGGTTTAAGGGAAGAGCTGATAGATAGACTGACAGACAGATTTAATTCTATCAAAGTTAATGGGTCTCTATAGACCCATTATTCTTAATGGAGATATAGCCCCATCTGCACTATACATGTAAAGCAACATCATAACACTTTAAATAATTTTGGCTTCCCCCAATTCCCAGAATGTTTAACAATCAATCCCTCTTCACAGGGAACTCTGGGAGTTGAAGCTCTGTGAGGGGAATAGGGGGTCTCCTAACAACACTCTGTACCCTTAAGGAACTACACTTCCCAGGGTTCTTTGCGGGAAGCCATGACTGTTTAAAAGTGGTATGGTACTGCTTTAAATGTCTAGTGCAGATGGGGTCATAAGGAGATGTGCAGCTCACAGTGTTCCCAGTCACTAAGGAATACCTTAACTTCCAGCTTCCACTGCTTGGTCCAGTGAGTACAAAGCCATCTGGCACATTTAAGCATTCTGTTAACATTTCATTGTATCAAATACAGTCCCTGAATATTGCACCGGCACACTATGCTTCACCACACCCTGGGGTCTCTGTACTTAGTCTAGCAATACATGGACCCTCTCCTCAGCTTGCATGACACACAGCGTCCGTCATCAGTTTGGCTTGGTTATGCCATATGATTTGATAAGAGGAGAAACTGAGTTCCTGGAATAAGCATAGACCTCCTCACTTGTTTATGAGTTACTAAGATAACAAGAGATAGCAGGTTTCTGTTGCCACTTCCTGGATATGTTGCACGTACTCGATCAATGCCACCTGCAGAACCAAGTCATTTATGGCACCCAAGAGGCCTAAATAAGCCTATAAAATGTGGTCAGTGAGGCAGTCCAGAGTATGAACAGTATTCTATTGGTATCCTCCCAGGCATGTTTTCCTCCCTGATGAGTGTTTGCAGTACGCACAGCACCATGTTTTCCAAGGGAAACCAAGCTCAACAGGCTTGTGGGACCATGCAGGCCACTAGGAACTGCTTGTGCATAGTTCAATTAAGAAACTCACTGCGACAAGAGGTAGTGATGACCACCAACTTGGATGGCTTTAAAAGAGAGTCAGACAAATTCATGCAGTGTAAGGACATCAGTGGTTACTAGCCATCATGGCTCTGTTCTACCTCAACTCACAGAGGATGTCTGTTTCTGAAGACCAGTTGCTGGGAATCACAGGTGAGGAGAGCACCATTGCTTTCAGACTTCCCACAGGCATCTGGTGAACCACTGTTGGGCTAGATGGACCTTTGGCCTGATCCAAGAAGGCTCTTCTTATGTTCAGTGATGGGGAGAAAGAAAGCATATTGTTACCAACAATTGATCCTTCTCTACGCTGTGTTTACAGGTCTGTTTGCCCTAGCAGGATGCTTTTGCTATCATGGGCGATACTCTCCATGTTTCTGGCAGTAGGTAAGATTTTCCATGTTGAGGGTTATCCATTTGCTACAAAGGCTTCCCTGCTCTCTGTGTGGAAACAGTGTGGTCTTGTGCCTAGTCATCAGGCCTCCCAACTTGGTGGTGGGTGGGATGACTGCCTCAGAAGGCTAGGGCTGCACTCTTCAGTGCTGTAGCTTAAAACCAGTGGCATTTGCATACAAATTCATAGGACTGGGTTGTAGAGGTCTAGAACGGCACCTGTTTTGTCTACTGCTCATTAGTATTTGGGGGTGGAGATTCAGCTAGATGGTACATTTTCCTAAGTCTTTTCCTAAGTTTTCCTAGTTAGGATTGGAGCATCGCTACTTGGGCTTCCTCTATTAAAGGAAATATTTTCCGATACTGGGTTCATTGGAAACCCAAACTGTTAGATTTTATGTAGTATGGGGAAAGTCAACAACAACAACAATGGCAGGAGATACTCCTCAGAGATTGGGATGGGAACAAGGAAAGAGAAGACTGCGGAGGCTGTCTTTGGCTCTATGAAAAATGTTAATGTCCAGCCAACTGTTTTCCTTACAGCATCAGGGAACACAGCACCTCGCTTCGACATGAACAGAACCTTCTACTTGCCGGAGGACACACCTATAGGTGAGTAAAGGGAAGAATCCTCATCTGGAATGCAGGAAGTAAAGGGAAATGATAACACTTGTGAGAATGGTGGAAAGAGAAGTCCTTGGGTTTCCCTTTGCCTTACCTGCTCCTTGGCTTGGATGGGAAGATGAGAGATGGATCCTTGGATCCTTTTTACTGGGGAAGCTATCAGGTATGGCGCTTGGAAGTAGTCCTGGATCTACTACTGTCACTAGAGGCACATGGGGCCTCCATAGCAAAGAGTGCTTTTTACCAGCTTAGGTTGGTAACCTAGCTGCACCCCTTGGTGGATATAGATAACCTGGCATCACCATCACCAATCTATGCTCTGCCGCTCTCCCTCTTAGACTGAAGCAATGTGTTATATATACCCTTAGAAATGGTCTGGAAAGCCCAGCTAGTACAGAACATGGTAGTGAGGTTGCTAATATAGCCTGACTCAGAGGTGCTGATTTCAACTAATAAAAGCATTACTTTGGGACCTAAGTACCTGAAGGAACACTTCTTCTCATATGAATCTACCTGGGCTTGAAGATCCTCTATGGAGGTCTAGGTGTTTGCTGTCTTTTCTTTGCTGGTAGTTTAAGATGGTTCATTGGGATTATTATCCTCTGAATGGGGATCCTGTGGTTATTTGGTCTGTCTAGAGTGGGACTTCATGCTTGGTGTCTGCTTCATGATGCTGATTACATGAAGCCAGATGGGTGGGAAATAAATAAATAAATTATTATTATTATTATTATTATTATTATTACCCATGGCATTGTCTGTTTTTGTTTCGATTGCAAATTTTCTAGAGGTGTCCTGCGTTAGGTGACACAAAATTTCAATAATAACAAATAATTCAAATATCCAGGCCAACGAATAGGAAGGGAAGAGGAGTGAAGGAAGCTAGAAAACATTCTGTTACTGGTTCTCCTTTGAAAGGTGTGTCTCTACAGGGATGACGGATCAGAGAAAAGAGGTGGTTGTTGTAATGATGTCATTCCGACCTGGGTGGTCTAGCAAATCCTCCTGCCTAACTCTCTCTACTTCTGGTACTCCTTTCTCATTGCAGATGCCTTTGTTTTAAGGCTGGTGGCTGTGGATGATGAAGGGGATGTTTTGACCTATAGCATAAGCGGCAGCGACGCCCACTACTTCAATCTTGACAGTAGATCAGGCAATGTGACGTTGAAGCAAAGAGTGAATTATGAGGTAAGAATGGGGCCAAGCAAAGGAAGAAATTCAACAGGGAGAGACAGAGCAAGCAGGGAAAGCCAGTGAATTTCCCCCCATCTGAACATTTTGCAAATGAGCTCTTGTAAATGTTGCATAGGTGTCAGTTGATGGTTGTTTACTGGAAGAAGGGCATGAACATATATCACTGGTTCTGGCCTGACCAAACTGGATGCTGATTTTGTTTCCACGCACAATTCGGAGTGCTGGCTTTGACCCCTAAAGCTTCATATGGCTGAGGAGGACCACTATACCTAAAAGACCACCTTTCCCCATATGACTCTGTCTTGACAGTGTTTCAACACCATCCAAATACTTTTTTTTTTAATGGGCATTTGGGCAGCACCAATGCTATGATACTGTATTGTTAAATTTGTTTTTTTATATGAATTTATTTTGTTTGTTCGTTTGTTTGTTGGAAATTGGGAACTCTTTTAATGGGAAGTGATTCATCAGTTTAATAAACCTTAATCTTAACCTTCCTGTAGACCACAGAAACTGTTTGTTGTACAACAACTGCTGCTTGTTTTTCTACTACTTTCATCAGGCATAGGCAAACTTGGTCCTCCAGATGCTTTGGGACTACAACTCCCATCATCCCTAGCTAACAGGACCAGTGGTCAGGGATGATGGGAATTGTAGTCTCAAAACATCTGGAGGGCTGAGTTTGCCTATGCCTGACTTATATGTCCCAGCAGTTTCCCCTCCCCTCCTGTACGAATGCTATGACACGTTCTGTAACCTCCCAGCAGGTCTGATTGGGCAGAAAAAGGGATAATAGGGAAGGTATCCCATCAAGCATAGATTTGGGGATAAGACAGACAGATACTGACATGCATGCATGAGTCTTTAATATGACCATACCCAGAGTATAAGGCAAGGCTTCTTCAGCTGCTTCACCATTAGGTCAAGGAAAGCACCTGTATCGTCCATGGAACTAAATTGCCTTAAACATTGTCTGCAGAGGGAGCACTCCACTGTGATGGGCAGGTCAAGCTTGCAATTAATGGCAGTGATTTTATTCACCAGGTGGACCCCGTGCTTCAAGAATTCCCTGCCTCTTTCAGGCATGTAAGAAAGGAGGTATATTAATAGGAAAGGTGGTGTCGATATCATGCCTCTTTTCCAATCTGCTTCTGCTTTGCATTTTCCCTTCTAGGACACAACAATTATGTTTCTGGATGCCCAAGTGACAGATGGGAAAAGTGTGCCGGTAAGTGAAGAAACATGCCGGGGAAAGATAACACTGGTTTTAAGCAAGGAGCAGAGATCCATCAGGGGAGACTGCCTGTGGAATGGGATATGGAAGGTGCCTGCTGTCCCAGTTCTCAGGTGATGGTGGTGGTGAGGAGGAACAACCGCTGGACTAAACTGGGACTCACCAAGCAGCTTTCACTAAACCAATGTCTGCTGAGGTCTCATGTGCTTACTTACAAATGTAGGGAAAGCTCAGCACAACCCTGTGTCAGGTGACCAGAAGCAAAGGGGAACAGGACTCTTGTACCTTCAATAGTTGTGTAGAAGAGATGAGCTTGTCTCCATGATGAGCGGTCCCTGATGAAGCTGCCTCTTCTACCCTACTATAGAAGGCTCAGGAGTCCCTGTCCTTCTTTGCATCTGGTAACCTTTTCCCTAAAGCTCAGGTTTCCTCCATCCTTGTATGGAGTTCTTGGGTGCTGAAGCCCCTCTACCTTGTCTCTTCACATTACTGTCTTTTTTCTTCCTTCAACAGGTCGAAATGGGAATCACAATCATTGTAGAAGACCGGAACAACAATAAGCCAATATTCCAGAATGAACCCTATTTTACTGATGTCCCAGAGGTACCTTTGGCCACCTGAGCTCATGCCCAGACTTCTTTTCTTTGTGGTCCATGGCATTCCACAGCTGGCGGAAGACAGTGGAAGCAATGCAAATATCCCATCCGTTTTATAATTTAAGGAACCTGTCCTATCAGGGTGGATTTGCAGGGCAGCCCTCTCTGTGGTCATAAGGACAATTCACAAAGTGGCTCACTGCAACTGCATGCACCTAGTGGCACTTGGGAAACTACTTGGGAGGAGCAACTTCCCACCCAGTGTGGTTAATTTCAGCTGACCACAATCGTACTATTACCGCTTCCTAGGCCAGCATGCATGTACCAAACTAAGGGATCTGTATTTGTTTGGGTTATCCCTGTTTTAAGCAAGTGGGGTTCCAGGAACTTCCAGGAACTGAAGTGCCAATAACTCATCTGATGGAAACGTCCACAGCAAAGGAGTTAAACTAAGGGATAAGGCAGAGGCGTTTGCTTTCCCCAATATTTAGGCTTGATCAGATTCCTCTGTGAATCAAAGCCACAGTGCTCTAGCTCCTGCATAATGTTTGGTACTTTCACTAGTTCCTTCATCAAGTAGACTACAAGCAAACAAACTACTGAAGGTACCCAGTCTTGCCAGTAGTGTCAATAGTATTGTGTGACCAACTGAGACACCTCTCTGGTCAGGACAACCTAAGAATCGGGGAACCACTGCAATTTGTGCCTATATGGAAACAGGAGCCACAATCCTAGTACACAAGCACCAATTTATCTAAACAGATTGGTCTGATGCTCTCTCTTTCAGAATACAGCAATTGGCTCCTCAATCTACACAGTCTTAGCTGTGGACATGGACAGTGGAAACTCTGGACGGGTATCCTATTCAATTGAGGAAGTGAGTGTCACATTGTAAATACAGATGTAAGGTAAAAGGAACTGCTCTACTCTACAAAGAATGAGCTGCCCCAGTGCTTTCTAGTCAGCCTAACAACAACATCTCCCCAGAGGCTCAGACAGAAATATTTTTCGCAGCCAGTTGCCTGAGATCAGTTGAAACCTGGGATTTTATACATGCAGATACACTTACCTCATTTCTCTGTCCTGCTTGTCCTCTCTGGTAAGCATCTGGTTGGCAACTGTGGGGAACAGGATGCTGGATTTGTACAGGTCTATAATCTGACGCAGCAGGACTCTCCTTATGTAATGGCTAAATGACAACTAAACATGTTGATTCCAGGGAAGGAGTCCTCCTTTCTGAGCAGGGTGAGGTATCCCACCTCAGGCAGCAGATTTAGGCTGCCATTAGAAGGCATCAAGTTTAAAATTTATTGAGGTTCCTCCTACATTTTTACCATCCCTGGAGAGAACCATTTGGATGGTCTTCCTTGTGCCTTCTGCTGAGTGTTCTTCCAACCACTCTGAGGATTTTTGTGTGTGTTGAAGTTGTGTGGTGTAAATGTACCAAATAAATAAATAAAACCGTCACCACCTGATCTTTAACACTTGCAGGGATTTGCCACGAGGGGGAGGGTCCTGTGGGGGAGGGTCTGCTGTTTTGCTCTGGGAAAAGCTCCCCCCTTTTTTGTTCTCTCACACCTCACATTTTTATACCGCATGCGCCGTACACAGGTCAACCCAAACGATGCAGAGAATCACGACCTCTTCTACATCCACTACAATGGCACGGTGTTCCTGAATGGTTCATTGAGCTACAATAACAAGAGCACTTTCTACCGAATCAAGATCTTTGCCAGGGTGAGGCTCAGATTGTGACATGTTGGGAAGAAAAAGGGAGGCGTGGGGAGGGCAAACATCACCTTCTCTCTGTGGAGCATTTATCAGAAAAGGAGAAAGGCAGCTAGATACCATGGGCAGAGCAGCCAGGCCCTACCATTAGGCAGAATGAAGTGTCTGCCTCAGGTGGCAGATGCTAGTAGGTGACGAGTGGCAACAAAGTGTTGGAGGTTTGTGGAGGACACAGAGCCATCACCAGCGCTGAAGTAAGGAAGGTTCAGCTGGCAGTCCAGTGGGCAGGTTGTGGGATGCTGGTGGTGGCAGGAATCTTGTCCTTCACCTCAGGCAGAAAAAGTGACAGGCCAGTCTTGGCCAATTTATATTTGTGGAGGCCCCATTAGCTGCTGGTTTTCAAGGCTTTGGGGATATGATTCCCCCTTTGAAAGCATACTTGGAGCCAATTCTTTTGTCATTCCAGTGCCAAGTAAAGGCTTACCTGTGGGTCAAGGCATTTTTTGTATGTTAGTGCAGTTCCAGCTTTTCAGATGCATGTGAAAAACATATCTTTTTGGTCTGGTACTCCCCATTTGTTAATGCTTGGTAATATTGTGCAGTATTTTGATATTTTTAGATGGTGATATTTGCATATACATTGTCTATCTTTGTCATAACTCCATAACTCCAGCAGTCCTGCTCTGAGTAAAACTTAATTGAAACCCACCCAACAATTTGGCTAAAATTGGGAGGTGCTTTTCTGTTATTTCTTTCATAATCTAAGCACCAGTTGATCCAAAACCAGATTTTCAAGCAATGAAGAAAGATTACTAAGCTGTGAACAAACACTTCTGCATCAGCATGTGCTTTCCTCAGTATCTTCCACCCCCTTCCTTTGGTTGCTCTCCTTTTAAGATGCATTAGAAGACTTGGATATTTGTAGTACTGGTAGCAGTAGAAACAATTACATTTAAAGATGTTGGAAGCAAATAAGAGTGTCTACCAGACAAGGGTGTTGTTTCTTTACTGTGCAATGAGCAGGAAGGGTTTACTAGGGACAAAACAGTATGTATTGCTGCAGAGAAGGGATACATTTTGGGTAGGTAGAGAGAACAGAGTTTAAGTGATCATTCTATCTGTGTGTCTCTCCCTCTCCTTCTCTAGGATAATGGGGGATTATTGCATGGCCAGTTCATCTATCAGAACAACACAGCCTATCTGTCTGTGACAGTTGTTGATGTGGCTGACCTGGACCCTGTATTCCTGGGAGCACCATACTCAGGCTCCGTACCAGAGAACTGCCCTCTGGTAAGGGATGTCTTCAGCTTTCTAGTGTCCTCCTGACCCTCAAGTGATAAAATCCTGCAGCTTCTGACATGGCTCTCTTTTGACATGAAAAAATTGGAGCCTTTTGGAGTTTCCCATCAAATTGTACCTTGTTGCATCTGTCTGTCTGTGTCGGTCTAGGACAAGCATATGAGTGTGGTAAATATGTGGGCTTAACCTTAGCACTTCAAGAGGAAACCGTGTCCTTCATGGCAGCAGTTCTCAACAAAGCAGCTTTGAAAATTGGCCAGAGCAAGAATGAAAGGAACATGGCATCAAGTGTGGAGTGAACACAGGTCACGTTTGCAACTCACTCAGGGACCAGACTAAGGCAGCTGGGCTGCCTCTCCCAGCCTTTGGAGGGCAGAGCAGTGTGTGTGTGTGTGTGTGTGTGTGTGTGTGTGTGTGTCCCAGAGGCTGCCCTGCACCCTTATAAGCCAGCCTGCTACATTCAGGTGCAATGGAGGATGCTGCTGCATGACCAGTGTTGAAGCTGAGTTGAAATGCCAGCCTAGTTGGTTTCTGTCCATAGAACTGGGTGGAAGTTGTGGTGGTGGCATCTTGTCCTTTGCTTTAGCCAGGCATAGGCAAACTCGGCGCTCCAGATGTTTTGGGACTACAACTCCCATCATCCCTGACCACTGGCCCTGTTAGCTAGGGATGATGTGAGTTGTAGTCCCAAAACATCTGGAGGGCCGAGTTTGCCTATGCCTGCTTTAGGCAAATGCCTTAAGGGGACCTTGAGTTCTTTTGGGGTTGTGAGTTGCCAAGCACTTGAAGTTGGCAAGCAGGAACTTCATACCCATCTAACATGTCTCCGATGAAAATAGGGACGTCCCATTCCATAATGATCATTTTACTATTTATACCCCACACATCTTACTGGGTTGCCCCAGCCACTCTGAACAGCTTCCAACACATCTAAAAACATAATAAATCATTCAACATTTAAAAAAACCTTCGCTATCTGGGATTGCCTTCAGACAACTCGGTGGTTGGATAACTCCATACCCTCCAACATTTCTCCAATGAAAATAAGGACATCCTAAGGAAATACAGTACGGGACATTCCGAGATCAAATCAGAAACCAGAACGGCTTCTCTAAATCAGAGATGTCCCTGGAAAATAGGGACACTTGGGAAGTCTGGAACTTAGGAACACAGAAAGCTGCCTTATACTGAGTCAGACCCACTGGTCCATCTAGCTCAGTATTGTCTGCACTGACTGGCAGCAACTCTCCAGGCTTTCAGACAGATGAGTCTCTCTCAGCCTTACTTGGAGATAGAGATAGACAGACAGACAGACAGATAGATAGATAGAGATAGATAGATAGATAGAGATAGATAGATAGATAGATAGATAGATGATAGATAGATAGATAGATAGATAGATAGATAGAGATAGATAGATAGATAGATAGATATAGATAGATAGATAGACAGACAGATAATAGATAGATAGATAGATAGATTTTTTAAACTCTATTTATATGCTGCTGTAATATAAAGATATAGCACAGCAGTTTACAGCAATATAAAAACATAAAATCAAGCAATAAAGTAATAAAAAGTTAAAAGCAAGTTAAAAGCAAATATAAATTTGAAACAAACATCAATAGACCATTATGGGGAACGTACTCATAATTGCCTGCATAGGCCTGGTGGAGCAGAATTTTTTTAGCAAGTGTTTAAAAGTTGGCACAGAAGGTGCCTGCTGAATCTCTTTTGCCAGGGTGTTCACCAGGCTGATGAAATGAAAGGCTCAGTTTGTTGTCAAAGGAGCCTCCCAAACCCATCAAATGACCGAAGATGCTCCTGCAGATAATCTCAGCGATCGCTCTGGAATAGAAGGGTGCAGGCTATCCCTGAGGTACCCTGTTCCCAAGTAGTTCCATACAAGATGTCGAGGACTGAATGTGGGGCCTTCTGCTTGCAAGGCAGATGCTCTGCCACTGAGCTACGGACCTCAAGCCCCCACTCCCTTAGGTGGAGGCCTGTCCTTTTCCTACTCACTGGGGGCTGGTACAAAGCAGGCCCAGCACTCACTGGCCATTTCCTCATCCTAGGGCACATCAGTGGTGAAGGTGCAGGCCATTGACCAGGACAAGAATGTGAATGACATCATCGATTACAGCATCATCAGTGAGTGATGGAAGGGTGGATCAGGGCACAATGGGCCATGATGTATGCAGACGGTACTTAGAGTTCCTGAGATCCTGTATCTCTTTTTGTGTAGGTGGTTTATGTAATGGCGGGTGGTGCTAAGGAGGTGATTGAGAGGGTACCAACAACGAGGGAGGGAAAGGCCAAAGAACAAACAGGCTGACAGCTCATAGCAAATGGTGAAAGGTCTGCACATCAGTTTAGATGCTCTTTCTGTTCCAGTGGATCACTCAAGCTCTTCCCACTGAGACTGACAGCATAAGCAGGCATAATGAGCTACCATGGGCTGGTAGCTACATCCATGGTACCACAACCCATCAGGTTGTGCTAGTGGTTTAAAGTTGTGTCTATGTAGAAAACAGCATGACTGGGGCTCCACTCATGTGATTGATGATGTGTGTCCCTACTCCCACCCCACCATTATTTCCCCTCTGCCCTAGCTGCCACTAGCTTGTTCACGATCAACAATGCCACAGGAGTCATTACTGTGAGCGGCCACCTGGACCGAGAGGGCATTCCAGGTGAAGAGGTGCAGCTGCAGGTTGTGGTGAGTAGCAGGCAGTTGTGGGAAGTGGTAGATCTTTCTGCCCCCCCCCCCCCGTCCAAGGCCTCAGTTTCTCTCTCTTTCTCTCTCTTGCTTCATTTCTCAGGCTCGGGAACGAAACCTCAACATTTACCAGCAGGTGGCGCAAGTGAACACCACTGTGACCATCCAGGTCACTGACATAAATGACAACAAGCCTCAGTTCTATCTGTGCGAGGACTACGCAACCTGTGACTTCACAGGCCCTCCAGAGGGTGACTTTTTCGGTGAGATTGAGGAACACGCTTCTGCCAGAACACCTGTGGCTGGCCTCAGTATTGTGGCCTATGATCCTGACAAGGTGAGCAGGGGAGGAGAGTCTGTGAGGCTTCGTGTGGGTGGGATGCAAAGCTCAAAGGACAAGGGATACCAGGGATGATTGATGCCAATGCTATCCTGGGATGCTGCTCCCCTTTTTGCCTATAACTATCATTTTAGTGTTGGGCCATTCAAACCATGCAGTGGGAAGGTGGCTCCTTATGATTTTTGGCAAGCATCTGCATCGCTATAGAAGGAAAACAGGTGAAGATGGAGTATAACTCAAAACATAAGCCAAAGGTCAATCTAAAATGTCTCATCCCATATTGTAAGATGTTAAATGTATATTCAGTAGTGCAGTGTTTTTCAACCTTTTTTGGGCAAAGGCACACTTGTTTCATGAAAAAAATCATGAGGCACACCACCATTAGAAAATGTTAAAAAAATTAACTCTGTGCCTATATTGACTATATATAAAGTAATTCTCTTGAATAGGAATCAAATAAACACAAAGAAAATATTTTATAATTACTTTATTATGAAATAGTAAGTAAACAGAAATATGAAAAATTATAAAATACTTTATTCAGTGCGCAACCTGGGCCTGTTTGGCTGAACACAAAGCTGATATTCTGGCTGGAATTGAAGAAAGACACACACGTAGCTCTTCGTCAACAGCTCTCAGTCTCTCTCTGTATTTAGTTTTTATAGCAATCATGCTTGAAAAGCTCATCTCACACAGATATGTAGTGGAAAATGGGAGCAATGTCAAAATAGCTTTGTTTGCCAGAAGGGGGAACTCCTTGGCAGTATCCAACCAAAAACTGTCCAAAGGTAGATCACCAAATCTTAGCTTGAAACCACGATTTTGTCTCAGTTCAGTTAGTTCCTCCTGCTCCTGTAAAGTCATGTCCTTTCCACCAACTGATGCTGAGCTATAAGGGTCCCTAACCCAGTCAAGGCATTCAGTGGAGACTGAAGAGAAATAAAATGACAACTTCTCTGGTCCTCCTGGTGACTCAAGTCGCGACGTCTTCTTCTCTCCGCTGCTGCGCACACTGTGCTCGGGCGGGAAGGAAGTCAGAAGATGATGTCCTACTGTGATAGGTCCAGGCTGGAGTCTGGACCAATCACAGCCCGGACATCAGAAAAGTGGAGGGTGTCCCCCTAAGGAGTGCCAATCGGCGCCCCTGCTGGCCGGGGGTGGGGTCAAAATCCCCATATCCAGGACACAGTCTGGCGCCCGCCTAGTGGGCGAAAATTTGAATTTTTTTTTTTTTTTAAATCTTTCAAATTTTTCAATTTTTCCCACGGCACACCCGGCAACATCTTGCGGCACACTAGTGTGCCGCAGAACAGTGGTTAAAAAACACTGCAGTAGTGTGCCACAGTCGGTCCAAGACCATTTGTAATGTTTTTCAATATGAAATTTATATTTAGAATATACTATGTCAACAACTGTAGTATTCTAGCTGCTGGAAAATTCAAGGGTAGGTGGTCCTAACACAGTTCTGTAGCTGCTATCTCCTATTTCTAGTCTAGGGCAAAAGACTGTAATATAACATTGTATGTGCCTCCGTGTGTGTATGTGTGTAGCATACGTGTAGCCAGTATGTACATTAATAATAATTATTATTATTTGTGTGTGGTCTGTGTGGGTGCATGAGAGTGTGAGTGGGGATAGGGGGATGACGGATGGTTACTTTTGCTTTGGCCATGCTGAGCACTGGGAGGCTGGCCTGTTTGATTATCCAAGCTCCCTGACTTCTTCCCTGAATAGGGCTCCAATGGCACCTTCCAGCTGTCCCTGCGGGGTCCAGATGCGTTTGCATTTTCAGTCTCACCCCGGAAAATCGTGAATGAAGGCACCGTTCAGGTCCTTGTAAACAATTCAAGTCTTGTGGACTACGAAAAGACACCTGCTATGACTGTGGAGGTGAGTGAAACAAGGGTCAGGGAGAGAGTCCCATTCCCTTCCTGCCAAGAACTGGGATCTTAACTCAGCCGTTTGTTCGCTAAAAGTAAGTGAATCTCCTTCTAGGCCATTTCAGTGTAGAAGTGAGGATTATGATCAGACACCCCAGAAGGTAGCTTTAAAAGGACTTCATTCTGCTGTCTGCTGAGAGCCTGAAGCCATCAGGCTGTGTGGGAACTGTGTGGTTAGCACTGTGTGACTGACCATCTTCTTGTAGAATCAAAGCATCCCCACCAGCTCTGGATTCTCATCAAGTATGAGCATCCTATTATACCTGGCTGGCTGCCAAGGAAATAGGCCCACGATGTAGACAGTCTTTGAAGCCCAGAAGACCCTGTTTAGTTCCTTCCCACAAAAGGCGGCAGCATGGAGTTTAGTAAGAGTCACTCTGAAGCCACTTCTGCCCCCATGACCATGACCATGCTTGGGCTGAGGTTTACTTGGCTCCTTCTAATCCTGGCAGATTGTAGCAAATGACACTGGAAGGGACACCGATTGCTGCTCCTTTGCTATGGTCACCATCAATCTCACGGATATCAATGACCACAGACCTGAGTTCAACCAGAGCGAGTACAAACTTTACGTACTGGAGGAGAGTCCACCTGGCACCGTTGTCTCCTCTAACATCACGGTAAGCAAGTTCCGCAGCTGCCTTGGGACCAGGAGGTGGGGGCAGAGAACTCTCTGTCTGTGTCATCAGAAGGACCTATTTTCTGTGATGTGGCCAGGTGCTTCATGGCTATGCTGAGAAGCAGGCATCTTGGGCTTCCTCCACATCCCCAATGGGGAAGTCAATTAAAAATAACAGTCAATTTGATCCTTCTGCTTTCTGCAGGCTACTGATCCAGACAGTGGAAAGTATGGAGAGATCACCTACTATCTGCTTCCTCAGAGCATGTATGTACATGGGATTGCTACAGAAACGGGGGGAGGAACAAGGAGAGCATTGTGGTGTAGGCCTACTTTTGCTGGGAGAGAACTAGAATATCTCAAAACTAAGGATGTGTCTTTTCTCTGTTATGCAGCCATTCCACGTTCACAGTGAATGCAACAAGTGGGGCAGTGCTAGTGGAGAATGGCTCTAATCTGGATTGGGGAAAGCGTGCTGTCTATTATGCCACCTTGCAGGCAGTGGATGGGGGAGGTCTGTCTGGATCCACACAGTTGGAGATCACAGTAGTTGACATCAACAACAACCCTCCAGTTGTGGTGGGCTCCTACAATGTCTTTGTCACGGAGGGCCAAGAAACCCGTGTCCAGATCCAGGTAATTTCAAGGCAACATTTCCTCCTTTATTGGACCTGAGCATTGGGCCTCTTTCCAAATTAGGCTGCTGTGCACTTTAAAGAAGTAGCCCTGGCATGATTTACTCATGGGACAACAGGTAATTACTTACTCCTAGTACATGCACCTGAAAGTTTATGTGGCAGGAGACACCTTCACACTTAGGGCTCACCCACACTTCCCATTTGGCCGAAGCAAGCAGGATCTTACTTCTTCTCATTGTTGGCTGAAAATTCCCTCAACTCACTTCCCAGGCCACCGACCAGGACGATCCAGAGACCAATAATAGCCGCTTGCAGTTTGAGATTGTGCCTGGCGAATTCAGCAGCAACTTCACTATCGACCCGAACACAGGAGTGCTGAGCAGTGAAGGGCCCTTGGACCGAGAAGCCATCCCTGCAGAGCTGGAGGGCAAGATAGTGGTGACAGTCCTTGTGCATGACTTGGGCATCCCTCAGTTGAACGACACAGTGAACGTCACCTTCATCGTGGAGGTAATGGTGCACCCTGTCAGGGCTCTGGAAAAAGGAGACTAATGCATAAAGAGGCACCTTAGGCCCTGCTCAAGTAAGCTGAGCCAGGTTCCAGAGGGTCTGTAGGTGATGGAAACAGGCACCCTAAGAGTGTGTGTTTTGTGGCAGATGGCTAACCCATGGTACTGGGGTCTCAGAAACTGTGTCATCCCTGCTCTGTCATTGCTGCGAGGATGCCCTCTATTATCTTGAGTACAGATGAAGCTGCCTTAGACTGAATCAAATTATTGGTCCATTGAGCTCTGTGTGGTCTACACTGACTGGCAGCAGCTCTCCAGGGATTCAAGCAGGGTCCTCTCTCTCAACACTCCTTGGAGATGCCGGGGAATTGAACCTGAGACCTTCTGCATGCAAGGCAGATAATCTACCACTGAGCTATAGCCCTTCCCCTAAGTGGATGCTTGGATGTGGAATTGCCCCATTACCAGTTTCCCCCTTTTCTCTTTAGGACATAAACGACAACGCACCCAGATTCAACAGCTCCTTTTATGAATTTTCCGTTCCAGAGGGCTTGAAAGGTACGGTGAGCCAGTGATCTTTAGTCCAGTGTGGAAAGGAACTAGAATTAACCTGGGACAACAATATGATGCAACAAGAGAGTCTGGCAACAGTGGCGGACCTTGGGGTCTCAAATTCCAGCAGCCCCCAATGCAATGCCAAAATTTGGTGCCCTCCCTTCCATTCTACAACATAGTTGTGGTGCCCCCTGAGGCACTCCGAGGCTCTGCACTCAGTGCGCCCAAACCTGTCGCTCTCCCCTGAATCTGCCTCTGTTGACAAAAATAGTATGCACAACAAATAGGGGGACCCAACTTATATCTAAAAAATACCTGCATTGTACTAATAGGTTTTCGACCATATACGAAAACATTATCTGTTTTGGCAAGCAGTCTTTTTCAAGTTCTTACAGATAAATGCTAACTTCTGGTTCCTTTGGCAGAATGGGATTTCCTTAGGAAATTATAAATTATCATTTATCTGTAGAAATTTGAAAAACCAACCAACCAACCCCTGCTTGCTAAAACAGATGTTTTACCAGTGATCTGTAGTATTTATTGCATTGATTAGCAGTGGGGAACAGGAAGATGTGGCAAGGCATTAAACAGGAAGCATATAATGGCTTTTCCTAGTTAGGAGGTGTTGCTTTTCATGAGCATTAGAAGTGTAGAGGTTGCATTGCTTTTTAAGATCTGTGGGGCTGTGGCAATGTGGTGAAAATGTTGTTATTCTTTCTAACTAACCTTCCATCTCCAGGTGTCTTTGTGGGGAGTGTGGAGGCTACCGATGCTGATCAAACAGTGATAAACAACCGTATCTCATTCTACATTGTAAGCAGCGCAGGTTCAAATAACTTTATGGTGCGTTCAAATCACCTTGGCTCTGGCTGGTACCAGGGGATTTTGAATCTGGACTCCGATGTTGCTCTTGACTACGATCGGCTGCAGCAGAAGTTCTTCAATCTGACTGTGCAGGCGGAAAATTCAGACTTTGGGGGGACCGTGGAAGCTGTCACTGCTGTGGTGAGGGTGAACGTGCTGGATGTCAACGACGAGTCCCCAACCATTGAGCCATCTCCACCACGAGACATTGAAGTTTTGGAGAACGTCACCCTGCATGAGTTAGTTGTCACGCTAAATGCCACCGACATGGACACCAACCACTCGCTGGTATTCCAGGAGTTAGCTGTAGCCTGCTTCAATCGTTCAGTCAATGTGGGCAACGTGTGCCGGGAGTGGTTCCTTCTGGAGCCCAATGGCTCAATTTTTGTGAATAGTTCGGAGATAGACTATGAGGCCTGTGACCTGGTGGAGCTCACATTGCGTGTTAAGGATGAGTTCACTGAGAAGGGAGACCCCTTCAGTGGAAATGGTAAGACATTAGGATGAAGACTTGGTTCTGCATCCCCTCCGAATCTTGAGCTTTACAGCTTCCTTCCTTTTCTCCATCAGTCCTACTTTCTCTTTGTGGCTAGGATGTAGCATTAGGTCCTAGCTGGAGATGCTTAGGGAGCCATGCTTGTTGGGTAATGGAAATACTATATGCTCCAGTCCCAGCCTCCCCTCAGAGGCAGTGTGCATTGTATATAGAAAAGCTCCTGAAGGAAATGAGTCAGTGAAATAGAAAGTTGGTACCTGGGCAAACTTTCCAGAGTCTCATCTACCTTGTTGCACAGTTGACTTTAAAAAACATGTTGTCATTGCATGAGGAAACAGCTAAGTGTGATGGTGGCACAACAACTCAACCTGTGTTCTGCTGGGTTTTTTAAAATAAAGCACAGGGTCCTAGACTGGGGAGATTATGGAGGGGGAGGGGCTGAATTTCCACCACCTGCACTTCTCCTCCTCCCAACCCCAAATAATCTTTTATCTGCAGCCATTTTTCTCCCAGCAGGGGTTACTCGTGGTTCAGGAGGCCCACTGGGAGAAATATGGCTACAGAGAACCTGTTTTAGAGGGGAAAGCATGGGTGAAATGATCCCATTCACATTTTCTGTCCCCGCAAGCTATCTCTTTAAGTATCTGCCCTGATCCCCATTCTTTTAGATGGATTTAGTGACAAAGTGGTTGAACACTAGGTTCTGTCAATGAAACGACTTAATTGCCATAAGCTTATTTTCTTATCTCTGTGGTTCTGCTGCTATTGCATCTACTTTGGATCTACTTTGTGGGAGGAATGTCATCGCTAATCTGGTCCCAGCATCTTCACAGCTGGAGGTTCCTTAGCACTGTAGAATGGTGGCAACAGAACAGTGAACTAATTTAGTAAGCTATGTGAATGGGCTGTTTGTTGAAGGACTTGAGAGACAAACCTTGATAGGTGATGCAGTATTGTGTTCCTCACTGGGAGCAGGGTGGAGTCTGCAGAGCCACTTCAGTCAGTAACTAGTGCCTCCTCTGTTGTGCCTTTTCTTCTTCCTGCAGAGACCCTGAGAATCTTAATCACTGATGTGAATGACAACCCACCGGAGTTTGAAGAAAGCACCACCACCTTTGGTGAGAGCAATATATGCAAGAGAAATGTGCTGCTACTGCCCCCTAATGGATAGATGGGTAGATGGTGGTGTATGAGAGACTGCATCAAAGATTCTCCTCCAGCTTTGTCCTCTTTTGATAGAAATTCCTCTTGCCTGCTCTTTGGGGCTGAAATAATTGGAGTCCCCCCTTTAATGAATTAAAAGCAATCGTAGCTCTCAGAAAGCTCCTCCTTCCATGGGAAGGGTATCCTTTCCTCCTCCAGTAGTGTCAAATAACCCATCTTCCCCTGTCAATTGTTAAGGGAGGAGCAGCTGGTTGCCTTCCTGTCTAACATTAGCCAGGACAAAGGAGGCTGGAGCTAGAAGTGAGAGCAAGCTCTTAGAAAAGACCTCTGTCCAGCATGCCCTGCTCTTTGGCACCCATTCTTTGATCTGTATCTGGTGTTTTGTTGCAGTGATAATCCCAGAAGTCTCTTCTGTGAACCTGCAGGTGGCTGTGGTCAAGGTGAGAGAATGAAATGTTGGGGCACATGTGTGTATGGGCGTGTACTCATTTGGGTACACAGTGCTATGTATACTGTGGTCTGTATTTGCCTGAGCTTGAGTCTGGACTAAGGATTCTGAGCTCCTGTGTTCCGATTCAATACATTATGTCCAATCACAGAACATTTCAGGATTTGGGCCTCTGCCATTGGCCCTTGAACTCTGACTCGTGATTCGCAGCTTGAAAGTTTAGACAGCCAGTCATGTTGGGAGTGGGAGTGGCCCAGGGTTTCAGGAATGTATATAAGCAGTTGCTTTGCACCTGTTTCCCAGTTATGTAGTTCAATAAAGGTTCTCACTGTTATCACTGTGTCTTGCCTCGTGGGAACCTACCTACACTTCACACAGCTCCTTCCTTGTGATGGGAACTGGCTCCTAGTTCCCACAGGCTATGCGATGTGGGGTAGTTCAAAGCAGCAGCAACAATAGTGTCCTCCTCCTCCTCCTTCCAGGCTAAAGACGCTGATTCGGGTGTGAACAGAGTGATTTCATTTGCCATCTCCAGGGTACTTTTCATCCCAGACAATGGACCTGAGCAGATCCGTGAAAATCTTTTCAAAGTGGAGACAACAGCAGAGAAGGACCTCTACATTGGGAGCATCCAGTAATTGATGGGGTTTTGTTGTCTGGGAGATTTGTGGAGACCACAGGGGTTGCCACTGTATTGACAGGGAGAGGAAATCCAGGAAGAATGGAAGCCAAGAGGAATGTGTACCATGCCAGTCATTTGATCTTGGGGAAATTCTGATAATAGCTTGAGCATGACCAACGCAGCTATACTCCTGCATCCTATCTAGAAAGAGAGTGTTGCTTCTCAGCACAGACAGTGATAGCAAAATAGGTAGCTTAAATGTTAACACTAGCTTCTCACTTTCTCCTGTTCGGGGTCTAATACTTCACTATAAATTCCAGTTTAGTACATGTTTTATCTGGTCTCCCTGTGATCTGTCCCCAAGCTTGGAGCAGTGTCCTAAGGGCCACATGCACAGACAGGGCATTGTGGAACTAGGGGCTGGTCTGTCCCTGTACAGACTCTGGGATCAGGAACTCTCAGTCCCTCTGATATCAATTTCTTTGTTTCTGCAGAGTTGCCAGCAGCCTTGACAGTTCATTGAAGGGTCAGTATCGGGTGACAGTGGAAGCCAAGGACCACGGGAACCCTCCACTGTATTCCTCAGTATCACTGGACGTAAGACAGCTTTCTGATCTACCCAGATTCCTTTCGCAATGCAGACATTCACCATGACTTTCTTCTGAGAACATTTGCCTCTCTCTTTCTCCAGATCTACACCGTTGATCAGAGCTACCGTGTCCGGCTGGTGTTTGATTCCTCCTTGCAGGAAGTGCAGTCTAATTTGGATGAAATCAATGTGTATGGCATTTTTCCCTTCCCTTCAGTGGGTTGATCCAGGGACATATCTATTGTATTGCAATTTGAATTCCATGGAAAATACAACATAAGGAAAGAAGCACTGCAAATATAATTAAAAACTGAGGGCTTTGTGTGCACTAACAATTCCTATTCCGCTAATGTTTTCATATCTAAAGCCGGATTCTGAAACTTACTGGCAACATTACTATCTCATGCCCCAGGGTGCAGGGCAAGCCATGCAGCACAGAGGAGCCGACCCCTGAACATGAAGTTAAAGAGACACTTAGAGACACTCATTTTCTGTGCTTTTTCCAGGGCTCTGAGTATAGCTACCCAAGCAACTGTCTATGTAGCAAACATCAGGTCCATCGAGGATTCCGGGAGCTCCAGATCTGACAGGTGACTGGGACAGAACAAGATGAAAGGAAATGAGTGAAGCTAAAGGGAAGACAGTAGTGCCTGAGAAGCATGAACAAAGGGGGAAGTACTTGTGATGCTTGCATCTATGGCTGGCCACAGGCATAGGAAGTATGCTGGTAGGAAGTATGTTTGAATGTCTGTAGAGTAAATGGAGAGGGGTAAAGAATATTTGCGGATTCATGTCCTCCTTGAGGTTGCATGTAACCAGTGTGACATGATGCTGTTGACTCTGTAGTGCTGATTCATCAGGGGTTGGCTGTGTTTGCAAAGCCAGTCAGGTTACCCAATAATTCCCTGGGGGTTGGCTCTTTGATCAGTAAAAGGTCTAGGAAGAGGCTTCTGGCAATACCCCTTTCCCATCCCCATACATGTCCCTCTAACACATCACCATCTCAACTCCTCTAGGGCTGTGGTGAAGACAGCAATGGAGGCCTATTTCGTCTATAGCAATGGCACAGCTCTGATGCCCGGAGAAGTACGCACGTAAGTGATGCATCACGGTGGAGATGGGCTGGGCTGGGCTGAGAAGCCCAGGCAAAGGTCAGTGTGGTCTTCCCCAACCTGGTGCTCTCCAGATTAAAGCATTGTAGTCTAAAACATATCCCATCATCCCTGACCATTGGCCAGAGTAGCTGGGGCTGATGGGAGTTGAAGTCCAAAATATCTGGAGAGTGCCAGGTTAGGGAAGGCTGAGCTTAAGAGCATGGGTAGGAGGAAAGAGGGGAGCATCAGAAAGGGGAAATGTGCATCTGCTCTGGCAGAAGTTTGCATGGCAAGGAAGTGTTTGAATTATGAGGGGAAAGGTAAGGATGGCTGATCCCCTCTGACTTAAACCCAGTTTGAATGAAATCATAGCCCTCCCAGTATTTAAGAGGCCAGGCTCCCTCTTCCCCCCACTCCCAGTAATTTGAATCGTGGGGAAAGTTTCCCCTTGGGATGTAGTGATGGCCACCAATTTGGATGGCTTTAAAGAAGCACTAGCCAAATTCATGGAGGTTAAGGCTATCAGTGGCTACTAGCCACTCCAATGGCTGTGTTCCATCTCCACTGTCAGATGCAACAGACCTCTTTATACCAGTTGCTAGGAATCCCAAGTGGGCAGGAGAGTCCTGTTGAACTCATTGTCATTCTCCTGCTTGTGGGTTTCTTATGAGCATCTGGTTGACCCCTGTGAGAACAGGATGCTGGACTAAATGGGCCTTTGGCCTGATCCAGCAGGGCTTCTTATATCCCAAGGAACACTTCATGGACACCTTTCTGTCTTCTTTCCAGACTCATCCAGAGGAACCCTGGGGAACTCTCTCGGTTGCTCAAGCTTGGCCTATCCATCATTGTGAGTGCACATTTCCTGCTCATACTCCCAAACACTGAGGAGCAGCTCTAGGGTCTCTTTGAAGTAAGGCGGCAGTGGTGGGATTTGTCAAAGCTCAAATAGGAGAGCTCTGTCGGAATGGGTGCATCGGAGGCTTGGTGTGTGCCCCTGGCAAGACAGCAAGCTCTACCTTGCCAGGGCAAGTGAGATGGCCATGGGAGAGATTGTGTGGCTGGAGCCAATGCTGGTGGAGAAACGGGCACCCTGGCAGAATGGCATGCTGGAAACCAATCTTGCACCACAGCTGGGACTGGCATAGAGAGAGGCTGTGTGCACTGAGGCTGTAGCCAGGGCATAACTGAAACATTATGTTGTAGACACGGGCGCTTGCTGAGCCAGTGTAGTAATACTCTTGTGTATCCCAGGGCCCTGTGGAAGTGACGCAGTCCAACCAGGAGAATGAGCTGTTCGCTGTCATTGCAGGGCTGGCTGTGGCTGCGCTTGTTATCCTCATCGTCATGATCCTGATAATCATAGGCATGAGGAAAAGGTACAAAAGTGCCCTTCCCCTTATTATGGCAGGTATACGAACGTACTTGCTGCAGCTGGTTCAACGCTGTCTCTATTTGTTTCTGCACACTCAACAAAAAAGGGGCTGGTGTATTATTAAGGGCTTTTTTGAGGGGGGGTGGACAGGTTTGTTGCTGTTACTGCTTTTTTTTTGTCTATTTCATGTTATGATTTGTGTGGAAATGGTTTGCTTTTTGATTGTTTGATGTGTTTGTTATGTAATTATGTATTTTTTCATGTTGTAAGCCACTCGAGCATGGTTTTAAATGTGGAAAGGCGGCATACAAATGAAATTCTATATGTATGTACACATGCTGCACTGCATCAGCACCTTCCCAAAAGCCAGCATAGCCTGCATCCCTCACGTGGTTCCACCATTCTGCTATTCCACATGCTTGGTTTTGTGGCATTCTCGTGGTAGGGCAGCATGTTCCCTGGCCTGACCAATAGCCATGATGGCTAAGTACTACTTGCAGAGGGAGAGTACCTCTGAATACTAGCTGTTGGAGATCATGTGTGGTGGGAGTGTTGGCCATGCCCTACTTGAGGGCTTCCCATGGGCATCTGGTTGCCTATGGTGGGAACAGGATGCTGGGCTCAATTGGCCTTTCGTCTTCTCCAGCAGGGCTCTTCTCAGGTTGTTCACTCTTCTTTCTCATTTCTTTTTGCAGTTATGTGAGGAAGCTGAGGGCCTTAAAAGCCCTGAAGGTGGCTTCAAAGTTCTCACCTGGTGATGTGGTACAGGGGCCTGCTATCCCTGGGACCAACAGATACAACACAGAAGGGTATGCTTTTGGGGTGGGGCAAGGTTTGCCCTAGTAAAAGGGGTGTATCCTGGATTGACCCATGGAGGGGCAAAATCAGGAAGAAACGTAAGCGTGTGCCTGCCTCCTAGTAGATCCCATGCCCTTTAGTTATTCAAATTTGTGTTGTTAAACTCCATGTGCTGAACTGGTCCTGTACTGAATTTGCAATGACAGAAGTATGTCCAAAATCTCCAGACAAATTCAGAAAAGTATTGATCTGTGGCTATACAGTGGAAAGGATTAGATTTGATGCCCAGGGGGATATCCATATTTTTAGCCAGTTACTAGTGAATTTCCTTCTTAGAAATGTCAAACTCTGCTGTACATGGGTAAGCAAAATTAAGGCGGAAGCTGTTAGTAGCCTTGACTATAGGCGATACACATTTTGTGCAACACCACAAGGCTATTGCTGCACTGTGTGCATCACACTGATAATTGTTATCAATTATGCATTGCATGTGATTTTGTTGCCTGTCTGGCACTCTGTGCTGTCTAGTCAGCTGAATGATAAGATTCTGGTGGGCTGAATTTGTAGCGATTAAGAAACTCACCACTGGACTATTCTTCTTCAGGGCTAACCCCGTGCTTGGTTTCTCCTTGTACCCCTCCCTGTACCTGGAGGAAAACGCCAGCTCTGAAGTGGCCAGGTATGCCTACGAATCCTGTCTTTCAGTCTCAACTCCTGTGTATGAACCAGGTCATGATTGAATGAATGAAACTGACTTGCCCTCCAAAGCCCCTCTTTCATGCATTGCCCCAAAGGTCACATTTGCCATGGGGCTGCTGCCAAAGAACTGAGTTGGCCACACACCCATTGTAATGTTTAGAATGACTAGCCACGTAAGGCAGGGCCACCACTTTGCGAGCCCGTTCCCCTCACTTCACATCCCTGGCTCCCGCTGGTGGGGGCATGGAGACTGGCAGCTAGGGGTGACAAAGAGCTCCCTAATCAGCCCATGCTGCTTTCCCTTTACAGCCTGAACTCGCTGGATGAGAACATGGTTGATGCTTCAGAGGTTGCTCCAGCTGTTTACAAAAGGGTGAGGACCCTCAGACCTGTCACTGCCCCACAGGACATTCTCCAAGCCAAAGCATGTTCCTGACATTTGATGATGACGATGACATACCTTTCAACTTTTTATGATGCAAAACCAGGATGCTCATCTTCCGGGGCACGCTCCCGGGCAAGTCATGTGACACATGCCCCTAAAAAGTGCCTCCCTTGTTTCATTTTTCCTTCTCTTTTGAAGAGCCCTGGACTGTTAATCCAAATGCCAGGCAGTGGCCCTTTATGACCACCATCAGGCCACACACCCTGTAGATGACCCAGTGTGACTTTGTCACAAGGCACATTCCAGTCAGGTAACCTATTACTGGTGAACCAGCCATACGTATGTCTTCAAGTTCAGCGAGGCTCTCATGGGGCGTCTCATCTTGCAGCACCACTGTTAGCAGGCCTCACAGGGGCCTTTCCAACCCACTGGGATGGGCAGTAAGAGGTATTGCGCAGGTATTCTGTGTACAGCCACGGAAAGTGCCTTCTGCACTACACTTTAAAGGTTTGCTGCAATGTGCTTGGCTCTCTTCAAGTGTAATGATAGGCCTGGAAAGACCCACTACTATGCTGTAGTAGCCTAGCTGCAATGGAGCTAAGATCAAAGGTATGTCAGCAGACACACACCCCAGGCTACCTCTTCAAAGTGGATCAACGCTGCAGTTCTTGGAGTGACAATCCACCCAATAATCCAAGGACACAATGGCAAATAGTACTTTACAACATAGATGGATCATATTCTAATCTCATACTCTTTCATCCCAGCAGGACAAAGCAGATGCTGTACACCAGGCAAATGGCCAGAATGAGCCACTGAAAGCTGCCTTAGAAAGCCACAAGAAAGACAAACCAGAGCAACCGGGACACACCAAGCAGTCTTTTGCCTTCGACAACACCTCTTTGGACACCAGTGATCTCTGATCACACCCTGCTTCCTCCTGGCAGAGGAAGAGACACTTATGAGCAGGACTTGTATAACAACATTGGCTCAGAGACATTGAGCCAGCAACTGTAAAGAAACTCACTGGGAATCCTTTTTAATCCATGACTTATGATTGTCTGCAAGCCTGCATCCTAGGCAGAAATAAGCCTGGCCCAAACTAGAGAGATCACACTGAAGAAGAAAGTGGAAGAGGTGGTAAGTGCCTATCATGCTAGGCAACACCAGTGTTTTCATGTGTTCAAAAGGTACGATGCAAAATGGCTTGTGGGTTGTTGTTTTTTAAAAAAACAATCAAGCAGTGTATAAATTTCATGAAATAAATAACATAATAAAAATTCCACCTCTCACTGGAAACAGGGTAGGGAGGGAATGGGGATTTAGAGTATTAGGTTGTATCCAACCGAACCTAGCACTAAGAGACGGTTTGTCAGCACAAGGATTTCTGCTTGCACACTGGGGTGTCCCCCCTCCCTGTGCATCCCCTAAATATGTTCACTCAACACTCTGGATAAGGTTTGGGAAGGGTGCAGGGTATGGGAGAAAGGGGCAAGTTTTGATGCACAAGTGGAGATGCATGTATTGAATATCATCCAAAACTACTAATCTCTGGGCATAGAACCTGTGCTGTGCAGTGCTACCACTATCCATGCTAAGGTGATGTATCTTACCTTGTTTTTCAATAAATCACGATAGACTGGTGGCCAGGTAGCACATTCAGCTTCCCATGTATCACCAGTGACAAAATAACAAGCCACTGTCCTGATTCAGCTCCTTGTATCCTGGGCTCACCTTTTCTTTTACTGGGATAATAATCCAAGCTTGAGTATTCCTCTGGAAAACTGTATTGTGGGGTTCTAAGGATAGGGCCTATATAGTCCTAGTTGTAACAGCTAAAGTCCTTCCTGATCACCAACTAACTTGCAGCTGCTTTGCAGGTTATTTGCTGTGCCTTTGATATGTGGTTGGGTTCATGGAGAAGCAAATGGGGGGAAACATTGGAGCAAGATCCAGGATCTGCCTAAGGTATCACCTCTTCATGACCGTAAGGAAGATGCTAGGTTAGGAGAAAAGTATATTGCCCAGTCAAATGGCAAACATATTAACGATTGCAAAACTAGAAGGGTGCCTCTCCTCTGCTTTTTGCTTGACGGGCATTGTGAGTCTGTTTCGTTAACAGATAAACCCTTTCCCCCACCCTTCAGCCCATAGTCAGTGCTTTCTGAAGTAGGCTTTGAATTGGTTTACCATTTGCATGGCTGTGTGAAGCATGGGTACCTTCCCAATATATATTCAGCAAATGAGGGAGCGTTTCCCTCACAGTCTGAAATTATTATAGTGGGAAACCGTGGTAAGATGCTGAAGCTGCTCAGACAAACAAACAGCATCCAGATGAACAGGTGAATGAATTAATGCGTTCTAAGATATGCAAAGGTGTACAAAGCCATGGTCTCTGAGCTTCTATCACCATCTACTGTAAGCTGCAGGGACACAAGCATTTTCTTCAGCTGTGCCAACAGACTTACACCCACTTAAAGACACCGTTGAAGGCAATGCTTCTGAGGCAGCTATTCAGGGAACTGATTTTAGTTACTATGAAAGAGCAGCAAAATGTTATTTATTAAAACTTTACTTTTACTCCCATAGACAGACGCTTGTGGGGTTTTCTGCCTCAGGTGCCAAAATTACTTGGCTGGCTTTGGTCATTATGCACCTTGATGGGAAGAGGGCTCCACCTCAGGCTGCAAAAAGGCTTGAACTGTCCCTGATAAAAGAGCCAGCAAGCCTGGATATGGGGAGGACCACAGATCTCAGCCCCTTTTACAAGCCCCCAAGATATAGCTTTGTGAAAGCCCATCCATGTAGCACTGCAGTGTAGTTCCCCCACCCCCACCCCACAGCAGAGCGAACCTGTTCTGACCTGGCAACAGACTGTGAAGAAAACAACCTTTCTCCCCTCCAAAGCGCTTGACAAACACAAATAAAGCCCTCTTGGGCAGGGGGCATATTGAGGTGGTTGCTTTTTTTTTTTTTTTGGAGAAAAATTTTATTATCCAACAGCCAGTTTTACAAGTTTGTACCCTAAACAAATAAAGAAAGGGAGGAGGAGAGAAACCAAAAGGCAAAGTTACTGTCAACAACTCATCATTGCTTGGTACTATAGATCCATATGGCACGTGAACACCATACTGAGAACAGCACACAAGGCAGGGCATAGGAATGGGAAGGGTCCTCGGCAGTTCTGTGAATGGCCCCAGTAACCTGGGGTGGGGGTGGTACTGTCTACATGCTCAGCATCCTACATCCCAGGGATGCTGCCAGCAGTTGGATGCAGGTTTGGGTGCAGATGCCTGCACCTTGTGGCCTGACATTTCTCAGATGGGATGCCTCTTCCCAGCTCCTCACTTGCATGGTTCTAGATGTGCCTCTTGCAGCATAGCGCTTGCCAGAAACTCAAGTTTCTGTTTGCCAGAAACTCAAGTTTCTCTGTGTGTAGACCTACTAGCATGCCAGATCCACAAGGCACCTAAACTCTTACAGGGCTTGGCTCCCATGTCTTGCAACTGGAAGGCTACTTGTGAGCACTGGGCACGGTAGAAACCCCTCTATGGTCAGTTCCTGTACATGTCTACTTATTCCCAAAGAGGAGTTGCAATAGACTGATTCAGAGCTAGGTTTGGGCAGGCAGAGCTCTTGCTAATACAATGACAGTATTGGACCAGTTCTTCCCCCTGTTCCATTTGTGGAAGTGCCTTGAACTGAATTTGGCACGAATGCTTGTGTCGGCCAAGTGAACCAGCACATCGATACCACGCATTGGAACCTGGTTGAGGTGGAGATTGTACAGTACACTCTCTCGAGAGAACAGCCGGAAGTCGTACCTCTTCTTGCAGACAGCAGACAAGTACCCTCTGTCTCTTCTCCATCTGTATTGGTACACACAGGTCCTTTTAAAGAGCCAACAGTGTGGTTCTTTGTTTGTGGAGAAAAGTTCTCTCTCCCAAGATCTGCACATGATACCGCTGGCTTGTGCTGCCTAGGGGCAATCCAGATTTAAGGCAAGCCCTTCCCAGCTGAATGGGATGGCATTAGAAGGAAAAGCCCCACAGCCACCAGCTCCATCAGAACTTTCTAGCATGTTGGTCAGCTTCACCATGTTGGCCAATCTGCATTGCAAGAGCAGAATGCTAAACCTGTGTGCATCCAGCTGGCTTTGGACCTCATCTCCCATCAGGCCCATCCATCAAAGCCAGTGGTCTAGGATGATGGGACATAGTCAAACAACACCTGGAGGGAGGCAGGGCCCTCATCCCAGATCTAAGAGAGCACTGAGGAACAGTGAGATTCTTCGGGCCTAGATCCTCTCTTCACAGTGTTGCAGTTAGGATGCTGAATGTTGTCACCACTAAAAGGACATAAATTCTGCCCCTCTGTAGGGAAAAAGCCCCAAACTTCCTAGCACCTGCATTTATAGTAGGACTGCTTTTTGTTTTCTTTTTGTGTTTTTCAGTGGGGTTGTTCCTTGAGGAGGAAATTTGGCTGAAAACTCCCATCCTGCTTGCCTTAGATGCACACTGGGAAAAGCTGAACCCAAATGTCCTCCTTCTGGGCAATGGTTAAAGATACAGAAGCCCAGCCAGATAAAAAAAAACTTTGGGAACTATAATTCACAGAGAGGTGAGGAGACTTGTAAACAGAAATCAACACGAAGTCTTCTGGCAAAATCAGGGTAGTACTACAAACAGCAGAGGTGCTCTCCAACTCTATCAAAAGTGAGTGTGGGTGTCAGTTTTTGGCACTACATTTCACAACCGAAAACATCCTTGAAGGAGGTGTACCTAGTGCAGCTACTCTGGAGGAAGGAGCTCCCCTCCAAAAAACAAGTCTTGGTTTCCACCATGTAAGTGTCCCCTGCTCTCTTTTTACACAGTGTCAAATAATCTCTCATCTATGCCTTCACAGATTTCATTTCTTAGGGGTGAAAGCCACAAAACCCCCAAATCCCAATGCATAAAATATTGTTGGGAGGGGGCGGGGAATGGGAGAGGCAGGAAAAGGAAATCAGCATCTTCAAGACACCTTCAGAGAAACAAGAACCTGATTTAGAGTAAACACAACAGAGTAAAGAGTGTTTTGTAAAAGCCCCCATATTCCAACACATATGAATAAAATACCCCACCCCACCCCAGATCTCTTGAAAAAGTCAGGAACATAAAAATTAGCCACGTTTCTGATGGCAACAGGCCTCTTTGCTCCCGGGGGGCAGGGGAATAGCATTGACAGGAAAAGAGGCTATGACACGCACGCTCACATGCACACAAGCCAGAGCACGCATCGAGCCACACTCTCGCACACAAGACGCGGGACCTTCCAAATTATTAGTTTCTCAGGCAAGTTGGTCGGGTGGCGGCATCAGCCTGTAATGCAAGATGCCACCACTGGGACTCAGCAGGGTCCTCTAGCAAAGGGAATGGAGGGCTCTGAGGGACCTGCCTTGAACAGACTTGCAGGGCTGCAGGCAAAGGTCGAGAGTGTAATTAAGAAGAGATTAAATATTTCATCCAAATTCTCTCCTGCACTAGGATGAGCCTGGTTACTCTTATTGCACTTTTCTCCCAGCCCCTGCTTTCTCTTGAAATGGTCCTTTAGAATAGGGAAGGCAGTCTGGTGCTGGACTCAAAAGGCAGTGGATGCTCTCCTGTCAGGGATTATTTAGCTTTGATTCCTGCAACTGGGGGGAGGTTGGACTAGATGCCCCTCAGGGGTCCCTTCCAACTCTACAATTCTATGATTCTATAATGCCCCGAACTCATTATATTCTGTGCAATGTAAACTATCAATCTCCACAGCAAGAACACTCAAGTTCTGTGGGCACCATAAAATTATGCAACTGAACAATATTAGGCAAACTAGCTTATTTTGTTTAAAGTTGTTCAATTGGATGGCTTTCTCAAGACCTGACACATGATCATTCAGCCAAAATCACCTTCAGAATGCTACCATGCTGCTGTCCCTAAGTTAAAACATATACTGTACTTCTGGAAATAACTGAAGATTTCAGACTGTTTCTTAACCTATTGGCACTGGGAGGAGGGAATCCCAAACTATGCATATGTTCTCTAAAAGCTGTGATCTGGCAGCCCCTACAACTAATCCATTCTAGACCCAAGATAGGATACTGCTAGTACAGTGATCTCCACAAACGCTACACCAAACTTTCCTAAACATGGGTCTCCAAAATATCTGAGAGCTGTTTCCAGTCTGTATCAAACAGACAAGTTGTTGAGAGCCCTGTATATAATCATCTGAGCTTGGCACTGTGAAAACTACATGTCCCAGGATGCAAAGCGGCACTGCCAAGCGTGTGTGGCAGTGTAAGCGCTGCTGGCTGAGACATGTCAAGTGCTTCAGAACTGGGCAAGGTGCTATTTGCTTGTAATATATAGGGTTTGGCCTGCATTTCCAGGAGACATCAGGGGTGTTGAGCGCCGTAATCCTGGGGACTTGAGAGATTCAAAAGGGACTGTCCCACACATTGCCTGAGAAACTACGTAACATTTGCACGTTCCAACTGCTATAAGAAAACCCTAGAGTTGGCCCGGGGCCCCCTTCACTCCACAGTAGGTCCTCCTCGGGAGCAGCAGCGGGGCCGCCGCACATTCTGCAGGAGTGCCCTGAAGACGCTGGGCTGCCTCTTGACCTCCCCCTTGGGGGGAGCCCCCTTGATGGAGCTGGCACGGGTGCTCTGAGGTGTCATCACCATTTGCCGGCCATGCTCTTCAATCTGCTTCTCCAGGTGCTTCTGGATGGCCATGCCCAGCACCTCCACCTCCATGGAGGCGCCGTACACTTCCCACGTCATGCCCTTCTCGTCCCAGCTGACCTCCCGCACCGGCTCGGGCGCCTCCTCCTGGGCCCCTTTCACGTGCACCTCAGGGTAGGACGCTTGGGGAGATTTGGTCACGGGAGTCATGGGCCCCGTGGCCACGGACCTGGTCTCCACCGGGATGGACACCTGCATCTCTGCATCTTTCTTGGCTGGCTTCTGCTCCGGGCCAGGGCTCTTCAGAGAGGAGGCCCCCAAGCCCCTTGTGTGGAAAGTGAAAGCCGAGGAGCCATCGGGTGGGTTGATGGGGCTGACGGCCACCGACACCAAAGACACACGATTGTCAACTTGAGTCCCAGCATCGTGCTGGGGGGGAGTGACCTCAAGTGAGCAGGTTTGGGTGAGAAGTTCCACAGATCTCTTCTCGACGTCTATTGTGCGCTCCTCACTCACAGCCACACTGGTCATTTCTGGTGTTTGTTGTTCCTGAGCTTGGTTTTGACACTTGGACTCAGAGGGTGTCACTTCTCTGAGCCCTTCTGCCTCCTTGGTGGCTTCACCTGGGGTTGTTTTTGACTCACCTGATGTGCCCTTGGCTTCATGAGGAACGGCAGCCACAGGGTTTCCTGGCACTCTACTGGAGTTCCCAGCTGTGTTAGCCTCCGGAGCAGGGAACCTCACTTCCCTGCTATGGTCCCCCAGCTGGTCTGTTTCTGTCGCTGGTCTGCTTGACTTCCCTGATGTGGCTTCAGCTGCCAAGGGGTCTTGAGTAAACTCCTTGGGAGCTTCTGGTGCGAGGGGACCTCCGTGTCCTTCACTCAAGTGGTCCGCTGCTTCACAGACATCACTGCTGAAGTGTGATATATCTCCCTTGGAGGCACCTGGCTGTCCTTGGCTTGTGTTTTTCAGGCACGTGGGAAATGCAGGACCCCCCTCGGAATGTGCTGTTGCTGCTTGGATGCCCTCAGCCTCAGCGGTTTTTTTGGTTGGTTCAAGAAATGCCACATGTTTCAGGGAGGCTGGTGCACTGGAAGGGTCCTTGTTGGTTGCCTTTAGGCAGGGCTCTGCCGGGAGATGCGTACCAACATCTCCAGGAACAGCTTTACTTTCCAGAGGGTTGCAGGTATTGGATAAGCTACTGGGAAGATCCCTGCAGCTTGAGCCCTGCTTGCTGTTGTGCCGCAAGTCATGATGGGCTGCTCGTTCCCCGTCCTCTTCCAAGGTGGTTCCTCCAGCCATTGCATCTTTCAGAACCACGGTACCTGTATCAGTGACTAGTTCCATGGAAGGCTTTGTGGCTACAGCTGGCGCCTTCTCCTTCTGGTCTGGGTTGTCCACCATGGTGTCTTCTTGGCTGCCGTCTTTGGTGCCAAGGTCATTCACACAGCAGTTCCTCATGGTGAGATCTCCTCCGTCACATCGGGTGTGTTGGAGACAGCTGTCTTTCTCCTGACTGCAAGGTAAGCTGCTGCTGGGCTGGGGAGCATCTTCTGGAACTGCATCTTGCTTCAACAACTGCAATGCTTCTGGCTGCTTAGCACTGCCCATCTCGAGACGAAACTTCTGCCATGCTATTCCATGCACCTCTCTTGGAGGACTCTAAAAGGGGAGATAAAAAGGGGTGGGGGACACACAGTAAAGTTATGCCTATGCTGGAAACTCACTCAAACACACCATCAACTCCAAGCTATTCATGTTTGGAGCCTTCTGTGTCTGAGGTGCCCTGGTATACTCTAGGTGTATCTGGCACATGTGTGGGCTTAAGACACAAGCACAGGATCTGGTAGCTGAAAAAGAATTTGGCATCCTGAAGATTCTCAGAAGGGTGTTAGGGGGTGTTTTTTAAAAAGCAAGTTTCTAGTCTTCGTATCTGCAGAGAAAGAGCTTGGAAAGCAGGCAGGCATTTCCTTGGGAGAGTTTGGGAACCAGGAAGATTCCCCCCCCCTCAGATTAGGATATGGAGCAACAGGGCACTTTCAGAAAACCCATTTATTGAGCGTCTATTCTGATTTGTTTGCAGGGAGGTGATCTGCTATTTCTAGAGCATTCTCTCCATTTTGGGTGGGGATTTTACCAAGCACCATCCTACACATTCCAGTACATTCCCATCACTTTTCTTACTGCCAAAACTTTTGAGGGAAGCAAATTTGTTGTGCCAGACTTCCCAATCAATTGGAAATGGGCAACCTGACTTTTTTGGTGAGTGATTTAATCCCACCTGAGAGCACAATAGTCTTGGAAGCGCCCTTAGAATTGTGGATCTGGGCCCATCTCCCACGGCTACTGCTCCTTGTCCACAAACTTCCAATTCTCCACAACCATTTACCCCTCTATCCCTTCTTATTTCTCTTCCTCCCTTCCATGCCACCTTTGTGCTAAATCCAGGTAGTGCTCAGTTTACTTGGTCAATTCATTATATACTCCTTTGAATAATAGCTGAACTACTTCTACAACTTCTGAGATTTTTAGGGTGGAGGTGCATCAAATAACAAAGAGAAGGCTCATTTTTGCCCTGTGTTCTCTAATGTGTCACCTCTTGAATGTAAGGCCTCATCAGCACTGAACGTTTAAAGCAGTGTCATTTCACTTTAAACAGTTGTGGCTTCCCCCAAAGAATCCTGGGAACTATAGTTTGTTAAGTATGGTGAGAGTTGTTAGAGGAAACTCCCATTCCCCGCACAGAACTACAGTTCTCAGAATGGTTTAACAATCAGTCTCTCTTCCTGGGTAACTCAGGGTTTTGTAGTCATGTTCATTTATTTCAATGAGTCTGCTCTGAGTAAAATGTAGTTCAATACCACCCTAAGAACTTCATAGTTGGAAGCCCCCACCCCCCGATGGGTTATTTAGTCCAACCCCCTGCAATGCAGGAATATGCAGGTGACCCATATGGGGATCGAACCTGCGTCCTTGGTGTTATCAGCACCATGCCCTAACCAACTGAGCTAACATACACTATTTCATCCACTAAGGTAGATCAGTACTGTTATCCTCATTTTACAGGTCGGAAGCTGAAGCTAAGAGAACATTAGTTCCCCTAAGGTCATATACTAAACACATGGCAGAGGCAGGATTTTGACTAGTGGTTTCCTCATTCACAATTCAGCCTTGTAGCCACATTACAACATTAGTCCCTAGACTGTAGCCACCTTTGCCTGAATGGTACAGGAAGTATCCATCACATATGGACAATCATATATTCAAAGGGTAGCAGCTGATTCATTCAGCTAATTGGGTGGGAGATTTGGTGGAGGAATTTAAGAGACTTGAAAGCTGCTCAGCCATGTCACAATTCAATAAACTTGATTCCACATCCCTGCCAAAAAAATAGCCTTATAAGTGAATGAACAAGATCAGGTCTATAGTCATTCCAGTGACACAAGCAAATTGCATGCCTCTAACTAAACTGCCAGCTGCTGTGATAATCTCCTGCAACATTTGCACACACAGGCTGGCCACATGATTTGTGCACATATATTCTGGCACCGAAGCCTGCAGAGATTCCATGGCGACAACGGAGAAGAGACATTTGGTTTGGAGGTGGTGTGTTAACAGCAAGCAAATAGTAGAAATCCCATTGTAACCACATATAATCAACTGCCGGCTCCCACCCATTAGAAGATGCTGCAAACTCTATGGGAATACTTTTGAGATTGCTTAGAGCCTTGGCCATGGCAACTGCAGGAGTAAAACAGCCTGAAAATATAATATAAACAAATACATATTATAACTTCAATTACACACCTCCCCAAAAAGAACGGAAAGGAAGAAAACAGAAATTATAAAAATTGTAGCAGAAGGTTCAACCTCAGTTCTCCAGCAGTGGGAATAGTAAGGCAACTCTAGACCACGTGCCACCTGAGATGACTTTCTTTGGCACCTTCTCTCCCTCTCAGGTGCACTCTCATCCCTATGGTTGTTCCTGATGCCAAAGCAGTAGCAGTGCCACGGCAGGTTGAAAGAAGACCTGCCAGCTGGGCTCATTATGTACCATCTGCATGGCTGGTGTGCGAAAATGTCAGCATGTGAAGGCGAAGTGAGGGGCAGGGTGGGTATGAATATAGGTGGCCATACAGAAACCTGACATATATGGGTGGGTCCCAACTACCTACTGCTGGAATTAGAGTACAGGAAGTGGAATCGAATCTGGAGATGGAGCCTGCCTAATTTCATTTGAGCCAGGAATGGGGAACTTGCAGCCCCCAATATGTTGCTGGACTTGACTCCCATCATGTTAAGGAAAATGAAAAAATTCTCCATGCGTCAGCAGTAATTGTACCCCACCCCATGCAGCTAAGGTATCTTGTGACTATCTTGTATGTGTTGCTGGGCAAACTAGCATGTAGCACCAGGTAGATAAGGGCTCAAGTTAAAGCATCCGTTGTTGGGGAGTACAGGAAAATCTGCTGGAGAAGTGGAGACTGTTGGAAGAATCCTGTGAAAATGTGAAAGACTTTGCGAAGAGCCCATCTGAGGAAAGTTGGGCAACCTGCAAGACTTCTGGACTCAGAGAATTCGGGCAGTTGCAGGACTTTGTTAGCAACTGGACTTTGCACTTGCTGTGTGGACTTTGGTCTCATGAAGGACTTCATAAGCTGGAACTCTCTCTGGGCTCAGAGAGTGAAGACTTCTTGTAGCAACTGTGTGTTTACATAGCTCCTGTGGTGAGCCAAACTGCTCAACTGAACTTCCATGGTGCATATACAACACCCAACACACCATCCCTGACCACTGGCCATGCTGGCTAGTGATGATGGGAGTTGAGAGCCCAGCAACTTCTGGAGAGCCACAGGTCCTCCATTCCTGGTTTAAGCAGAAGATACTGTTTGGTTGGCCAGCTGCCTTTTATTTTTGCCAGCCTAGAAGCTCATACTACCCACTAGTCACAGGTCTACCACTGGCCAGCAAAAAAGAAAACAGTGCATGCCAAAAATGCAGTTAAGACTTCAAACAACACTGAGTCTGAAGCAACTACTGAGCCATTGTTGTGAAGTCTAGACCTTCTCATTCTCTCCCTTCATCATGCTACATTCATATAATAAAGGAAAGCACATGATCATTGGCTATAATCAAGAAGGTATGGAATAAGAATAAACATCAAAAATCCACACCAAGGCAGCCTAAATTCTCCAGAAACATTTTTGCACAATTCTCCACAAAGAGATGCTCAGTTCTGCAACTGCATAAATTATATAAATTCCAACACATCCTCAAGCTTCTCTCTGCAGCCTCAAGGACTAGAAATTTGCTTTAAAAAAATGAAGCATGAGATTCTTAGGTCATTGGTTTCTGTGCCCAACTTCAAATTCCATAATTGCATAATCACAGAACACACACAGTCTTGTCTATGCAGGTGGAATATGTATTGTGTTGGTAGTAGCTAAATCTTTATAACAGAATCCAAACTGATTATTGTTTTGCCTTATAACATGCTGAGACTAAGAGCCCATGCACTCTCATTCTGACTCCATTTTAAATGGTTCCATATGGAGCTTGTCGCCATGTGGGGAGATATTTGTATGCTGCCATTCAGAATACTTTTCACAAAAAATGGCAAAACCTAAGAGATCTGCCTGACTCTCGGTGGAAAGTTCCCTGTTTCATAACTATCTACACATTACTTGCAAAGCAGGAAAGACTTAGGGGAGGGATGTAGCAGAGAAACAGTTGATGGAGAAAGGATTAAAAACCTCCCCTTTTCTGCAGCTTCTCTGCTCTCATTTTTTCTTCCCCACCCCCCAAGGCAGATTTCAGTCTTCAAAATAGTGCTGCGTCTGGCTCAGTTAACATATAGCTTAGTCCCATCAGAGAACATTGGCAAAACCAGGGCCTTTTTTTTCAGCCAGAACTTGACTAAACTCCGTTCCAGCGCCTCTCAGGTGGGGGTCGCTGCTATTATAAGAGAACAAAGGAGGTGTTCATGCTGTGTTCCAGCACCTTTTTTTCTAGAAAAATAGCACTGGGCAAAACAATTTCCTAGCTGCTTGGTTTTAAGATGGAATGGGTTCTTGGAAGAGGAAAGGGTTTTCAAGAAATCCAATTGGCAGGCACATTACCTACAGCCAAGTGTCTTCTACACACATAGGATAGACCATGGGTAGGCAAACTAAGGCCCGGGGGCCGGATATGGCCCAATTGCCTTCTAAATCTGGCACGCGGACAGTCCAGGAATCAGTGTGTTTTTACATGAGTAGAATGTGTGCTTTTATTTAAAATGCATCTCTGGGTTATTTGTGGGGCATAGGAATTCGTTAATTTTTTCTTCTTCAAAATATAGTCCGGCCCACCACAAGGTCTGAGGGACAGTGGACCGGCCACCTGCTGAAAAAGTTTGCTGACCCCTGGGATAGACAATCAAAGCAGACAGACTCTCATACCCACAGCCCTGTGCTGATGAGACACAACACAGCTCTCCACCCCAAACACATATTCCACTTAAAGCAGTGTTTGCCTAGGAGTTCCACTGGGCAACCTTTCTTGCTTTCCTGCTGATCCGGGAGTTATCCACAGCTGAAAAGCTCATCTTCAGCTCAGTGAGTAAGCCTGCCTCTCTTATCACTTTATTAACTGTGGCACTCCTTCCCTGTACACTCCAGCAAGCGCTTATTCCCCAGGGTAGGGAGTCTGTAAGTCGGGAGAGGCACCTCATTCATCACTGCTTTGTCACACATGAGCTCCTTCTCTACAGCCCCACTCCAAGGGAGCCACGTACTTGAATTTGAATCCAAGAAGATCTAGGAGAGATTCTTGGGCTACTTACATTTTTCCATGGGAGGATATCATCCACAGGGACCACTACATCCAGTTGCAGAAACATGTGAGTTAAGCACTTTGGCACAACAAGTTCTCCTATGTTTTATCTGCACGCATTCCTCCAAGCAATAAAAGCACTGCGTCAAGATCTGCCTCTGCTGTCGTCAACCTGGTGCCCTCCAGCTGTTTTGGACAACAATTCCATCAGCTGTGCAGACTATGCCTGATGGGAGTTGTAGTCCAAAACTGCTGGAAGACACCAGGTTAGGAAAGGATGATCCACCTTATATTCCAGTTAATGGTGGCGAATGCTCAAAGTTATGCTTCCATGTATCCAGAAACTTGTATTCGGAGTACTAGAGAGTATTCAAGTCTTATATGTCCCCACACCTATGAATATAATACAAACATATTTCTCCTCCTACTTTTTTTATTTTATTTATTTAATAAAATTTATATACTGCTTGACTGTAAAAAACTTCAAAGCGGTTTACAAGCCCCCCCACTAAAATCAAGAAAAAACTATACCCCTACTTACAACATACAAAAGCTGAAATACTAAAACAGATTAAAGTTACCTCAGCTTTCTAAACACCTCGGTAGGTTTGTCTAAACAAGAATGTTTTTAGCAGGCACCGAAAAGAGTACAGCGAAAGCGCCTGCTTGATCTCAACAGGCAGGGAGTCCCAAAGTGTAGATGCTTCCACACTAAATGATCAAGCTCTTAAAAATACGGAGCGGGTATCATGTGGCACCTATAGTAGTGCTAATTCCTCTGATCGAAGCGGTTGACCTTTTCTGCCAAAGCTTTTAGGATAAGCAAGTCTATCAATATTTATACCAGGTTTGGGGAACCCTTGGTCCTCCAGATGTTGCTGAGCTACAACTTCCAGCAGTCCCGGCAATCGTGGCCAATGGCCAGGGATGATGGGAGTTGTAGTTCAGCCACATCTGGAAGACCAAAGGTTCCCCAAACTTAATCTAAAACTTCTCCTGCTAGTGGACATGTTATGAACCCTCCCTTCATCTCTCTGTGCGTTAGTTATTTCCCTTCCATCCACATTTATTATGGGCAAAGGATAGGACTGGCATGCACTCTGCAAAAAAATATTATTATTTGGTGCCACTTTCTAGAAATAAGCACTAAGCCTTTGGACATCTCCTTTTCTGGCAGACCTATCTTCTTGGCTCCAGTAGTCTCTCTAGAGTTGGATATAAGCCAAATACATGCAAACACAACTCAAGTACATGCAATTGCAACCCAAGTGGACATCCTTGCCTAAGAAAAATAGAGGCAGAGGCTCCAGTCCATCTACAGAGACTGCCAGAGTAAGAGCAAAGGTCTGCCAATAAATGAAGCTCTCCAAAGGCATATTGCTACACTGGAACAGAATTACATTTTCAATTGCACTTAGAAAATACGGTTGGGAGGGGAGTTGCCAAAATATAAATGTGTGCTTCATCTGCATATTCATTTGCAAATTGTAGATGCTTGCATATATTTGCTTAGTCAAGTAATGTCTTCTGCTGATCATAAGGACAAGGAGCTATGTGGGATAATGAAAGCCCACTGGGAATACCAATGATCCGCTGGGAATACCCACTGGGAATACCAATGATCCACTTTCTGGCTTTTCCAATTTTACCAGGTGTTGCCCATGCACTTTCAAGTCTATCTTTGCAGCAGTGAGGACTATAAACTTACTTTAGGAAGGAAGAAAGGAAGATTGATTTTCAGGAATTTTGTAACCAGTACCATATTCCAATCACATGGAATAAAGTAAGGGTAAAGGTAAAGGACCCCTGGATGGTTAAGTCCAGTCAAAGGTGACTATGGGGTTCATAGAATCATAGAATCATAGAGTTGGAAGAGACCACAAGGGCCATCAAGTCCAACCTCCTGCCAAGCAGGAAACACCATCAGAGCACTCCTGACATATGGTTGTCAAGCCTCTGCTTAAAGACCTCCAAAGAAGGAGACTCCACCACACTCCTTGGCAGCAAATTCCACTGTTGAACAGCTCTTACTGTCAGGAAGTTCTTCCTAATGTTTAGGTGGAATCTTCTTTCTTGTAGTTTGGATCCATTGCTCCGTGTCCGCTTCTCTGGAGCAGCAGAAAACAACCTTTCTCCCTCCTCTATGTGACATCCTTTTATATATTTGAACATGGCTATCATATCACCCCTTAACCTCCTCTTCTCCAGGCTAAACATGCCCAGCTCCCTTAGCCGTTCCTCATAAGGCATCGTTTCCAGGCCTTTGACCATTTTGGTTGCCCTCCTCTGGACACGTTCCAGTTTGTCAGTGTCCTTCTTGAACTGTGGTGCCCAGAACTGGACACAGTACTCCAGGTGAGGTCTGACCAGAGCAGAATACAGTGGCACTATTACTTCCCTTGATCTAGATGCTATACTCCTATTGATGCAGCCCAGAATTGCATTGGCTTTTTTAGCTGCCGCGTCACACTGTTGGCTCATGTCAAGTTTGTGGTCAACCAAGACTCCTAGATCCTTTTCACATGTACTGCACATGTACAAGCCAGGTGTCACCCATCTTGTATTTGTGCCTCTCATTTTTTTTGCCCAAGTGCAATACTTTACATTTCTCCCTGTTAAAATTCATCTTGTTTGTTTTGGCCCAGTTCTCTAATCTGTCAAGGTCATTTTGAAGTGTGATCCTGTCCTCTGGGGTGTTAGCCACCCCTCCCAGTTTGGTGTCATCTGCAAATTTGATCAGGATGCCCTTGAGTCCATCATCCAAGTCGTTGATAAAGATGTTGAATAAGACCGGGCCCAAGACAGAACCCTGTGGCACCCCACTAGTCACTCTTCTCCAGGATGAAGAGGAACCATTGATGAGCACCCTTTGGGTTCGGTCAGTCAGCCAGTTACAAATCCACTGAGTGGTAGCATAGTCAAGACCGCATTTTACCAGCTTCTTTACAAGAATATCATGGGGCACCTTGTCAAATGCCTTGCTGAAATCAAGGTAGGCTACATCCACTGCGTTCCCTTCATCTACCAGGCTTGTAATTCTGTCAAAAAACGAGATCAGGTTAGTCTGACATGACTTATTTTTAAGAAATCCATGCTGACTATTGGTGATCACAGCATTCCTTTCTAGGTGCTCACAGACTGTTTGCTTAATGATCTGCTCCAGAATCTTCCATGGTATTGATGTCAGACTGACTGGGGGGTAATTATTTGGGTCCTCTCTTTCCCCCTTTTTGAAAATAGGGACAACATTTGCCCTCCTTCAGTCTGCCGGGACTTCGCCTGTTCTCCAGGAATTCTCAAAGATGACTGCCAGTGGTTCTGAGATCACATCTGCCAGTTCTTTTAATACTCTTGGATGCAGTTCATCTGGCCCTGGAGACTTGAATACATCTAAACTAGCCAAGTATTCTTGTACTATCTCCTTAGTTATTCTGGGCTGTGTTTCCTCTGCTGAATCATTTGCTCCAAATTCTTCAGGTCGGGCATTGTTTTCTTTATCGGAGAAGACTGAGGCAAAGAAGGCATTGAGGAGTTCAGCCCTTTCTGTGTCCCCTGTTTGCATTTCACCATCTTCTCCTCTGAGTGACCCCACTGTTTCTTTGTTCTTCCATTTGCTACGAACATACCCATAAAATCCTTTTTTGTTGCTTTTAATCTCTCTAGCAAGCCTGAGTTCATTCTGTGCTTTAGCTTTTCTGACTTTGTGTCTACACGTGCTGGCTATTTGTTTGAATTCCTCTTTGGTGGTTTCCCCTTTTCCATTTTTGTACACATCCTTGTTTAATCTTACCTCAGTTAAAAGTTCTCAAGATAGCCACCCTGGCTTCTTTAGGCACCTTCTATGTTTCCGTCTCATTGGTATTGCCTGAAGTTGTGCTTTTACTATCTCCCTCTTAACAAACTCCCAGCCATCATGAACTCCCTTTCCTTTTAGTATTACTGTCCATGGGATCTCACCCAGCACTTCCCTAAGTTTTATGAAGTCGGCTTTCTTAAAGTCAAGAAATTGAGTCCTAGTGTGCTTGGCTGCTCCTTTCCGCTGTATAGTAAACTTCAGAAGAGCATGATCACTCGCGCCAAATGATCCTTCCACTTCTACCCCACTAACCAGGTCATCAACATTGGTTAGGACCAGATCTAAAATGGCTGTTCCAGCGCTCATCTCGCTTTCAGACCGAGGGAGCCGGTGTTTGTCCACAGACAGCTTTCTGGGTCATGTGGCCAGCATGACTAAACCACTTCTGGTGCAACAGAACACCGTGACAGAAACTAGAGCCCACGGAAACACCTTTTACCTTCCTGCCACAGCAGTAACTATTTATCTACTTGCACTGGTATGTTTTCAAACTGCTAGGTTGGCAGAAGCTAGGATAGAACAATGGGAGATCACTCCATTGTGCAGATTCGAACCACCGACCTTCTGATCGGCAGCCCTGAATATAGTAGTACTGGAAGGGAAATTGTGAGACTGAGGCCACATTTACACCACACACTTAAAGCATTATGGTACACACACACACAACCACGTATATACATACATTTCTTTGTGTGCTGCTTCTCCACAGATACCATTTGAAGCAGCCATGGCTCCCCTCTCAATAATTCTAGGAACTGTAGTTTTTTAAGGGTGCTGAGAGTTATTAGGAGACCCCTATTCTCCGCTGAGTAACAATTCTCAGAATGGTTTAATGGACAATCCCTCTTCACAGGGAACTCTGCGAACTGTAGCTCTGGGAGAGGAATAGGGTTCTGCTAACACTGCTCAGCCCCTTTAACAAGCCATACTTCCCAGGATATTTTAGAGACAAGTGGGATCATAGTGTTTTAAATGTACTATATGGTGTAAATGTGGCCTGAGTGAAAACATTCTAGCACACACTTAGATTTTCCTTCAGACATGGCAAGAGTGAGACACAGTAGTTTGGCTTCCCCTTGCAAAAAGGAGAACCTGCTTGTTACCTTCTGGTTGTCTTTTACTTTCTCTAACAGCACACCTCTCCACAAGCAGTGACGGCACAGGTATGTGCAGATGTGCTTAATTTGCATAAGTGGATTTCTCTGCCATGTAAACAAAGCAAAATGTAGGCACCAATCCTAGACTTGGAAACAAAGGCTGTGTACAAACATGCATAATTTGAGGTACAACCTTGCTGTGTTTTGTTTAATTAAACTATCCTCCCTGCTGAATTGAGCTCTGAGGAAAGAGGTTCCAGGAGTTTGCCACAGGAGACAGCTGTGCAGAGGGCTAAAAGGCTGATACTTGTCACGGAACAAACCCAGCTCTTCTATCCCCTTCCTGGACTAGTTTTCCAGCTTTTTAATTAAAACAGATAACACCTTTAAAATTAATTAATTAATAGGAAGAATTATGCCTTTTTAATTGAAGAAATGAAGATTTTTTTGGGGGGGGGGAGCTGGACTGCCACCCTGGAAGATGGGAAATGATAATAGATTCATAGAGTTGTAAGGAACCCTAAGGGCCATCTAGTCCAACCCCCTAAAACGCAGGAATCGCAAGATGACGACAAAAATAGCATTTGAACTGCTGTTACATTTACACTTTTCATTTATTAAATTTCTATACCGCCCTTCATCTGAGGATTCCAGGGCAGTTTACAATATAAAAGCACAAACATAACATAGTAGCAAACAACACAATATTTACGAGGCTGTCCTAGAGATCCACCAGGAAAAAATAATTAAAACTTTGGATTTTATGCTGGCAGGGCTGTGAGGTACAAGGAATGAGGAACATACTAGCATATGTGGTGGGAAGTAATTATGTGCACAAGTTCTGGAATCAGATTGTAATGGAGACTGGTATTATTATTATTATTATTATTATTAGCAAACAGGTCACCTTGGAGGCTAAATTACATCTCTTATTCAGTTTTGATGGTGCCAATGCTCATCTTATTTCTCAGCAATTAATTCTATATCTGTTGGCTGCCGCTTGTCTCTCAAGTGTGGAAGGACGCATCTTGTGATTTTATGGATTTGGATTTTGTGTGTCAGCAACCTGGAAGTCATTGACACGGCAGAGTGGGAAAAATCATTCCCTGTTAATAAGGAGATTCCCTATTGGCAATAAACCTTCAAAAATCTGGGGATATGGAGTTTCAAAGGACACTGGCACCATATAGGAGTGCTCCAGGAAGATTCCGTACACGGTTTGCAAAGGCTCTCATAAAGATCATCTGCAGTGCCTCAGGCTTGACGTTTGGAAATAAGTCACTTTTGGAAAAGGTTTCAGCCTCACTTCCAGTTAGCAAGCCATTGCAGAAGTTTACAATGAAGTCATTCTCATTGGATCTTGGAAAGGTAGCTATCCATGTAAACTAGCCACTGTGGGATGGGTGTGTTTATTTGGGGGAGGGGTTTTGCCAGCTGTGCTTGCTGGCTGCCTCCACTCGACCAAAAGGGGCCTGTCATACAAAGAGAAGCCTCTTCTTCAGCAGTTGTCCTGCGTTGCAGGGGTTGGACTAAATCACCCTTGGGGTCCCTTCCAACTCTAAAAATCCACAGTTCTATGAATAATAACAACAAATCCTGTTTCTAAGCTACACCCAAACACTTAAGTGGCTTCTCAAAAGAACAACTACTTCACTGTAATGTGATCTTCCATGCGCAGGGTGAGTAAGTGTGGGTCAACGGCTTTGCCTTCAGGGCTACAAGCTGGGAGTCAGAACAGATAAGAGGCCTTCATGAAGGAGAGTAAAAAAGTTGGTGCCTATATTTGTGTGCATGCATGCGTGCGCACACACACAAGTTTAACTACATTTGGGGGTGGGGAACAATTAATCAGTTAACTTAAAGATAGCAGAAATACACAGAAAACACCATGGCAGGTGGGGGTGAGGATGGGGAAAGCTGAAGATATTACACCCCACTCTCTTTTGGCCAATGGCTTTGTAGGAATGCTGTTCTCCAGTGGTACCACTAAGCAAGTAGGCTGCCCCAAAAAGGTGGGCTTGCCAATGGATTGTGGAGTAAAAAGAGTTCAGACAGTCCTGGATCTAAAAAAACAAAACCCAGTGCACGTAAACATTCACCTTCTTAAAAGAACTATTTCCCCTCCTCCCTCTAGTCACATGGTAAGTGGAAGCTGAATCCATGCAGTGCGTATGTCTTCACCCTCGGGGGTTGTAGCTAAGGAACTCAGCTGGAGCTTTTCACTGCATTTCATTATATTTCCCAGGTCTGCAATCTTGCAGCAACTAGATGCTGCCACAAATCCCCCGTGAAGAGCCATCAGGCAATCTATGCTCAGGCAGGCGAGGGAGGGTCATTGGCTTTGCAAGCACCGTTTGGTAAGCTTTTGATTGAGGAGTCAGAATCTGGCCCACGGGTGCCCTTGCCTAAGACAATGTGGCTGTTTTTACAAAAGCAGGCCGAGGCTCCAACTCATCTGCAGCAGGGGTGGGCAGACTTCAGATTAGTTGGATCTACACTGTCGTTTTTACTAGAATCCCAAGATCTACCAACCAGAGCCAAAAGCACACAGATAAAATCAAAGAGCTGGGTGCCTCTGAGCACATTCTGAGCATAGGAATTTGTTTTGAAAACCAGAACTGAACAGAACTCATAGTCAAAGAATCATAGAATTGGAAGGCACTCTGAGGATAATCCAACCCCCTGCAACGCAGGAATACGCAGCTGTCCCATACGGGGATCAAACCTGCAACCTTGGCACTATCAGCACCGTGCTCTAACTTACTGAGATATCCAAGGCATTTTACATCAAAGTCCTGGACTTTGAAGAAGCACAAACTCAGGGCGGAAAGGAGAAATGGGCTAACGGGAAGGCACATTCGGCAAACCCTCACCATGATCAGCTCCCACCCGGAAACCTATGTCCCCATTGTTGAAGGACGTGTGGATCCAGAACTGGCCTCCACAGTCACTTACAGGCTCACTGTTAAGACTGTGGTCATGGAAGACAATCTTACTCAGCTACGAGTGATAGCCGAAGAAGACATCAAAGTCCACTCCTAATTAGCTTTCTTCACTTCAGCAGCCTAATTTAGGCTTTTAATTGATAAACAAATGAGAGTCACAAATCCTTGGTTCTACTGAAAATCACCCAGTAAATCCCAATCTGCCTTCTGCCCACCTCAGATCTAGAGAGATTGCTAGGGCAAAGACACAGATGACAGATCTATCAGCAAGGGAGCTGTCCAAAGGAATAGTGCTGATTGCTAGACCAAAAAAAGGTTTGTTGTTAGATGAGAAAGATGCTGTAGCTCAGGAAGGCGTACAAGAGGATGGGAAAATCAGCAGCAGTGCCACAGTCATCGTGGCAATGCATTCTGGGACCCACATGGAATAACAGTAAAGTCCATTCTGTGGGCTTTTCTTGGCAGTGGTTGTGGCTGAGAAAGATCAGTGCATTTAGGCAACAGCGTCAACAAATGTAACAAAATACACTGGAACTGAAATTCATGAATGTAAATTAATATAGTACATAAAAAGAGGTGGAGGGAAATCACAGGTGGTGCGCTTTCAGTTTTTCTGAAGTACTAATAACCCATTCCACAATTAATTTAGATGTTTGGATTGGGTAGCAAAGGGGTGAGTGAGGAATGGGAATTAGGATTTGTAGGCACCTATTGCATCTGGTTTGCAAAACAAGCTTAGTTCCAAGTATACATATATAAAATGCCAGGTGTGTGCAGAATGTTCCTAGTTTGCATTATATAGTCAGATGGCAGAATCTATTTTGGGAGGGGGGAGGGGGAAGAAGATGATGTACACCAGGTATCTTCAACCTTTTCAGACCCAGGATCCACTTTTAACGCAAACATGCATTTGAGGACCCATATCTTAATCTTTTACCAAATATTTACATGGTGGTAGTGCTTCTGTTGCCACTCACATTGGATCAGGTCGCAACTCTCTAGTGGGTCTCACCCTACCAGTTGAAAACTAGTGCAGTATGGGATTTTTAGTGCAGAATTGCAGAAGCTCTAACATCTCTCACACAAATGAGTGCAACTCATTGTGGCAGGGCAGGATCTCCCATCAAATCAGGCCAGCTTCTATTACATCTGAGCAGTGACATGTTCTGCCATGTGTTCCCCCTCAGTGTCCATCCATGTTTGAATAATCTGTCTCTTCCAAGAACCAGGCAGCTGCCTGTCCATCTCAATCACCTTCTCTCATTCCACACAATGGCACCAAATTCTGCTTGAACTTCTACATTGTTTTGGCTCCAACACCACAGGGGTTACAGGTTTCCCATTGTCAATGAAATTCAAATCCTACCATTGCTAAGCACAAAAGAGAACTGCAATAGGGCAGCCTTGTAAGTAAGCCCACAAAAGTTGCTAGCCTGTGGGGTTGGGGTTGTTCCCTACTAGTATGGAAATGCAGTGTACTGGCCTCTTAGTAAGCTGGTAAAAATTTGTCTTCCACCAAGTGGAATGGAAGAGAAAGGATGGACCTGAGAGACTGCATGGAAACCAAGTAGATTGGCAAAGAGAAGGCAGAGAGATCCATTCATGCTAGACCAGCCTGTTTACTCTCCTGCATGGATTTCCTTGTTGCTTAGGGCAGGGGGTTGGACTAGATGACCCTCAGGATCCCTTCCAATCCTACAATTCTATGCTTCTATTATTACTACTTTATTATTATTTATTCAACTTATTAGTCGCTTGCGACATAAGGAATCCCCAAGCAATTTACAAAATTTTTAAAGCATAAATGTTGATGGTGGTGCCAGGCAGACCTAACTGGAGAGAGCATGAGTGTGGAGCCACCACTGAAAAGTCCCTCTCCCTTGTTGCTCCCTTGGCTACCAGGCAAATAGTTGAATACAAAGCTGGAATAGGCAGCTGTGAAAACTTCAGATCATGGCCAGATAGCAATATAGGCAAGTGGGCAGTAAACTGGAGTCCAGAATAATTATACCACTTTTCAATTATTTTTAATTATGCCTCCCTCAGCTACATAAGTTATGTATCAACGGCTGGCACCTTAGCAGTCATAACTCTGCCTTGATCTTAGAAGCCAGCTTTCAGTTGAATAGTAATAAGCTGGCATCTTCAAGGAGCCTGCAATTCTGTCCTCAAAACACCCCCCAGCAACAAATCCTCCCAATTCTGGGATAGGAATAAAGCATGCCTCACGAATGCTTGCTCACAAAGCTGCTTAATTTGATGCAAAATTTGATGGGAAGGTTTTTGTGTGCATGCCCTGAGGAATTGTGTGAATGCTGTGCTTTAAAGAAATGGGGTGGGGTGGCTGAAACTCATTGGTGCTCATAAGCAAATGTGGTTGATGGGAAGGAAACCTGTCTCAAAAAATAGACATGAAGAAAGAGGAAATAAAACTTGCTAAGTCAAGCAGAGGAGCGGAAGTAGAATCCCACATGCCAGGGCTGGCCCTATCATTAGCCAGAAGAAGACAGTTGCTTCAGGCAGCAGATTCTGGGGAGCAGCATTCCTCACCCCTTCCGAGCCCACCAATACCCCTCTGTTGGGAGGACAGGGCTATCTGTGCCCCACAGCCTGTCTCGCTTCCCTCTAAACTAGTCTATTTCCCTTTGTTGTGGTTGGGCTTGCTATCCCCTTGCCAGTGTTGGCTTCTGTAGATGGAATCAGTGGGCACTGTTTTCTCCTTTGCCTCAAGCAGCTAAATGTTTTGAGCTGGCCTGCCAAAGGCTCACTGAAAGTGTTATCCAAGCCCTTTTGTTCTGGCCTCTCAGCCTTTAACATAGCCTTGTAAATTAGCCTATAAAGGACACTTGCTCACAGATTTTTTTCTACCAACCCCCAAAGAGACTAATAGCCTGCTGCAGAGAATTCCTGGTGACCTATGTCTACCAGACAACTTGTTAAATGTGTTGCTCTTCTAACTCTAGCTGCCAATCGTTCCATCAAAATTCTACCTAGCACTTCTTGGCAAGACACAGGTACATTCCCTTAGAGTGGGATGGTAAAGCTGTACCACCTCTGGGTGTTGCTGGACTCCAACTCCCATCAGCCCCAGCCAACAGGGCCAATTATCAAGGATGATGGGATTTGTAGTCCAACAAAATCTCCGAATAGCCATGGATTTCCCAACCCTGCTTTAGAGCCAAACAAAATGTGCAAGCAATCACATATGTATTTTAAGTAAACAGCAAGTGCAGCAGTGTTTATCTGGATCAAGACGTCATCAACAGGGCAAAGCATTAAAGCACTTAACACATCTCCACACACCTGAGTCCTAATATTTGTATTTTTATGTTGTGAACCACTCAGTGATCTTTGGATGAAGGGCAGGATACAAATAAAATAAAATAAAATAAAATAAATAAAATAAAATAAGGATTGCCCTCAACCTTCTACTTACTCTAAAACAACAGCAACATCCAAAACCATTAACACCCTTTGTGTCCAGTTTTGGGTATAGCCCTTTTCTCTTGCTGTCTCTGGGCACTTTATACACTATTTCAATGTAGCCAAAATGTGACTCAAAGATATTTACTTGAGGAATCCATGGAAATGCCATTGGAAGACTTCAGATCATATGGTGTGTGTGAATGTGTGAGGGGGAGGTCTTCAGGCATATCCATTATCTCTAAAATGCCATCTTCCAGTGTCTAGATCCATGAGCTATGCCAACCAGGTGGTGATGGAGAAAAATGTTTGATGCCCATATAGGTGACGATAACAGCCATGGTTATTTTCTTTAAAAAGACTGTGTATAAATGTCAAAAAGGATAAGCAATTGTGCACGCTGTATATTATTTTTGCACACCTGGATGTATGTGTGTCTTTGGGTATAACACATTAATCACTTGGCAGTGTTTACAAAACAATGACAAAGATCCCTCAGCTCTTCCAGAATGCCTAATCAGTGATTCTCAGCCTTTACTGCAAGAGAGGCTGATGACTGCAGATTATTAGTATGGGGTGTTAGAGGAGGGGCAGCATCTCTGGTAGGGGACAAGTTGTGCTCCTTCTGGGGTAATTTGTCCACCTTTGGTCCCTACCCTGCACTCAGCTCTCACCTGTGGCTCCTAGAAGCTGTCAGAATGTGACAGCGGCCACACCCTGGGAATGGCTTTGACTGGCTGGCTAAACCAGGTGAGGGTAGTTGACGGGTCTCAATCTCCCAGTTTGGTTAGAGACTTCCCCTGCCTGCAAAGACAGGCTCTGGCAGATTGGGCAGAAGATACCAATAGTGGGTTCAATGGTCAAGAAGGTAGTTCTGCATGAGCTGTAAAGGGAAGTGAGGGGTAGATGGGAGTCATTGATCTAGGAGAAGGAAAACTCTCGACACTAAACCTCCATTGCCTTGAGGGATATCTTTGGGAGAAGAAAAGGCTAAGGAGCAAACCCTACACAAATGCGGAGTGGAGTCCCTAAGATGGTTGGATGGTGCCTTGTACATCTCCTTCTGGCAACTCCTGCAGCCAAGCTGGAGCCAAACGTATTGCTCTGCTTTCCTGTGGACCACATCAGCGAGGCCAAGAAGGGGGTCTTGTCATCTGGGCAGCCCAGGCCCTCCATACACACTGACCAGGCTTGTACCCTGGAGAGGTTGCCCCGGTACTGTTAATGAAGTGCACTCCATTATCTCTTGAGACAGATAGATGCCAACAACAACAACTTATACATCCCAGAGACCAAACAGCATTAGAAGGCCAGGGTACCACATAGGAGTTTCTTAAGGTTTCTCTGCCTGTGCTGACGAAAGACAAAAGTGAGGAGGCACTCTGCTATCTCTGAACAGAAGGGATCAGCAGTGCTTCTAAATGCGGCCCACGCTTTCATGGTGTGAAAGACACACACACACCACTTTGCATAATCTCACTGTAACACATCAACCTTGCTTCTGACAGTGCTGCACAGTTGCTGGCTCCCCTTTGCTTTGAACATGAATTCAACTACCTAAAAGCACCCGTCTTTTCCATGCCCCAGACCTCTAGTTCTCAACCACATGTTTCCCTGTTCCTTATATCATAAGCATTTCTAGGATACGGGCTGGAAATGAGTTTATTATTATTATTATCATCATCATCATCATCATCATCATTGCTAGTGACCTGTTAACCAAAGGTCTCCAAGCAACTTACACATTAAAAACATAATACTATATAAACAGAATGAACAACCCCCATAATAACTACAAGAAACTTGGCAGTACACTAGAAACAAAACAAGACGGAGATAGACTGAAATTGCAGAGTTTTGAAAAATTAAAAAACAAAGTGCGAGACTGGCTTCATTATTATCAGATAATGGAGGCATTTAAATTGGACAGGAAAATTGGCTTCCAGGTGGAAAGATCCAAATTAGAAACAGAATTGTTAGAACCCAAAACTAAGAATTTGTCAAGAATGTATAACTTGCTGCTGAAATGGAATACTCAGGATGAAACGGTAAAATCGGCTATGATTAAATGGGCACAGGACGTTGGACATAACATTATGTTTGCTGACTGGGAACAGTTATGGACCACAGGTATGAAATTTACGGCATGTAATGCCTTAAGAGAGAATATTATGAAAATGATATACAGGTGGTACATAACCCCAGTCAAGCTTACGAAAATCTATCACTTGCCCGATAACAAATGTTGGAAATGTAAAGAAACTGAAGGTACATTTTTTCACCTTTGGTGGACGTGCCCAAAGATTATGTTTTTCTGGGAAATGATATATAATGAATTAAATAAGGTATTTAAGTATACCTTCCCCAAGAAACCAGAGGCCTTTCACCTGGGCATAGTGGGCCAAATGGTGTTAAAAAGGATAGAACTTTCTTTATGTATGCAACAACAGCAGCAAGAATACTCATCGCAAAGTATTGGAAGACACAAGAACTTCCCACGCTGGAGGAATGGCAGATGAAACTTATGGACTATATGGAATTGGCGGAAATGACTGGCAGAATCCGTGACCAGGGAGAAGAGTCGATGGAGGAAGACTGGAAGAAATTCAAAGACTATCTTCAGAAACACTGCAAAATTAAGGAATGTTAGAGTGATGTTGGATTGAAAATAAGTGGTTTCCAGCTGTACAGGTTAAAGATAAGGATAGATTAAGATTAATGATTAAGATTAAAGATGTTTAAAGAAATGGAAATTTGATAATAAAAGGGAAAAATTTAAAGCAATATGACATTAAGAGTAAGGATTAGGTTTTTTTAAAAAAAGTTGAAGTTATATATTTTAACATTTTATTAAATTAAAGATTGGGATTAAAAAAGTGGAAAAGAAACTGCTGGATAAATAATGTGGATTGGAATACAAAAGAGGGAGGTATGAGGAAGTCCAGAAAATAGGTAATTTAAAATTGGAAATGGAAAAGAGAGTTTGTTTTTAATTGTTATGTTTTGTGTTTTTATTGTTGAGTTTTGTATTGTTTTTTGTGTGTGTTGTTTTTTTTCTTTGTTTAAAACCTTAATAAAAATTATTTCAAAGAAAAAAACAAAAACAAAAAAAGAAACAAAACAAGATCATCTCGGTCTACCAAATGCCTGGGGGGTGGGAAATGTAAGTCTTTACCTGATGCTGGAAAGATGTCAACGAAGGTGCAAGGTGAACCTCACTAGGAAGTGATTGGGAACCACAACAGAAAAGGCCCTCTCCTTTGTCACCAGCCTCCGAGCCTGAAGAAAGGCCTCAGAAGAAGAGGATTTGTGTAGGTTCACATCAGGAGAGGCATTCCAGAAGATTCTCCCCTTTCTAGAACTATGGTATAATTAAGTGCACCATGGTGGGGGGGAAAGGTTTTGCTCCTGCCCTATCCTCTAGGACTTATACCTACACCATACCTGCCTGCTGCCTCTCTCAGATAGGAGAGTGTGTGGAGAGAGACAGTTATTGTTGTAACTGTGCAGGGTTTTCAAGTCTGTTGCTGACGGAGGGGGATGCAAGGAAAGGCCATACCAAATAGGAGACAAGACGTACCTGCTTTGCCTGCTTAACTTGGCATGTTTGCTACACATACACATTTCATGCAATTGCCACATCAGGAATGGGGAACCTACAGTCCTCTAGTTGTTCCTGAACAACAACTTCCATCATCCCTGATCATAGGCCATGCTGGCTGGGCCAGATGGGATCTGGAGTCCCACATCGTCTGGAGAGCTACAGGACTGCCTGGGTCTCAATCAATATTTATTCCAGTTAATCTTTGGAGCCAAAGAATCATCACTTGCCCCGAGTTCCACTGCCAGGTTCCTACTGATGTATTTGGGCAAAAACAAGTTGCTCACATTCGTGCTCAGACAAACCTGGGAGCAAGAGTACCATTTCACACTCAAGAGTGTTGGGCAAGCAAAGCTACAACTGGGCAAGCAAAGCTACTGCTTACATTTTAGCACAAACAGAAAAGCATTCAATGCAGCATTTACAAGGAAGCTGCATTTTTAATAGGCCCTAAATGCTACCCAGCTGTGTGCCAGTACTTATTTTTACTCTGTGCATTCCTGAGCTGCAATTGTGGTCCCTGCTTCCTTAAGCAGAATGCCATTCTGGTCGGGTCCTGTGGAAAGCAATTGCTGAAGCCTCACATTGTCTTTGTATAGTTGGCTTTGTCAGGATAAAATGTCTGAGGCAGCTTATAGAGAAAAGGCTTTGATATGGTTGGCTGAAAATTAGTTTCTTCCATCTTGCAAAACATTTGAGCAATGACATCAGTGATAAAAGTCTTTCGCTTAACAATGGAGACAAGGGAATCATCACATGGCTTCCAGAAAATATAGTAAAAAATGTCACTTTAAAAATCCTTCAAGAAAATTCACAAACATGCTCAAAAATGCCTTCTAGGCCCCATAACCTTTTAGATACAGTACTTAAGTTTTGAACATGTCTTTCTTCTTTCAGAGATGCATTGTACAGTAGTGATCTACAGCAGGCTTGTGAACAACTTGGTCACCTATGATGAATGCAGAATTGCTCCCAGATGACCAGAAAGTTTTACAAAAGCGATTTCTGTTTCTCTTTCCTTTTAGGTGGCAACTAACTAGCCTGGCTATGCATGGGCAAGTGGGTTTGTAGCTTTTGTGAATCTATTTTCAAAGCTGAACTACAATTAAATTGCTCATTGAGTACTATAACTCAGTCTAATAAATAAAAATAATAAGCCAATCCAAAGAGTTTGCAGCATTTCCCCATCCTCAGATATATTCGCCCACTACTCTCAGCATCAGTCAAACAGAAAGCTGCAAAGAATTCCCATTCGGAGGTATGCAAGAGGAAGCAGTAACATTCCTGTCATTTAACCAATGCACAAGGTAAATACACACTTCCTGCACAGAACCTGTGTGAGCAGATATCATCCACCCAGATATCAGTTTCAATAAGGAAAATGTGTTATCTATGAACACAGAAGCTACGTGCAGGGCATAGATCCTGTAGGTTGATTGTCCTGAACAGGCATAGTCCATGCTGCAACCTTTTGTTGCAAATCCTGCTTGTGTAAATAAATAATAAAAAAGTAAGGGTCTCTGAGCACATGCACATTTTCCTTACATACATGTGAGTAGCTAGAACCAACACATATGGACTCCTAGTATAAGATCTGGCATTATGGCCGGTTTGAGCTGCACCGTCTCTTATACGAGAAATCAAGCTCTGCTATGGCCAAGTTCCCCTCTAAACAGATGTTGCTTTTGAATGTACAAAAGTTAGCAAGGCAGCTGAGCTTAGCTGCCTAAGCACCTGTTTAGTTCCAGAGTTCAGAGTCTGTAAAACTGTTTCCAGGCATTAGCTGCAGTCACTCCCCAATCCATATCCCAGCTGTTAAATGGCACATCTGCAATATCTTCCCTACAGCGATCTGAGCTGCATAGCATCGCCATGGTAAGGCTGGGATCGCACCAGGAGCAGAAGTGAATTCAAAAACTCATTTTTAACTAGCTCCTTTTTTCTGCCTTGGCTTTATTTCCTATGATTAAGGCTCATTTCATTTCTTTCTCCACCAAGCTAGAGGCAGCAATGCAAGGGCTCCACAAAATCTCCAGGTTAGTTCCCTCTCGTCTGTGGGTAGGAAAAAGCAGCTCATTCAACAGGGCTGGCAGAAAGGCCTTTCTTACTGCACTAAGCTGGGCAGTGCAAGACCAACCTGAAAGCTGGCCCTGGAAATCCATGGCATGTCAACGTGCCTGAGGACCCAGGCCAGGACTGACATCAGCAGCAGAACTTGAATGCTGCTTCCAAAGTGCTGCTGCCCCTGGGAGCTGCCTGTACTGTGGTCAAGCTAGCAATCTTTATGATAGGTGTGGGGAACCTTTGGCCTCCAGACGTTGAGGTATATGAAGGGGCCAAAGTTTCTTCACACCTCTGTTATGGAGCAGCATCTGTCTGAGGAAAATCACATCAGCCAGAAGCAGGCACATTTAAGCCCCTGGTTCAAATCTTGTTCCTTCCATGAACTTACTAGGCAGTCTTTGGCAAGCCATGAAGAAGCCATCCTATACTTTGTTGCCCCTTTGGTCCACTTAGTTCAGTATTGCCTATACTAGGGTGGGGACCCTTTTAGACCCTGAGGAGCACACTTCCTTGGGGCCAACAATCTGAGGGTCACATGCCAGTGGTGGGCGGGACCACAGGCAAAAGTGAGCAGGTCTATGGATGTGACTCTTACTTTTGTATAAAATGCTATATTTCAATCACACAAAAGCCAGATGGTACTATACACACACACACACACGTCCATCCAGGCAAGGAAGAAGCATTTTCACAGTTCAAAGACACATTCCAGTCAGCCAAGAGTACTCAAGGAGGGCATGGAACATGGCCAATGAAGGATGATCTAATGAGAGTCTTGAGGGCCAGAGAAAGGCCTGGAGGGTCGCATTCAGACCCAGGGCTTGCAATTCCCCATGCCTGGTCTACATACTTACTGGCAGCAGCACTCTGGAGTTTCAGAAAGGAGTTCTCTAGCCATACCTAGAGATCGTGGGATTGAATGTGGGACCCTTTGCAGGCAAAACATGTGCTCTGCCAGTGAGCTATGGCCCATTGTTACCCCACCTCCTCGTCTATGAAGGGAAAGGCAATGCGATGTAGTGGTTAGTGTGTTGGACGAGAACCTGGGAGATCACGGTTCAAATCCCCACTCTGCCATGAAGCTCACTTGGGTCAGTAACTGCCTCTCAGCCTAACCTACCTCACAGGGTTGTTGTGGGGGTTAAATGAGGAGGGGTGAATCATGTGTGCTCCTTGGAGAAAAAGGTGGGATATAAACGTATTAAACAAACACACACACCCTGTTGTTCTAAAGATTACTTAGTTAATATCTCTACGCCACTTCAAACACTCTAAGAGCCCTTTAAAATGTGAAGGGTTTACTATGAGCCTAAATTGGGAGTGGATTCCTTGCATCCACATTTAATATGCAACTCATCCCTCCCACTAGAAACCCAAAGGTCCGTGGCCTCCCAACTTAAATGCACAGCCAGTAAAAGCAAAGTCAGGCAAATGGAAGGAAGGGTTCAGTGAAGCGAAAGAGCTGAGAGTCAACGAAATCCCTGCCTAGAGAATGCTGGATCCAGAGTTGAGAAGCGAGAGAATCCCTAATAATCTGCAGCCCCAGGAGGGCAGACAGGGACTTTCTAGCTGGCTGGAGAGAGAAGATCTTGCCATAATGGCTTGTGTGCGGTAGGAAAGCAACCATGATTCACTGGGGAAGGGGAAGGCGAGCGGGCGGGGGGTGGGAGGCGGTTGTCAGCAGAGACCAGTCGCCTCGGAAACCGAACTGGCGCTGTGGCTGCAAACTGATGAATGGATCCCGCGCCATGGAGGTGGGCAAAACTACGCTGGCCCTGATCGCACGGGAAAATGCACATCTTCACAACCCACCAGCAGGGGGCGGGCACGGGCACACGCTCCATCCGCGCGCACATACACAAGCACACACATAAACAGAGCGAGCGCATGCATGCACACAAACAGGCAAAGAACACTAACGCGGCTCCCTGCCCACACGCCTGCTTAACCGCGGCGGCGTGCGCGGAAAACACACACACCCCATGGCCAAATGCGCGCGCACCTACCCGAGACAACACGCTTTACCTAGTACGCGTGGTCGCACACAATGAGGAGAGCGGGGTGTGGGGGGAAAGACCCGCAAAACACTGGGGTCAAATTTCATCTTTCATAACGGCACACACATGGAGAAGGCAGGCTGCTCGGAGGATGCCTTCGAGCAGCTTTCCCGGGGACGGCGAGCGCGCAGGGCACCTCCTCCTCTCCCGCTTGCAGCGCACGAGGGAACCCAGCGCGCACGACTCCCGCACCGCGCGCAAATGCAAGGCGACTTCACCCGGGATCTTCATCCCATGATCACCCTCTGATCACCTGTAGGAGTGAGCGGCTGGAGCAGCGACTCTGCCCACCGCCCCCTGCCCCCGGTTAGGTTGAGGTGGCGCCGGAGCAACCTCCGAACAAAGCCAGCTCCGGCTCGCCAGGGCACGTGCTCCGCCAGCGCCGCTTCCTCCCCGGCGGGCAGAGCGCTCTAGACGCTCCCGAGGGTGAAAGGCGCCCCCATCTGGGACCCTAGCGGAGGGGTTCTCCCCCTCCTCCTGGAGTCTGGCTTGGGCCTGGGCCCCGGCCTCGCGCTCCAGAGACTCCCCAAGCCGCGAGGGGTGCGTGCCGTTACCTGCTGGAGTCATGCGCTGCCCCGGGGTGCGGGAAAGGCGCCGCGGCTCGCCCTGCGCGGCTGCTCCGGGCGCTGCTGGCGACGAGAAAGTGCCGCTCGGAGCATGCGTGTGGGAGCCAGCCAGGCATCTGATGTCGGGGAGGGAGGGAGCGGGAGGAAGGCTGCCTGCCTGCCTGCCTAGGCACTTGGAGATGGGGAGAGAGAGAGAGAGAGAGAGAGAGAGAGAGAGAGAGAGAGGCAGCGCTCCCAGCAACGGGGGAGGAGAGTCTGGGCTCTGTCAGGGATGCAGCTCTTCAGGAACCTGCACAGGAGCGGGGGGGGTGGGGGTGGGAGAGAGTGGATCTCTCGCCTGAGCTGCGATTCTCGTGGCAATGCAATAGCAGGGCGGGTAGACTGGCCACAGATTGCCCTTGCTCTTGGTCCCGCCGCGAAAATACACAAAATGACTCTTCTTCTACACAGAGAGGGGCAGTCTCGTTAGTTTGTTGCAATAACAAGGGTCTACTGGCCGGGCACCTTCGAGAAAGCTACGGCTGAGCTCCGATGGAAAATGTGCCAGTTTCCAGAGAAGCTTGCTCCCCAGGAAAGTGTTTCTAGCAGAGATTGGGTCCTTGTGGCCCTCCAGATACTGTGGGACTCCAACTCTTGTCGCCCCTAATCACTGGCCATGGGTGGGGCTGATGGCAGTTGGAGTTCAACTACATCTGGAGAGCAACAGGTTTCTCGTCCCTGGTTTGCAACACAGTAGATGGTGCAAGTGACAGGGCGCAGTAGCACTTACTTCCAAGTAGATGTGCACAGGATTGCCAAAAACGTGGCTGCCAACATCAAGACAGCGTTTTCTCTTCTCTACTCTCTATTTTGCTTACCATCCAGCCTGATGTTCCTTGAGCTCAAGGCTTGCTCACTATTCTGGTTTTAATACCAACACAGTTTCTTTCAGGGGTTTTCTGTAAATCGGTTCGTATTTGGCAATTCCCCCATTTTTCTGTTCCATCCATATCTCTTTGCCTTGGCTGTTAAGCCTGTTACCCTTCCAAGCTTACACTTCTATGTTCTATATAGTGTCATAGCACTTAGAATAATAGAATTGTAAAGTTGGAAGGGACCCTGAGGGTCATCTAGTCCAACCCCCTGCAATGCAGGAATGACTGTTACTATGTGAAAAATGACCCAACAGCTACAGGTAGCAAGGAAATTCTATTCCTGTTTGTAATTTAATCATTTCTGAAAGCCTGGTCCTCACAACAATAAGATATATATGCAGCTGACACTGGAAGCAGTTAAATGTTACTTGTGTGCTACTACAAAGTCACTTAAGAGTAGTTGTGCCAGCTTCCCAATTCTACTCAGATCACACTTTTAAACATATATATTATTCATTTAATCTGCTGACGGTCCATAAACAGACACTAAAAGGTGCTGTAGTAGAATATATTTCTATTCAGTACAAGTGGGTAAGTGGTATCTAAACCATAAAACTTAAAACGACAAAAATCTCTACCTGTTTCTGCTAACTAATCTAACAAATAAATCTCACTATCAACCCCATTCTGCCACAAAAAGACTGCCTTTCTATTTTCAAATCTTGATTATCCCACAGAGTCAGGTTAGCATGAGCATACGAGTCAAAGTGTAAAAAATAAAATTTCCACCCTTCCAAATCAGTAGCGGAAGAAGTCAATGAAATTGTGGGGCATTGTTAAAAGGGATCAGAACCTTGCCAAAGTTACACACCTTGTTTGTGTTCTTACCGTTGTTGTTAAAGAATTACAACAGGGACACACAAAATGGTGCCCTCCAGATGTTGTTGGACTCCAACTCCCATCAGCTCTAGCCAAAATGGTCTTTCATTAGAAGTAACGGAAGCTGGGTTCCAGCAAAATCTGGAGGCCATCACACTGGTGAGTCCCCCCTGAGTTAAGAGGAACAATTCCACACTGGAATGTTATACTAGGAGAGCAGACAAGTTTTTAAACATGATTAAAAACAGTAATCATATAATATATGGGGGGCATAAAGTCTATCACTTGTCCATTGTGTGACCACGTACCATACAGTGCTAAATACACCATTTAGATGAGAAAGCGGAAAAGATTGCATTTCCGCAGTGACAAAAGTCATAGTTTGAGTGATATGACAACGATATATTTTGCAGTAGAAACATTTGGGTCAAACAACAGTGCAATTATTGCACAAAAACCATCTGGAAAGTTTTGGGTCAACCATAGATGGCTAGGGGAAATGGTGTTTGATTTTGCATCGGAGTCAGTAAAGTTGATTATGGACCACACATTCCTTCCAGCATCCTCTCCACAAGACCTCTCAATTCCCCACCCCTCTTCTGGAAAGTGAGCATTATGAAAAGCCAAGAAGCACCCTTCAACATCTGCAAGAAAGGCACAAATGAACTTCATCATCATCACTCTCCTCTTTCAACAGTGACCTGTTCCCTCTCTCCACTCCCTATATGCAACAAAACTGCCATCCTCTGCCCTGCCTTGATTACTAATATTGTCTGGGGGAAGGAGGGGGAAAGAATGAAAACCCACAAAGTGCAAATCCACCCACACCCTGAATCTACAATTGATGCCACCCACTCTGCCAACTCCATCAGAGAAGCCAACATGTGCTGCAGCCAGAAAAAAAGACAAGAGCCTAGATTCTCTGAGAGGGGGAGGAAAGTGAAGCACCCACTGCATGTTCGCCCCCTCCCATTTGCTTCATGCCCCCTTTTCTGCACTAAACGAAAAGGGCATCTTTTTGGAGGATTTGTGGATGGGGTGATGGGAGGGGGAGAGAAATGTGTGGAAGGCTGAATATTGATGCTACCTGAGACAGAGCAGTTGGAAAGGAAAGCACTCCACACAGAGAGCACAGAAGCTCTGTTGCCGCTGCTTCCCAGCTCAGGCTTTGTCTAACAGCATCCTACGCACTCACTCTCGGCAGTGACGAGGAAACCACTTATACTCATCAGCGGCAGGTTCTTCTCCTCTTCCCACCCTGCTACACCCTCCCCCCCAGGTCCTGAAGGACTCTCTCCACCTCCTCGTTCTAGCTCAGACTTCAGCAGCTCAGCATTGCACAGTGCTTTGGTTGGTAGCAGGGTCACTTCAGCTTCAAAATAACAAAACAGCAGATTCAGGACCATCTACTGTGTAGAGTCACCTTACCCAATCCAGTGCCTTCCAGGTGTTTTGGACTACAGCTCCCTATTGGGACTTCTTAAAAAGGAAAGTTTAGAACTGTCCAGCGGCATGTGACTATAATACACACGGCAAGCTCTGTTGCAACACACTGGTGCACATGCACTTGCCTTGCATGTGCCTATGTGTTTTCTTGCTCAATAGCATGACATTTAGCAAATTTACACGGAGCAGGAGAACGTCCTCAGGACTGGCAATCTGACTACACTAATGCAGAAGAATGCTACATTTCCTTCATATTAGAAATACTGGTGAATACTCTGTGGGAAACAGCAGTGGCGTCTGCAGGGGGTGTCTTTGGCAGGAGAAAGAGAAATGGATATCCTTGATTATGGCCTGGGGCTCTAGAGGGGCTTGGACTACTCAGTTTACTTTTCACATTGTTATCAGTTGTTTTGAATCACCAAAGATAATGCAACTTTGGCAAGACTTGAATTTTTTTAACTGCCCAAATGTTCTTTTTGAACTGCCCACTTTCTCCTAAACTGCCCATTTGGGTCTGTCTGCCCACTGTTTCTCTTTAGAACCCTGACTCTCCATTCGCTGTATTGGAGAATGTTCTAATCCTTCTCTTCTGTAAGCAATAGCCAAGGTCTACCCAGAAGCAGAAACTGTCTTGATGTGTATGGAACTGTACTAAAAGATAACTCCCATCCCTAAGCGGCTTGGGCACAGGGCTCCATGGAGTCTACCGTTACGCAATCACAGATAATTCATAGATGACTTCTTGCCTGAGGCGAAAGCATGAGATGGAAAGGCAGTGCAGCTGTGAACGTTAAACCTGTTTTTAAAAACCATTTAAAGCATGTAGTGTAAACACACTTGTCAAAGAACTGAAGCCAATTCCAGCAAATAGCCATTTCCTCCTGCTGAAAAGAGGCCACCACCTGTCCCCTTGCACCAGGATACTAAGGGAATTGAAGGTCTACATATGGATTTTGGTATTCAATTTCCAGGAATGGTTCAGATTAATCAGGGAGACTGTCACTGACCCAGGGTGTCAATGCTCATGCTGCTCAGCTTTGCTTTGGAGTAGGACTGATAGTGGAACAGTTTTAAGGCTGTCCTTTCCCCTGTCTGTTTCTCCTTCCATTGAGGTGGAATCTCAATCATGCTTCTTGATGGTTGCTTTTTAGTTTTGGGAGGCCATGGCCCAGTGGCAGAGCAGGCCCCAGGTTCAATCCCTGTATCCTCAAGGTAGGGCTGGGAAAGACCTCAGTGTGAAACTTTACAGAACTACTACCAGTCAGCGTAGACAATACTGAGTCAGAAGGACCAATGATGTCTTAGTGTAAGTTGACTTCCTGTCTTAATATTACAGCATGTGGATTTCCTTAATCAGACTGAGGCAGATGCTGGGGGAAACATGCAAACATAAGAACATCTCCACTCGATCAGTCCAAAGACCTATTTAGCCCAGTAACCTGCTTCCCCCACTGAGGCAAACCAGCAGAGCAAGAGGGCAATAGCACACCCCCTTTGTTGCAGATCAGCAACTAGCATTCAGGGTTATGTTGCCCCTGACACTGCTGGCTCCATATAGCCATTGTGAATAATTCTAAAGCTAGCAGTTAACTGATTCTGAGTGTGGAATGTTATGTAACCAAAGCAGCACCATTTACACACATGAGGAGGTACCAGCATGATTAGGGTAACACCACGTTTTACAGAAGTTGAGAAAGAGGAAAGAAAAATTAACACCCCCCTCCCAAATCCCAGTTAGTCAGGACTGAGCATGGTTATCTGGAACAGAAAGGTAAGTGTGTATGAGAGAAAGAGTGCTCACACACACACATGAGCGTACATACACACACACACACACACACACACACACACACACACAGAGGGCTGGCAGGGTGGGTAGGTGATGGCAGACAGCATGGCTGAGAGTAGTGGTGTGTGTGGCAGTGTAGAATTGCAGTCGCCCTCCTGACACCAGCAACACGGTTTGCCTGACTGTGACTAGGGTGGGTCATTGGTTAAGGTTGGGGCCATGCGCGTGCACTGGGCAGGAGCACCAGATTGGCAGTCCCACCTGATGTACATGCATGGCCCCAACAGACCCATGGGGTATGCCATCATACCCTAGACCCATCCACGTAAGCAGCAGTGATGCTGGTGTCAGAAGGTTGCTTCAGCAGGAGCAGTCCACACTGCAACGTTTTGTTGCAGGTCAAGTTGTCTCTTACACCTCTGTACAGACCAGAGGGGGTGTGTGGATGTCCATTATCTGATTTGTTTCCTCATGCTGGACTCCATTTCACTGTGCATGTGCTGTAAGTTGCACATGTGTAATGGCTGCCTGAGCCATACACACCTCAGTTTAACCACTGCTTCTGTTTTCTAATCAGATGGAACCTCATTTGAGGGAAAGCACATCAAACAGGAGCATTTCACGAGAAGCTACAAGACCCAGATGTGGCTAACATCATGTGTACTCAGCCTCAAACAATAGTGGTGCATGTCGGAGCTAGACTAAGAGGCAGTGTGTACACAGCACTAGTTTCTATTGGTTCTAAAAGAAAGGGGTTTCACTTAGCAATTTAAAGAAAATAGGCTGATTAGAGGCTCGTGGAGCAAAATTAGACTATGGGAATGTAATCTAGGCTCCCTTAAAATAGATTAAAGTGAAATATTTCAACTGTAATAATCTGTAGCTGATCACCACTAACAGGTAGGCAAGTCCCTGGGAGACCAGAGGTGAGTCTTTTCAAATTCCTTTTAGGATTTGCAGGACAAAATACAGAAATCATGATTAAAATAATGTCATAATGATTAAGACTACCTCTGAAGGAAACAGAATGTACAGGTATACAACTAAACGACTTACTACATTCTTGTACATACTCTACATTGTCTAAAGAAGGTAATAAATATTTTTCAAAGGCCAAAAACAAAATTCTTGAATAAAGTGAAAATACCAGCTAGCAGCCCATTTTGTCTCATTCTGGAAATCTGTGCCTGCTTCTAATATCACACCAGATTTCCATGGTGAGGTGAGTTGTCAGACAAGCAAAAGATGCTAGATGGGTTATTTTTAATCCATGTTCTTTTAAAATATAAACAGGGATTTAATATAAACATGTAGATTTCAGTTGCACATAGAGGTGATCAAACCATGATGCCTGGTGATGTGGCTGCCATGGATTTCAGGAGTCATTAAGCAAGGGGCTGTCCATCTTCTTGAGCCCATGGGGACATTTGCTGACAAGAGACACTGTGATGGCTAGCATGCAGGCATTGCAACAATGCACACATCTCAGCCTCCCCCCTCATGTGCTCATTCCCCCTGCCCCTTGCCAGCAATGAGGCTTGAAAAAAGCATTCCATTTGCTGCAGAAGGCTTCATTCAAGCCAAACTTCAGTGGGGGAATGGGGGGATGGTTGGGACCCCATGGGCATCTGGGAAGGCCTCTGTGAGCAACACAATGGCAACTCCTGCTTTGAGTCTTAGGGGGCAGCAGAGGTGTTGGGGGCAGGAGAGATCTTTGAGGAGGAGGATAACACTCTATGTTGTTTCCGTTTTGTTTCAATGAGATGGGTTGTGCTCCATGTTAGTTATAGGAAAGGAGGGTTTGTCTTTTGGATTTTCTGCCCCAAAATGCCTTGGGCCAGTCTGGGTCACCCTATTTCCTCATAGTTCAAAGTCATATTTAAACATGCAGTGAGACAATATAGCTTGATGATTATGCAGCTTCTCTGTTGGAGATGGGCTCGAGTGATTAATAAGTCAATAGGGGTTATTCTGAATGTTAAGAGTCCACTTACTGGTCAAGGATAGCTATTACAGCATATGGAAACCCTCTTATCACAAGGTCCTTTGATGCAATGGAGATATTATACTTCAAAGAAAGGAAATGAGCTTAGATCCTAGTGTACTTGAAATGGACAACGGGAACAAAAGACTGAAACAAAACAAAAGACTGAAACCTTTTTGAACCTGTTCATTTAAGATGCAAGAATACCTTTGCAGTACAGTTAACACAGGTACAGATCTTAAGGATACCATCACTGAAAATCTTTTACCAGCACAGTTCCCAAGCCACTACTATTATTTCCTATTCTACAATTCTTTCTAGAAAACAAAGAATAAAAAGCCCCGACATTTTTGGTGGTGTTATCCCTGCCTTGAAACATAACACTTTGCTGCAGGACAAGGAATGCGATCTAGTATGTTAATACTGTATTTATGCCAATGTAATGTGTCATCAAATCCAATCCTCACCTCAATTTTCAAAAGCTTGATGCCAAAAAACTATTTGCTGATGAATGTAAATGTACCATCAAATCTAATGCGCACCCTAATTTTCGCGACTTAATTTGGCCAAAAAGGTATGCACTACATTTGAGTAAATACGCTATTTGTATACACACAGGGATTGGTTTGCTTCCGCTTACCTTTCTTGATTTCTTGTTAATAGTTATCAAAAGGGCCCTTGCCCAAATAAACGTCATTGTCCATCATGTACATGTAAGTAAGGAGGGCTATTCTTACATTTCAGGGTGTCCGTTTGCAGGGCTGGTGTCATTATTTATAAAACTATGCTTTTAAATTATAATGTGTGATACAGACATGGGATGGGTGCTCTATTTCTCTGAGATACTGTAGCAGTAACCCAGGTCAAGCATCTGAGTTTGAGTCAGCATGTCCCAGACTGTTGATGGTGCCAAAACAGGGTAGATGAATTATAGGCTTTTCAGAGTAACTTGCATCAAGTACAGAGCACTGTACTTTGGGAGAGCGGGGTCAATGCAGCCATATTATGCTGGTAAATGGTGAAATGTAAATGGCGATACCAGAACTTCTCCCCCTTGATCTTCCTAGTCCTCCATGCAACTACTACTGATATGCTTGTCATCACTGGGCTGTTATTTATAAAAATACAGTAACCATCTTTGCCCTGGTTTTTTGACATCTGTGATGTGTGTTCTTTAGATCCCACCCTATTCCTATGATTATGATACGTCTTAACAGTTTTCAACGCTGTTTAAAACTGCTTCAGATCCTTATTCTCCATACAGAGCTACAATTCCCAGTTCCCTGGGAAGAGGAATTGCCTGTTAAACCCCTCTGGGAACTGAAGTTCTGTAGTGGGAATATGGGTCTCCTAACAACTCCCAGGGGACGCGGATAGCACTGTGGGTTAAACCACAGAGCCTAGGACTTGCCGATCAGAAGGTCAGTGTTCGAATCCCCACGACGGGGTGAGCTCCCGTTGCTCAGTCCCTGCTCCTGCCAACCTAGCAGTTCGAAAGCATGTCAAAGTGCAAGTAGATAAATAGGTACCGCTCTGGCGGAAAGGTAAACGGCATTTCCGTGCGCTGCTCTGGTTCGCCAGAAGCGGCTCAGTCATGCTGGCCACATGACCCGGAAGCTGTACGCCGGCTCCCTCAGCCAATAAAGCGAGATAAGCGCCGCAACCCCCGAGTTGGCCACGACTGGACCTAATGGTCAGGTGTCCCTTTACCTTTACCAACTCTCAGTACCCTTAACTACAGTTCCCAGGATTCTTTGGGGGAAGCCATGGCTGTTTAAAGTGGCATCATAGTGCTTTAAATGTATGGCACAGCTATGGTCCTGGTTTCATCTATCCACAGCCTCTAATACTTCTGCCTGAGGCAGGTCACTTTTCTCAGTTTCATAGCAGCTGTTACCATTGGCTACAGAATACTTGCGGTGTTACAAAAGTGTTGGTGGCAAGGAAAAAACAGGTATAAAATGAGAATACCCTGTCGGGGGCAACAGCAGAGATTTAAAATCAGAGAATATGCAGCAAAGCAAAGTGTGGAAATATAGGCTGTTAGATCTTTAGAATATGCCCTTGTGAGTTCCTTCCAAAGTTTCCCTCTTCCCCTAGCATAGAAAAAGAGCACACATTTGGTAAGTTAAAAATTGTTTGCTTACAAACTCTCCAAAGGTCAGATTCATGGGTTTTTCCACACAACATTCAGAAAAAGTTTGGTGGGCAGTAAAACATTGCTTAGTTACAGTGGTGAAAGTTCCTAAATTATGGTGGGGAAGGGGGGGGTTCTTGCTTTGTGGTTGTGGTTTTTTTGTTCTTGTTTTTATTATGTATTTTGTATTTCTATCTTGTATTTTTATGTTGTGAACTGCCCTGAGATCTACAGATGGACGGAAGTATACAAATTTAATAAATAATAACTATTGGTATAGGAACCCAAGAGGGTCTTGTTAGAGCTATGTGGTCTGAGCTGCAGCAACCAGCTCAAACTTCCTCACATGTTGAGCTTCACAGGTAGATAGTAGTAGAACAAAGGCTTGATTATCTAGTCCCTCTCAAGGTGAGCTAAGCTTGGCAGGACAGCTTACTCTGTGGTTTTAACACTTTCATGCATTAATTAGACTTAAGCATGTATGAGACTGGTTATCCCACAAGAAGCACATGACAGATGATTGGATATAAAGGCGGGCTTTTTCCTCTTCCCCAGCATAGGCAGCAACTCTGATATTCAGCATTGCCCAGTCTTTTTTCACTTGGACGAAGGAAGTTGGCAGGTGGACAGAGGTGATCACCTGGCTGTGGGATGCTATGGAGCACCCATAAGGCAAGTTCACTTGCTGAGTGGGATTATGACTTGAAGGTGGCTGATCTCCACAGCCTGAAGCTGGCTGATATCTACTGCTCTAGTCATGTGTTCTAAATATCTGTTGAATGTGCATTAAATGCATAGAATTTATTACTCTATGGTGTGGATCTGCTCTTGGTCTTTGCTGAACGGAGTCCTAGTTCCTTCCTAATATCTCTATATCGCTGGATCCTCTTTGGTTTCACTTCCGAACCTGATGTTGCTCTCCTGGAGCCCAAGGCAAAAATGCCATGGACCCCAATTAATCAGTGTGAATAGAAACCCATCCAAACCCTGTAGAATCCAAGAAACCCATCACTACATTTGCCCAGTATGATCAATAGCAGAAAAGCCCTTAGGGGGAGGACTGTAGCTCAGTGATAGAGCATCTCCCTAGAATGCAGAAGGTCCCAAGTTCAATTCCCAGCTTCTCCAGCAGGGGTTTGGAGAGATTCCTGCTTGAAACCTTGGAGAGCTACTGCCAGTAAGTGTAAACGACGTTGAGCTAGATGGACCAATAGCCTGACTCAGTTTAAGGCAGCATCCTATGTTCCTAAATAGAGTACCCTTGGCTAGTCTGGAATGCGCACTAGTCTAATAGCATGAATGTTAGATCTTCCGGCCATATTATTCTGCTTACTGTCACTCTCTTTGGGTAGGGAAAGCAAAGGAAGGATGCAAAGAAAGGGAACAGGACCCTCAGTACATAAAGGGAGCAAATTAGTGGCTGTATCCTGGCATTTGAAAGAGGCTAGTGTTGGGTGGGTGCCCTATAATTTGCCTGATGCCACCTGTGCTTTGTGCTGTGACTCACACATGAATCACTCTCCAGTTGCTAATTCACACATCAAAATCACTGTTCCTTTCTGCTGGGTGGGTGGAAGAGAAGAGGCCAGGGTGCGTGGGAAGGGGCCTAACCAGGATGCCCTTTCCCTGGGGAAGAGGAGCGAAAGGGATGCATGCACTGTGTCCTTATGACAAATTAAAACAACGCTGGCATGGCAATTCATCACCTCTCTTCACACAGCACTGCTTTGCCCAAGAACTCTTCTGTCCCTCTGTTATTGTGAAGAATGACAACACTGGGGTTTATCTTTAAGCCAAGGCTAAAGCTTAAAAATGGCTCTTGCCCCTTCAGTTGGGTTTGTAATGCAAACACAAAATCTACATCAGCTTGCTCACATTACTAACATCCACTAGAATGATGTCCGGAGAATAATATCCCATAACTCCCCACAAGCATTATTCCACAATCTATTGCTGTACCCTGTGGAGCTCCCCACCTCCAATTGCTCTACCCTTTCTGATTTTCACCACAGAGAGTTCAGGAGTTGCACATCTTAGAGTCTCCTCTAAGGAGACATGCATATTCCACCCTTGGAGAGCTGCCTTGCATGCCTGACACATGTACAGGGGAGATACACACATTCTTTCTTTGCACAAGACCCAGAAGCACAAGCACTGGCTTCATGAGACTCAAGTGTACCATGACCCTATTTTAGAAGTCTTGTCCTGTTCAATCTACTATAAGCCTACTATACAGAGTCACAGCTGTTGCTCCATCCAATTTTGGTTCTGGCCCCGCCCTCCACTGACATGTGGCCTCAGGAAGGAAAAAACTTTCCATGAAACCTGGGAGAACCATTGATGAAATTGACTCCAGTCCAAGAAACCTTATGCCATAAATTTGTTAGCCTTAAATGGGACTCTTTGTTGTTATTGTAAGTCAGCACCAAGCTTCTGGGGCCAGTTGGATCTATGAGCCTCTATGATGTTTAAAATCACCTTGTTTATGGTCTTCTACTTTCAAAGCCAATTGGAGGACATTCCTGCCTTTGCTGGAGTGGGTACAGTACCGTGCCTGGTTCACTGTGAGTGCTGCTAGAAATAAATATGAAGCATGAATAAATTCATAGCTCTGCTGGACACTATCACATCACTGTGTTTTCAAGTGACTCTTGTAGCCAGGGAAAAAAGATCACAATGAGCTCAGTTTGGTTCACTCATTGAAGGCAAACAGGATTCCTAGGGGGAAGTGATGCGCCTGCTCAGGAGGAAGAGCTTGCCTATTTCTCAGGAGCTTGCTTGTTTTGAAGAGCAAACTTCCTATTCCATGGTATCATCATGCTCTGTCCCTAGACAAGTATTTCTCCCTCCAACCCTGTTATGTATTCAGTGGTCTGTGTTTGCCCAAGCTTGAGTCTGGACTAAGATTTCTGAGCTCCTTTGTTCTGTTTCGATACATGTTGTCCAATCACAGAACATTTCAGGATTTTGGCCTCTGCCACTGGCCCGTGATTTGCAGTTTGCAAGTGTAGACATCCAATCACGTTGGGAGTGGGAGTGGCCCAGGCTTTCAGAAATGTATATAAGTAGTTGCTTTGCCTCTGCCTCCCAGTTATGTAGTTCAATAAAGGTTCTTTCTGTTATCACTGTGTCTTGCCTCGTGGGAACCCATCTACACTTCAACCCCCACCCCAAACATCATTAATTTCAGCAATGGGTGTGTTGAATCAGTTCAAAAAGTGAGACAGGTGGCTGATTAAAAATAAGATGATTCAAGTCAGGAAGAAATATTCCCCAGGCCACCTAATGGTGTATCTACACTACAAGACTTAAAACAGTTTTAACTGCCAGGGCTTCCCCTTCAAAGCCATAGGATTTGTAGCTTGCTGAAGTGCAGAGACTTCTCTTAGAGGTGCTTAGCCCTGATAACAGAACTACAATTCCTATGTTCTTTGGGGAGAAAGGGAATGACCATTATATTACAGGCTTAAAACTGAGTTAAACACATCTCTTTTCTTTGGTTTCTCTTGTAGTGTACAATGTCAATCGTTTCATTGATGTATATGTCTATATTTAGTATATTAAAATATCTACACTTTTCTTCCTTTTTCCTTTGGCGGACTACGGCCCCAGCAGGGAGAAGTGAGTTGCTTGCAACCATATAATGTATAGGAAGAAGGTAGCAAAACAAACAAAATATGCCAAAGATTTATAGCATTAGGTTTCTGTACAGTATTAGGTTTGTAAGAAATGATGTAAGTTTACAAACAACTCCCTATATAATCTGGGTAGGATCTTGCTCCAGATGGTCTACCTTAGGCAGGCTGCAGAGCCTTCTCTGCAGTGGTACATCCTTTCCTTTTGAAGCCTGTGCAACTAGTTCCCTTCTGTCTTAAAAGTAAATAAAGGCAAACCTTTATTACTACTTTAACGAGAAGGGAGCAAGTGATCAGACATCTGAATTATAGCCTGCTGTTGGTTTCCTTGTTCTGCAGCTGTTTTCCCCCCTCTCTCCCTCTCTCCATATTCTATTGGCATTTTATCATTTTGCAAGTTGCCTCGAGGGCCCTCTGAGTTGAAAGGTGGGATAAAAACAGAAGCAAAACAATCACCATCATTTCCAGTGAGTCTGGGATCCTGCAATAATAATAGGTTGGGAAGACTAGGGCAAAGGTTGAAAGTAATGTTTTCTCAGCATGGAGGAAGAAAATAAGCTATCCCTAGGACGCAAAAGAAGGAATAGGAGATGTAAAGCATGGCTGCAGCAGGCCACAATGCACTTCACCGAGAGCTGAACATGCCTAGCTTGAGTGAATCATGAGCCCAGAGAAGTACCAACATCTCCTGACTGGATGTTCTGTCACCCTGTCTTCCACAATCATCCCCTTTCCCCCCACACACTCCCCTTTCTATCTAGAATTGTATGGTGGGTCTATATGAAGAAGGGGGGGGGGGAGGCACAATGCTTCTAGTGCTGGCTGAATGGCCTCAGCCAATTGGCATCTGCGGTGCACCTGGTTGCTAGGCAACACAGAGGATGCAGAGAAAGAAAATGCTCCTTCCAGTAAACAGTGAGGTAGGAACAAGGGAGGGGGAGGGAGAGAGAGAGAGACCTAAAAATAGGGAAGGAATAAAAATAAAGTTGATTAAAGCACCAGGATAGTGGGGTATCTACAGGATAAGGTGGGCTGGGGGAGACAAAGAATCCTAGTTTGCAGAACCGATGTGTGTGAGAATACTAATGTGCTGGGCTCTCAATCTCTCAACATAATAAGCAGCCCAACAGCTTTCACAGGACTGGATGTGTTCTATTTCATTTTTTATCCAACACACTATGACATTGAAGCCACCACCCTCGATTTCTGTGTATATGAGCATGCTGATTTCATCATATATTTGTGTGCATAAAGGTTTGGATTTTGGGTGTGGGCATGCTATATTCTTTGGATTGGTATTTCACCAAAGAGGGTGGTTTATTGCACTAAACAATAGTTTCTATCTATCTTCCAAACCACTGAGCTGTGTCAGTCAACACCACTAGCCAAAGTACTTTCCTCTCCTCTGGCACATCATAGATTTTCTAATCCACCATGCCAAACCTGCTCCCAGCTTAGCCCTTGCCCTGAGAATTCCCACTCCAACCCCAGTTATCTCTCACCTTATTTCAACCACCTCTCATCTTCCTGTTTCCTAGCCCAGGCTTGCAAATAGCTATCACATTGGTTGCCTGTGATAAGCATTGTCTCACAAGCAACCAGGCAACAGAAACTGGTGAAAAACTGGAATAAAGTCTTATGGTACTTTTATCACAAATGACTAACATAGAGAAATATGTATGGGCTGGTGTTCTACTAAGCGCCCCTCCAAAGTGGTGTTTTTTTGTGGGTGCATTCTGTAGCATGTTGTTGACATTAGTGGTGGATTTATATGCAAGCTGGATGCTTCCCCAGTGTTACGACATTATTGCTGTATGAAGGGGCACTCTTAGGTGAGCGGACAGGTGAGTAGTGAGTGCACAGAAGAAGAGGTGGGGGCGGCACTTTCTGCTTTGCCTATAGTGCCAAAATATCCTGGGTTGGCCCTGGATTTTGCTTTTTAGTTGAGAGCAACAGAAGAGCACATAGCGTTCACCTCATTTTATCAGCCAAGATCAGTGATGGTATCTTACTATCGTAAACCGCCTCAAACCCAGACTACCATTCCCACCACTCCTGACCCCCCTTCCCTTTTACCTTGTTTTCCTCCTTGTCTAAATCTAGCTCTACGGCTCTGAAAGAGCTTCATATATACTTTCAAAAGAAAGCAACAGGTGCCTTGAGCCCACAATCACCATGACAACTGTGTGTTACACAAGAAGGATGTGAAATTATAAAGTGCCATATACCTCCAGGAGCTGCGAATAGCATCAGGAGATAGATAGACTGGGTTCTGGATAGGGCTCCCTGTCCATGACCTTAACTATCCCTTGCACATGTGTGCATGTGCAAGCATGCATATGCGGTGGTGGTAGCGAAGGAGAACATTGGTATTTGGAGGGAACCTCCTCAATTAAACTATGTAACATTATTCCTCTTGAATAATAACAAACTGCCTTGATAATAACAAACTGCCTTGATTTATTTGTAAAAATATATCTCTTGAGAATTAGTTGGCCTTGAATCACACAAAGTGTATGTTTTTCTATATGAGTGGTCCCCATGTTCAAGAAACAGGTCAATTGCCTGCCTTATACGGAACTGCACTCCCCCTGAAGGAGCAGGTATGCAGCCTGGGTGTGCTTCTGGATCCTGCTTTGATACTGGAGGCCCAGGTAGCCACACTGGCTAAAAGCACCTTCTAACAGCTGTGCTTAGTTATACAGGGGTCAGCAAACGCTTTCAGCAGGGGGCCGGTCCACTGTCCCTCAGACCTTGTGGGCGGCCGGACTATTTTTTTTTGGGGGGGGATGATGAATGAATTCCTATGCCCCACAAATAACCCAGAGATGCATTTTAAATAAAAGCACACATTATACTCATGTAAAAACGCCAGGCAGGCCCCACACGTAACCCAGAGATGAATTTTAAATACAGTGGTGCCCCGCTAGACGAATGCCTCGCAAGACAGAAAACTCGCTAGACGAAAGAGTTTTCCGTTTCGGAGGTGCTTCGCAAAACGAAGCTCCTATGGGCTTGCTTCGCAAGACGAAAATGTCTTGCGAGTTCCTGCGGTTTTTTTCCCCTTTCCCCCCCTTTTTCTAAGCCGCTAAGCCGCTTATCTGCTTATCCGATAAGCTGATAAGCCGCTAAAAGCCGCTAATAGCCGCTAATAGTGCTAATCCGCTAATCCGTCAATGGGCTTGCTTCGCAAGACGAAAAAACCGCTAGACGAAGAGACTCACAGAACGGATTCTTTTCGTCTTGCGAGGCACCACTGTAAAAGGACATATTCTACTCATGTAAAACACACTGATTCCTGGACCATCCACATGCTGGATTTGGAAGGCGATTGGGCCGGATCCAGCCCCCAGGCCTTAGTTTGCCTACCCATGGGCTTACTACAACATCAACAACTGTTCCTGGACCAGAAGAGCTTGACCACAGTAGTCTAGGCAGTGGTGACTTCAAGACTGGACTACAGCATTGTACTCTATGTGGGGCTTCCCTTATGCTTGATGCAAAAATTGCGGCTATTGCAGAATGTTGCAGCATAGCTACTGACTGGAGTGAGACACTGTCAGCATGTAACACCTCTGCTTGGAGATCTGTACGGGTTGTTGATTTATTACCAGTCAAAGTTCAATTGGCTATTGGTATATAAAGCCCCTAACAGTTGGGGGCAGTTTACTCGGGAAATCTCTACTCCATATGCACCCTCTCAACTGCTTCAATCTATGGAGATGACACTGTTATAGGTGCCACATAATACTTGCTCTACACTTTAAAGAAATTGGTCTGTTAGTGTGGCAGCTGCTACACTTTGGAACTTGTTGCCTATTGACATCAGGCGGGAGCCTTCACTGTACTCTTTTCAGCACCAGCTCAAAATGTTTGTGCTTAGCCAAGCCTAACCAGACACATAGATGTTGATGTCTTTTAATCTTTTTTGTCTACTATTTATTTTAGTTATCTTTTAAATGTTTTTAATTATGTGTTTTTAACTTGTTTTTATTGGTACTTTTAGTATTTCTTGTAAACTACTCAAAATTTTTACTACAATCAAGTAGTCTATAAATTTTGTTAAATAAAAATAAAATAAAATATTCAGTTCTGTACAGAATCACATACAGGAAATGAACAAAGTTGTCTACTTGCTTTTTCACAAGTGGCAAACAGCTCCCAGGTTGAGCACTTGAGTGGCAAAACTCAAATAAGCAAGAAAGCCGAAACTGACTGCCTCCATTTGAGGCTGCCTGTGTAATCCTCTTGACTTCTCTTTTGCCTTAAGGGCTAGCAGCCTGACATGGCAACCACGTCTTATGGTTCCTGGCAGATGGTGACAGAGAATCACTCTGAGCACACAGATGTCAATGGCACCTGTCACTTTGCCTAGACCACTGGGGTCAGGAAAGACAGCTGGGTCACACAATATCAGATGAAGTGGTAAAATTGGTCCCGGACTGTTAACAATTCCAACTACATGGGAAGGGACTTCATATATGAATGCTTCCCCATGAAAAAGGTTCCCTGCGTATACCAAACTATGGTATATACATCCCTTGTGAAAGAGTTAGCAAATATGAAATTATGTTATAACTTTCCCATGATATCCTGTTGCCTCCATACAGGTAGTTTTATATACGACCCCTCACATGCAGTCTGGTACAGTCCAAGGTTGTTTCCACATGCTTTAGTATCCCCGAGGCATTGCTTTATGGTTAATTAGCTGGATGTGAAATTAAAGCAGAGGTTCCATGCAGAACTTACTATGTCATTACATTATCCTGCAAAGCATTTCCCTGTGATCAATATGTTTATTCACAAGAAAATCCCACTTAGCAAAGGTCCTTTCCTGCATTAATGAGGAATATCCCACCTGTTTTGGGGTTTTTGTTGTTGTTGTTGAGTTCAGCTATAGGATTCATGATGAAATGCCCCTAGTTACTCCTTTTGGTCTGGTCTCATCAGGTTCCAACAACACAGCATGCAGAATTACTGGGTTTGATGCATTCACCCCCACTTTGCATTTTTAAAACAGTAAAATAGCCTTGGCTGAAGCAAACCCTTCAGCCTTGTTAATAATCTTGTTGTTTCTGTACATAGGTCTTCATTCCTCAGTTACATGAGGAAAAACAGCTTTAACTAAAGGCCCCCCCCCCCCCCGTTGAGGCAGCATGGGGCCTTGTACCAACAGCTGGTCCATCCTCCTTTCCCGGCTAAAAGAAGTAAGATTGGCAGGATAACAATAGGAGAAAGGGATGAGTAAGATGTTACTGATTGCCTTGGAAACGCATGCTCCCAGTCCCTGTGCCAGAGAAGGCTGGCAGCTCAAGAGGAATTGTATTCATCCCCCACCCCCTAGCCTCCCTTCTCCCTTGTACTGGAAGAAGCATGGAAACATATGCCCCCCCCCACGCCAACATTCTTCATTTATAGACATATGCCAGAGATCACACATAGTGCAACAGTTACACAGATTTTGCACACATGTCTTGCTCCAATTTACCCACAACTGCTGGCTTGTCAACCCTAACTATTCAAACATATGAGTGGGGACCCCCTGCCGAAAAGCTGAAATAATTGAATGATGAAAAAACTACGTATTAGGATATCTTCTGAGAGGGGTTTGTGTGTTCGTGTTCTGGGTCTACAGCGAATGCTGTGCAAAATTTGCTAGGTTTCTTTTTTAAAAAAATATCTTATTAGGATTTCAAAATGGGAGGCTTCAAAAGCATATTTCAAAACCATAAATCCACAAATGCAGTTCAGCTCCCATGAGCACATGGGCTGCTTAATTTCCATACCACAGAAAAACAGAACAGCCTGGATTCAACATAACTTCCATCTTTTACACACCATTCAAAGTACCCAAGGCCCATACCTAATGCCCTGTTTTAGCAATATGAGCAGGGCAGGTGTCAATGTTGGAGGGGGCTATTTTTGAATACCTCACCCCACCCCAATGAATAAATGGATGGGAAATTTCCTGTGCCAGGTCTGCGGCTGGTATAAATTGCGCTATTGACAGGACATGTGGCTGTAGATTTAAGGGGTTTAAAACACAGCAGAAGTGTGGTTCACCCCCTCAGCTATCCATGTCCCTCCCATTTCAGCTATTTTGGCAGTGCACCCAAGGTGTTCTCTAGCAACATCTATCACGGTGGTGGTGTACCTGATGTTCTACCAAATCCAGGTCCCATTTTAATTCCTGAGGCGGAACGGGAATGTGCTACCTCCTGTCCCCACAAACCCTGCCCCCTACTATGCTACCCACTCCACCCTTTCAACCACCATGCCCCCCCTCACAGAAACGTGGCAAAAAGAGGGTATTCCACAAGGCCTTGGTGCTTGTTTTCTCTGCTTGGGGTTAGGAAAGACAACACCACCCACTGGAACACCCACTGCTCTCACCAAATGGGGGGAGGAGAGACAAGCTTAAAACTGCATATATTACCCATGCAAATTTCAAACATTCATTCAGATTGGCCAAAAGGAAAGTAACTGGTCACGTCAAACTTCCTTGCTACAAAATCTGTAGTAAAATGCTCTACCCCTCCCTCCTTTAAAGACCAAAGGCACAAGGTAGAAATCTGCAGTTACAACAGATGTGGGGGAAACCCTTGAAAAGGAAAGGTGAGAAGCAAACAGAATAGACTTGGCAAGCCTGGAGTGACCTGCGGGACACACATCCGAAACTTGATTTGCTTGGCTGGCGTTGCATGGTGTTAGCACTGAGCATTCTCTCCTGTAGAAAGGAACAAAGATGCCTGAAGCTATGCTTCCCCACTCCACCCCTTCTTTCACACATGGCTGCCTGCTTTATCTGCAAGAGTGCTCTGCCAATTCCTGCAGGCAGCCGAGCAGAAAGGCCAAGCTCCAAAGCAGATGTGGTGCTGACAGATGAAAAGCAAAGTCTTGACTTCAGGAAGAAGGGGTGGGCTGGACCAAGGAAGAAGGGTTTTACACACAGACACATACCTGTACCCAACTCCAGCTGCATAAATACCGCACATCTTTTTTGTGCACCAATGCAAATGGGGAGGCAAAGATTAAGGAAGCCCTGCTACTGAGAGTATAATTATCTCTATTTCGCACCCCATAGTCTCTCCCCATCTCCATTGATTTGACTATTAACAAATCTGCTCTCTAAGTCACGTGCTGCTAGGAGCTTGAGCTGCTGGGGTTGGGAAAAGTGATCCACTGAAAGGTCCATAGGCTAAAAAGGCCCTTCTGGGGGGTGGGGAACTGGCATTTTGCCCCCTCAGCAAACAAGGTAGGTTCAGCTCTGTGCACCCTCAAGGCTGCAGTTGCAGCCTGAGTAAACTAGCCGAGACCACAGCCTGAACTGACTTCAGAGCTGATGGGGTGGGGAGGGCATACCTCAGGCTCAGATAAAGCCCTCACATCCAAGGCAAGTTCCTCAAGTCTGAAGAACTCATCTCATGGAGTAGCCACTCCTTCCAGCGGCCACCCCTTCCAGAAGCTGAGCACAAGCCTGTTTTTGACAACATCTTCTGCCTCAGGCCCCTTTGAACCTTGGTTGCTAGAGCACAACTGGACACAGACACACCCCAAACTGTGGCTGTCTCAGAGCTAGGCCCAGGCCTGACAGGGGCCTGCTCTTGAATATATTCAAGATTAAATTACGCATGCACACACAAGATGGCTGGGGGGGGGGGGAGAGGTAGCAGTACATTTTAAGGTCATTCGTTGTGGTTGCTTTGTATACAACATAATAAGCAGATGTATAGGTACTTCTGAAAAGTATTTTCTCTACTCGTGAAGTTGTGACTGCTTTCAAGCCATTCTGACAAGGAGCTCCCGAAGTCCCTGAAGTGACATTTCTCAGAAAGCAAGCACCACACAGAGCGCCTGGAGATCTCTCCTGCATCCCTATGGAATACAAAATATTCTGGCAACGTGTAAGCAAACACATCGGCCAGACCACATCATTAATTCCCTCCTGATCCCCTTTGAGACACCTCTCACTTCAGTTTCTTGGAGAACAGCTGCCCCAAAGGATTAACAGCACATCTTAAGAGTGGAAAAATGCAGATATTTTGAGAAGTAGTTTACACTTACTTTTTAAACACATTCTTCCTCAATTAAAACTTATTTACTCAGAAGGCTGAACAGAAAACATTTCCACTTAAGAAGAGGCCTGCTAGATCACATCCAAAGCCCATCTAGTCCAGCATCCTGTTCTCACAGGAGCCATCCAGATGTTTGTGGGAAACCCAAAAGCAGAACACAAACACAGCTGGTATTCAAAGGCATACCTAACCATTCTGGCTAGTAGTCATTGTTAGCTTTATTCTCCATGAATTTGTCAATCCTCTTTTAAAGCCATCTAAATTGGTGGTCAGCACTGCATCACATGGCAGAAAATTCCATGTGCTGTGTAAAGAAGTATTTATTTTTGTCTTTCTTGAATCTTCCAGCATTGAGCTTCAATAGATGACCACAGTTCTTGTATTATGGTGGGGGCATATCCCTATCCACTTTTCCCGTACCATGTAGGCCACATCTCTGTTCTACTCTCCTGTTTCCCCCCTAAATTAGGTCTATGGAGACCTAGAGTCTCTGAAAACGTTAATCTCTGTGATGTGTTGGTACAATTTATACCCATTAAGGACACATTCCAAAATGCTTGTATCTGGCCATGGGGGTGGGGGTGGGATTAGGTTTGGGACAAAACAGCAAGGAACACGTTTTGAGAGAGAGGAAGGTCACGGAATTTGCAGAACCCTTTTCGTAACTCTGTAACTCCCTTAAAATTATTAAACCCATATTTGGGGGAATTTGGCCTGGTGCCATCTTTTCATATCGTACAAATATTTAACAATGTGCATAAACATTTAAAGCTGGATCACACTATAAAATGGACTACATGGATCATTAGTTTGACATAGGTACTACTGTTATAATTAGGAGATTCTGACTATCTTGTTGGTCATGCTTGACCATCTAGATAATTGGGAACTAAAGGTCAGAAAAGCAATACTTCCCCCTTCGTTGGCAACAGATCTGACCCGAGACCTATGTTGTCACCCAGTACTAATATGCTCTGCATTAGCATTAGTCAGGCAAACAAATGTATCTGACTTTTACTACTCCTACTACATTTATTATTACCACTACTATATTTTTGTAGGCTTTCTAGAATTGTATTCACTAACATGCATAAACCCAATCAAAACTCTCTCTCCCGCCCTCCCTCCCTCTCCACTTGTTGTTGTTTAGTCGTTTAGTCGTGTCCGACTCTTTGTGACCCCATGGACCAGAGCACGCCAGGCACTCCTGTCTTCCACTGCCTCCAGCAGCTTGGTCAGACTCATGTTTGTCGCTTCGAGAACACTGTCCAACCATCTCATCCTCTGTCGTCCCCTTCTCCTTGTGCCCTCCATCTTTCCCAACATCAGGGTCTTTTCCAGGGAGTCTTCTCTTCTCATGAGGTAGCCAAAGTATTGGAGCCTCAGCTTCACGATCTGTCCTTCCAGTGAGCACCCAGGGCTAATTTTCTTAAGAATGGATGCGTTTGATCTTCTTGCAGTCCATGCAACTCTCAAGAGTCTCCTCCAGCACCATAATTCAAAAGCATCAATTCTTCAGCGATCAGCCTTCTTTATGGTCCAGCTCTCACTTCCATACATTACTACTGGGAAAACCATGGCTTTAACTATACAGACCTTTGCTGGCAAGGTGATGTCTCTGCTTTTTAATATGCTGTCTAGGTTTGCCATCGCCTTTCTCCCAAGGAGCAGGCATCTTTAATTTTGTGACTGCTGTCACCATCTGCAGTGATCATGGAGCCCAAGAAAGTAAAATCTCTCACTGCCTCCAATTCTTCCCCTTCTATTTGCCAGGAGGTGATGGGACTATTGGCCATGATCTTCATTTTTTTGATGTTGAGCTTCAGACCATATTTTGCGCTCTCCTCTTTCACCCTCATTAAAAGGTTCTTTAATTCCTCCTCACTTTCCGCCATCAAGGTTGTGTCATGTGCATATCTGTGGTTGTTGATATTTCTTCCAGCGATCTTAATTCCAGCTTGGGATTCATCCAGCCCAGCCTTTCGCATGATGAATTCTGCATATAAGTTAAATAAGCAGGGAGACAATATACAGCCTTGCCGTACTCCTTTCCCAATTTTGAACCAATCAGTTGTTCCATATCCAGTTCTAACTGCAAATTCTTGTCCCACATAGAGATTTCTCAGGAGACAGATGAGATGATCAGGCACTCCCATTTCATTAAGAACTTGCCATAGTTTGCTGTGGTCGACACAGTAAAAGGCTTTTGCATAGTCAATGAAGCAGAAGTAGATGTCTTTCTGGAACTCTCTAGCTTTCTCCATAATCCACCGCATCTTTGCAATTTGGTCTCTGGTTCCTCTGCCCCTTCGAAATCCAGCTTGCACTTCTGGGAGTTCTCGGTCCACATACTAAGCCTGCCTTGTAGAATTTTAAGCATAACCTTGCTAGCATGTGAAATGAGTGCAACTGTGCGGTAGTTGGAGCATTCTTTGGCACTGCCCTTCTTTGGGATTGGGATGTAGACTGATCTTCTCCAATCCTCTGGCCACTGCTGAGTTTTCCAAATTTGCTGGCATATTGAGTGTAGCACCTTAACAGCATCATCGTTTAAAATTTTAAATAGCTCAGCTGGAATATCATCACTTCCACTGGCCTTGTTATTATCAGTGCTTTCTAAGGCCCATTTGACTTCACTCTCCAGTATGTCTGGCTCAAGGTCAGCAACCACACTACCTGGGGTGTACGAGACATCCATATCTTTCTGGTATAATTTCTCTGTGTATTCTTGCCACCTCTTCTTGATGTCTTCTGCTTCTGTTAGGTCCTTTCCACTTTTGTCTTTTATTATGGTAATCTTTGTACGAAATGTTCCTTTCATATCTCCAATTTTCTTGAACAGATCTCTGGTTTTTCCCATTCTATTGTTTTTCTCTATTTCTTTGCATTGCTCGTTTAAGAAGGCCTTCTTGTCTCTCCTTGCTATTTTTTGGAAATCTGCATTCAATTTCCTGTATCTTTCACTATCTCCCTCGCATTTTGCTTGCCTTCTCTCCCCCGCTATTTGTAAGGCCTTGTTAGACAGCCACTTTGCTTTCTTGCATTTCCTTTTCATTGGGATGGTTTTAGTTGCTGCCTCCTGTATAATGTTACGAGTTATTCAGGCACTCTGTCCACCAAATCTAAATCCTTAAACCTGTTCCTCACTTCCACTGTATATTCATAAGGGATTTGACTTAGATTGTATCTTACCGGCCCAGTGGTTTTTCCTACTTTCTTCAGTTTAAGCTTGAAATTTGCTATAAGAAGCTGATGATCTGAGCCACAGTCAGCTCCAGGTCTTGTTTTTGCTGACTGTATAGAGCTTCTCCATCTTTGGCTGCAGAGAATATAATCAATCTGATTTCGATGCTGCCCATCTGGTGATGTCCATGTGTAGAGTCATCTCTTGTGTTGTTGGAAAAGAGTGTTTGTGATGATCAGCTTGTTCTCTTGGCAGAACTCTATTAGCCTTTGCCCTGCTTCATTTTGAACTCCAAGGCCAAACTTGCCAGTTGTCCTTTTATCTCTTGACTCCCTACTTTAGCATTCCAATCCCCTATAATGAGAAGAACATCCTTCTTTGGTGTCTTTTCTATAAGGTATTGTAAGTCTTCATAGAACTGGTCAATTTCAGTTTCTTCAGCACCAGTGGTTGGTGCATAAACTTGGATTACTGTGATGTTAAAAGGTCTGCCTTGGATTCGTATCGAGATCATTCTATCATTTTTGAGATTGCATCCCAGTACAGCTTTCGCCACTCTTTTGTTGACTATGATGGCCATGCCATTTCTTTTACGGGATTCTTGCCCACAGTAGTAGATATGATAGTCATCCGAACTGAATTCGCCCATTCCCGTCCATTTTAGTTCACTGATGCCCAAGATGTCAATATTTATTCTTGCCATCTCATTTTTGACCACATCCAACTTACCAAGGTCCATAGTTCTTACATTCCAGGTTCCTATACAGTATTTTTCTTTACAGCATTGGACTTTCCTTTCGCTTCCAGGCATATCCGCAACTGAGCGTCCTTTCGGCTTTGGCCCAGCCGCTTCATCAGCTCTGAATCTACTTGTACTTGTCCTCCACTCTTCCTCAGTAGCATGTTGGACGCCTTCCGACCTGAGGGGCTCACCTTCCAGCGTCATAACTTTTATATGCCTTTTGCCTTTGTCCATGGAATTTTCTTGGCAGGGATACTGGAGTGGCTTGCCGGTTCCTGCTCCAGGTGGATCACGTTTGGTCAAAACTCTCCACTATGACCTGTCCATCTAGGGTGGCCCTGCACGGCATAGCTCATAGCTTCTCTGAGTTATTCAAGCCCCTTCGCCACGGCAAGGCAGTGATCCATGAAGGGGCCCTCTCCACTAGCTATCCTCTTTCATAAGATGTGAGAACTATAATACAATAAATATCTATAACTACCTTTTAAAATATATAAAAATGAGTATTTATTGAACAGATCCTGCTATACAAGTAAGAGACTGCAACAGAAAATGAAATGCTGCAGCGTAAAAAAAGAGAATCACCTACTTGAGGTTCATCAGGAGAATGGTGAAGCATTTTTGAATGATCTGAAAGTTACCAAGGGGATCTAAAAAATTTTAATGCCCTAGAAATGGCTTGCCCGTTAACAACAGATCTGATGTGGATACATTCATAATGGCCTTTTCAGTTTCTACTTGGGTTGCATAGTAGCCAGTTGCTCTTTGACTTCCTGAGTTCCCTTATCCCACAGATTGCAAGCTACAGCTGCTTGCAAAACACTGCTAGAATGACAAGTGGTGGCAACCAAGAGGCTATGAATGATGAAGTCATTGTTAAGAATAGAATGCCTTGCAGCATGGCTGCATTGTCTAAGTGACAAAGCTTGCACTAATACTGCTGAGAGCTGCTCATCCATCATGGAGTCTGTGGACATTATCTCACACTATAAACTCTACTTTCAGATGCGAAAAAAAGATGTTCTTGTGAGTCTATTCAAAAACATAGACTCTGCCAATAGCTGGTATAGTGCATGCATGCTGAATAAATACAATGAGAAACTGGTTGAGTGCCTGATTTTGAAATCATGTACATGGAATTTAAGCCAATTAAGCTATTATGTGAATGTAAAAGAATGTTCACATTAAACCATAATTTCAAAAGAGGAAACTGCAGCTGTATCTTCTAGATTTTCCTCCAGAATGTTTTCTGATGGGAAAAATATCTAGCTTTTTTCAGAGTGAGAAACATTATAAAAATTGAAGATTCTCACACCTTGCAAAATGAGAACCTCCACATTCCTCTGCAATCATCATAATAAAAAAGGCGAGTTGGTTAACATTAATATGTTCACTATGACAAAGGCACAGACTGATTCAAGATTTCCAGTGACTTAAACTCTGGGAATAGATCTGAGTGAATACCTTCTGTTTCCTGTATACTGTAAAACCAACAACAACAGGTAGAAGGGTGAGGGAAAGGCGAGAAACTGAACAAAATAGCCCCTTTGAGTTTCATCAAAATCTGCCCCAGGAATCTCAGCACATGCTCCAATACCACCAGGTGTTTGGGGATTCCATCATTAGATCAGCAGGTGATCAGGCCTTTAATGCGATAAACTTGTTGGTGTAGAGCTTATTTCTCTTATTAAAAGTAATTTTTATTCACAAAATTAACAAAAGAAAAAAGAGGGGAGAACAAAATAAAGACAGTAAAATAAAAATAGTATAGCAGCAAAAAAAGAATCAGTTCACAATCTGAATTTACTTCTCTTGATCTCCATGTTTTGTCTTTTCCTGTCACTTCTTAGTTTCCCCTTAATGCAGCCCCCAATTTAAGGACAGGTCTAATATTATTTTATTGTACTACATTGTATTAAGTACTCTAAAGTGCTGTTTGGACTGTGTGTATGTTACACACACACACACACACACACACACACGTGGGTGGCACTGGATTTGGGGTGGGGTACCCTAGACAGCATCTCAAAAAGCAGAAATATCACCTTGCCAGCAAAGGTCCGTATAGTTAAAGCTATGGCTTTCCCAGCAGTGATGTATGGAAGTGAGAGCTGGACCATAAAGAATTGATCGCCAAAGAATTGATGCTTTTGAATTATGGTGCTGGAGGAGACTCTTGAGAGTCCCATGGACTGTAAGAAGATCAAATCTATCCATTCTTAAGGAAATCAGCCCTGAGTGCTCACTGGAAGCACAGATTCTGAAGCTGAGGCTCCAATACTTTGGCCACCTCATGAGAAGAGAAGACTCCCTGGAAAAGACCCTGATGTTGGGAAAGATGGAGGGCACAAGAAGGGGATGACAGAGGACAAGATGGTTGGACAGTGTTCTGGAAGCTACCAGCATGAGTTTGACCAAAATGCGGGAGGCAGTGGAAGACAGGAGTGCCTAGCGTGCTCTGGTCCATGGGGTTACGAAGAGTTGGACACGACTAAACAACAACAATAACACCTGCCTGGATTAGGGACGCGGGCGGCGCTGTGGGTTAAACCACAGAGCCTGGGACTTGCCAATCAGAAGGTCGGTGGTTCGAATCCCCATGACGGGGTGAGCTCCCATTGCTCAGTCCCTGCTCCTGCCCACCTGGCAGTTCGAAAGCATGTCAAAGGGCAAGTAGATAAATAGGTACCGCTCCGTCGGGAAGGTAAATGGCATTTCCGTGCACTGCTCTGGTTCGCCAGAAGTGGCTTAGTCATGCTGGCCACATGACCCGGAAGCTGTACGCCGGCTCCCTCGGCCAATAAAGCAAGATGAGTGCCGCAACCCCAGAGTCGGTCATGACTGGACCTAATGGTCAGGGGTCCCTTTACCTCTACCTTTACCTGCCTGGATTAAAATTCCAGTAAATTAAAATTCTAGTAAATTAACTAGGAGGATTTGAACCAGGCATTATCTTCCAGTCTAATCTCCCTTGAAGGTTTGTTGTGAGGATGAACTAATTGTTTCGATGGCTTGGAGAAATGTAAATATGTAGAAAAAAATTAAGTGAATAATGGGAAATAATTTCCATAGGTAAAACTGAATGGTGTTTTTTTTCCTTTGTCCAGGAAAGAAATCCTATTGTTTTGCATTGAGCCCAATATTCAGCACTTAGTATTCCTAAAAGAAAGGAAGAATATAGTTTCTTGTTCTGACATCATTGCTCTTGTCATATGGACTATGCACACTGTGCTCAGTCCACAATTCCATCTAGCTGGGGATCAGCATGACCTACAACAAGCACTATGCAGACAGCACCATGCAGACAAGCCCTTGGAGTACTGATGGTGAGAACCAGGAAAATGAGCAAACGTGGAATTTAGTACAGACAGCCGTTGTCATGCCAACTTTTGATTTACACAGAACAATTAACCAGGCACAATGCAAAAGTTACTCAATCTCACAGAAAGAGAGAAAGAGAAGTTTTACAAATATTTTAGCAAATATCATTGCAAAGTGGATTATCAAAATACATCAAAATTCTAAGATTCACATTCTCTATTCAATGCAAAATATATTAACTAACACCTGGTTAACATATCGCATCATATGCAAGCAGAAAGCTGCATAATTATTTCTTCAATGAAAAGGGATTTCAAATTTCATTATTGTATCCTGCATACCTTAGAATTAATACACATTCCATTATGACTTTTGGATAATTCTGTGTAACTAAAAAGCTTGAAAATTTAATGCCAATATACAATATCACCTTACCATGTTTGTTTGTCTAACATGCACAACATCATCTTCTTGTTTCTCTTAACATCCATTGTTTATTATTATAAAACCAAGCAGCCTGAAATAATTATTTTTACACTAGAGTCTAGAGGGTTAACCCTTCTTTCCCCAGTCAAGCCCCCACCCCCAGCTTAGAATAAAAGCTTCTAATGGTACCCATAGGTTTATGAGGAGAGGGCGATCCTATTTGCAGTGGGTGGGGGTGGCAAGGTGTAGACTGGAGCCAGCTCAAGGGCCAGAAGTCTTTCCTACATCCTTGCTTTAGAACCTTTCAATATTTGCCTCTCTACAAATCACACCCTTTTCTTCCAAACAAACATTAGAACGATGTGCAACCCAATCTTATGAATATTTATCTTGACATAAATCCTATTTAATTCAACAGAATTATCTCTCCATGTAAGAGTACATAATATCAAAACCTTAGGATCTAATGCTTAGATATTAAACTCAATAACCTAAAAAAACCCCAACAATCAGTAATAGTGGAAATTGAAGGAAGAGGGAGGGTTTCCCCTCCAGGCTCCTAAAGGCTAGTATGTATTAACAGGAGAATAGGAATATTTAAATAAATAAAAAACCTCTCCAGCAAGTGTGATTAATTTCTTTGGGTTTAATATTCAGGGCTATAAAATATGCATCACCTACCCTACAGTGTTTGAGATTTGTCAGGTGAATGCCTCATTAAGCTGCTTTGGGAAGATGTGCTCTCAACTAGTGAGCTTAAATATTTTTGACAAATCTTAAAAAACAAAATGAAGCCATTTTATTTATTTTTAAATGTTTTATGATCAACTTAGCATCAAGGAGAGGTGTGCAAGCTGACAGTTCTGAAGAATGAAAGCTTCCCAATTATCACATTATGCTATCACTGCAGAGTAGGGCAAGCTACTGCAAGCACTTACATGTCACGATGCCTTCCCAAAGGAGCTCTATATACTGATCTCAGCAGAGAGTGTAGTGTGTTCTGTCTAAGATATTTGACTAGGAAACTGCCAGTTGCATCAGTTCATATCCATTGACCCTCCATCCATGTCTTCTAGAACGATAAAAGAGAATACTGTAACTAGTAAATGCTGTTCATCGTTTAACCAAAACCTATCATAAAATGGCTGGCTTTTACAGAATGTATGTTTATATAGGCATTGTGCCTGCCTCCCTAAAGAGAAGGAAACCACATATACACTCTGGGTGCTCCAGATAGGCTTCCAGCAACAGAAACTTTGCATTCAGCAACCTTCTGAACCCAAGGAAACTGATTCAGTGGCTCTACACTGGAAAACCAGTTTTTGTGTACAAATTGTTCTCAGTAGATCAGATAGATGTCTCAGAAATTTATGTGAGTGACTGACTTGTCAAACATAATTTAACCAACAAATATGCCCATGGATAATTTCATTAAGAGAGTTTAGCGTAGACAGTTGGATATTACTGAATCTTGGTTAATCTAGCATCTTGATCATGGGCAGGGAGTCCTTTCCAACTCAAGGCCGCATTCACTTCGGGGCAATCATCCAGGAGCCACACACAAAGAATAGGCTTGGCCTTGGTCAAAGGCAAAACTGTGCAGAGCAGTAGGTGCAAAGGTCATCTTAGTAAAGCAGGTTAGTTTCTACAAGCTCCCACACCCCGCTCAGTCCTCCATCCAGGTAAGCAAGGAACATTATGACAATTCAAGGACACATTCCAGCCAAGGAAAGACACTCAAGAAGGGCACCAGAGCCAGTGAGTGTTGTGGCTTGGGGAAATATAAAAAGCCAAGAGGGCCACATTTGGCCCCAAGCCCTGAGGCTCTCCACTGCTGATCCAGAGGAAGTAATGAAAAACGCTTTTACTGATTTCTGTCAGTTGTGGATGCGGAATGCTGCACCTTCAATAACAAGTAAGCAAATAAACAAAATAGTTAACAATCCTGCTTCTGGAACATGAGTGAATCAGGAAATCCTAAAACTGCCCTCCCACTTTCCAGTCTGTACAACGCTGAATTAAGAATGGAATAAGCAAAGGAAACTGTTGAGGGTCCCAGATCTTTCGAAGCCTCACACCCCAACGCCTGCTTTCATAAGTAGAGCTACTAGCCCTCATGGTATATAGGAAACAGCATGGAAATGGGAGGACTTTGCATACTTACTCTCCTTCACCCGCTCGGTGAATGCAATCTCTGCCACTGCACCCCGAATTGCATTTAAATCTAGTTAATCGATACCGCCTCCCCACCCACTTCAATTACACCCCTCAACAGAATTTCAACACCTTCTTCCACAAACTGTCCATAAGACCCACCCATTTCACGGCTCCCTCGTTTTCTTCTCCAATGGCCAGGCTTTCCTCTCCCCGCCTGCTTTCCCCACTGGGCAAAATTCCTATCCAACGGGAAACCAATATGTTAGACTCCCGCCCTTTTTAATCCTCTTTCTAATGGCTAGGGTAGGCCGTGGTCGCCCGTCCTTTCCCCTCAGTTTAGGGCGCTGGTCCCTCGCGCCGGCTGGCGGATACCACGTCGGCTTCTGACTCCCCCTGCTCGGAATGCGGTGGTTGTTAAGGGGTGTTAAGGTTTTGCCTTGGGAAGCGGCCTCCGTGGGGTAGACCACTTGCGGTACTAGCCCCAAGAGGCTTCTGACAAGGCTCCAGGGGCACCAGGCCGCGTTTCCATGGCGACCACGAGAAGCCGCCGCCGCCGCCGCCTGCGGGAAAGCGCTCGTGCTGCGCAAGTGGAAGGAAGAACGCCGCTAGGGCGCGCGGGGCAGAGAGCCCAGGGCATGGTCGAGATATTCCGCGAGTGAAGCTGGTGAAGCGGTTCCACAGCCCCAAAGACTAGAATTGGCGGGAGCAGCGGATTCACGGGATCCTCACGGCCATCCGGAGCTGCGGACTGCGGCCACGTCCTGGAGGTGGTCTTTCCCTTTCCGCAGGGATTGCGGCAACTGGGAAGTGATCCAGGCCTGCCGGGCCCAGCACAGCCAGAACCGCTTGCCCTGCAAAGGGAGGGGGAGCCTGGCTGCGGGAAACAACCTGGGGGTTTCCTCTGCTGGCAAGGGTTTCAGAAGCAAACCTTCCCAAACGAAGCTAGCGGCATTTGAAAAGATCCTTGTGAAATCCCAAACGCGATTATTAGGAGTGAGCCTCACTGACCACCATGCAACTTAGTTCGGAGTGCAGATGCATAAGATTGCAGAGTTACTGTGGAATGAGTTCTAGCCCCACATGTCAGCAGATAGGTGAAGTGGCTCCCTTCAGTTATCCTGTATCTGATAAAGGAGGACTTTAGACCACAAAAGTTTATGTTGCAACAAATATGTTTGTCTTTAAGGAGTCACAAGACTATTTGTATTTGTGTTTGCTGTAACTGACTTGCGTTTGTTACAAGCAAAGGAAAAGGTCTGACAGACATGTTACCGTCAGGCAAAACAGCCAACCAGCTACGAAAGGGTGGAACTGCAAAAACATGAGAGGGTTGATCAAGCACCTGGCAGGCCACAGGACTGGTGAACTGCATTTGTCTTTGCTTTTGCCGCTTATGGCAACAGCTCGACAAGATTCCTATCCTGCAATGAATGTGAATAAGTATGGTTCCAAGAGTAGAACTCCTTTGAACTGTGGTGTACATCCTGCTTCTTTTCTTTTACTTGGTTAATACCACCATCTAGCTCACTCTAGAGGCACTACTATCAGTTGGGCTGTGTTCCTAGTCTGTGGTCCTTAGCACTGCCTTAGTTTTTTACACCCATCAATCCTAGAAATTGCTCTTTTATAATCCATTGACAGAAGCTGACATCTGCTTTGAAACTAGCATTATAAAAACACTTCTGATTTTGGGAAGCCATGGGAACGGACCCCAGGGTTGGGGAGACAGAAATTTTGGATAAAATTGTAATATATGTAATAATGTCTGTCTTACCAGTCCTACACACCAAATGATTACAAATATACCCAGTGTTAGAGATTGGCTTTTAAACCACTACACCATAAGATACATGAGCTTACCTTTGTTGCCTGCTGACAGATAGCAGGTGTGTGTATTAAAATAGTAGGGAGGAATGTGTCCTTTGACACCTTTTTAAAAAGTCCAGTCTCCCGGTCTCCCACCCCCTTTTTCATTAGATTATTCATCAATTAATCAGATCCCCCCCATTAATCCTCAGTGTCCTACGAAAAGGGGAGCAGGATCAAATAAGGTCATCATTCCAAGGTGACTTTAGAAAAATTAATTCCTGCTAATTATTTTATTTTGTATTGTGATGACATGTGGCTGGAACAAAGTATCTCCAGCTAACACAGAAGTTACAATGGCCTGAGCTGCCTTATATTAATCTGATGACATCCTTCCAAACTAATTATGCCAACACTACAATCTCTTTTTTATAGATAGAAATTCAGTGCCCACCATGAGCAGAAAATTGTACATTTTTTTATGTGCTGCTCAGAACCCTTGGAACTGGAGTAAGTGGGGAGGACTATCAATGCAAATACATTGATACATTTCTGTTGTACATTCACTGACTACGTGCCTGTTTGTTTCTCTTATCTTTCCCCAGGGATTCATTACAGCAGTGCCGTTACTGTTGATGAAGTAAAGGCCTTGGCTGCTTTGATGACATACAAATGTGCTGTAGTGGGTAGGTTTGCACCAAATGTGAAAAATACTAGGACGGGCTCAACAGGCTAGGAGGTGGCACTACTGTAATACCGTATGGATGAGATACTCAGAAGAGTTAATGCATATCTCAGAAAAACAGTATGCAGTGCTTCTCAGACACTTTGAACTGGGACCCCTCTACAACATATATATTTTATATTTCATATTTAATGTCAGTATAAATATGCAATGTGTATTTGAATAGAATTTACATATATTTTGGGAGGAAGGGAGGAAGCCTATCTCCAAAAGGGTTCATATAACTGTAATAGTGTGCTGTCAGCCCAGTGAAAGAAAGTTATTTCTTGTATGACACACCCTGGAATATGCTGGGACCAACAGTTTTAGAAGCATTGTATTATGTACTTAAAGTACACAATAGAAGTGTCTTTGTTGGCATTTCTTGAATTGATGGAGTGGAGATGATGAAAACAGGACAGAATGAAATGGAGAGAAGATTGGAATGTTGGAGGAAATTACCTCTGGCTTCTATCTTTTGCTTTTCTCTGTTACACATTTTATTAAGTTTGTAGCCCACATGAGCATAAGAAGCTGCCTTATACCAAGTCAGACTATTTTCTCAGCTCGCTGAGTACTATCTGCTCTTAACTGGCAGAGCTCCCTAGGTGTCAGACAGAGGTCTTTCCCATCTGTACCCAAGGAAAATAAAGTCCCAGGAACAAATACTCATGTCAGCTTTGTCCCCATATCTATCTGAGCAATACCATCCTGGAGCCAACAATATCAGCCATACAATCAATGACTTATTCACATGCATGTGTTCTAACATAATATACACTGGCATCTGCCAACAATGCCTTTTTGCCATCTACATAAGTCGAACAGGTCTGTCTCAAGGCAAGAGGATAAAGGGACACAAATTGAATGTTAAGAATGGTAACTGGTATCCAATGTGAAGTCAGCAAAATCCTGGGAATCATTATAAAAGTTATTCAGGGCGTGTGCCTGGTTCGGTAACTTCATTAGACCTCTGACAAAGTGAGTTGTGGCCCATGAAAGCTTTTGTAACCAATTACTATATTTGTACTGTGTTTTTCTTCCAAGGAACTCAGGGCGGGATTCACTATTCCCCCCACCCACCCACGTTTTACGCTCGCAACAACTCAATGAGGTAAGTTAGGCTGAAATACAGCAGGTAGCCAAGAGTCAGCCTGTGTGCTTTATAGCTGGCTGAAGAGGGGATTTGAACCTGATCACTGAAATCCTAGATCAATACGTGATTGCTATTCTGTGTCTTGGGTGCTATAGCATTCTTGTTTATGCTGCAACAGAATAACATAGCTATCCCTCTGGACTCCACAAAATTATTTGTTGTTGTTGATTGTGGCATCATTAAGTGAATAATACTAACATTTTGTTTGGTGGGTGGTGGACTCTTGGATACCAGCTTTTCATCAGAATGTGTATCCTGCTAACACATTTGTTTGTGCAGGTTTAGGAGATGGCAGCCTGCCAGTTTCCCTTCAGTCCTCGAGAAATACGTTTGTCCCCTAAGCAATCCTTCCCTCAGGTTAAAAAACTTGGCTAGCTGTTCATGTACCAGGAACCGTGTCTAAGTCACCTCTATTGAATTAAGTTTGCTGAGCAATCCCCCAAGGAATACTTGGCTTACTCTAATTAACTTGCCAAGAAAATTAAACTAAGAGGGGAAGCCCTCTGGTCCTCGGGGAATGTTGTCTTTGTGAATTGTTTTTCCTTGCCCAATAAATCAAGTTTAAATTTTCCTCGAAGAAATCAGCTGAGGCAGGAGCTGAACTCTGAGCTCCAGCGGGGAGAGCTCAGCTACTGTGTATGCATTCTGTATTCATCTTTCTCCTATTTATTCTTGGCAGCTAACCTGGAACGGGTTGTGCTGTCAATTTGGCTGTTGTCTTGACTGTAGCTCTCATCCTAAGAGAACACTCTTACCAAAGTTGTCATGTTTGGTTTTCGGTGCTCCTGTGGATTTTTCCTTGGAAAAGTTCGTTCATACAACTGATATTTTGATGAAAGCAGGGGCAGACTTTGATAATCTTTTGCAATATGGTGCCCTGTTCGAGGCCAAAATTTAGTGCCCCCAAATGAATCTTCTCAAACTTACACCCCCTTGGCTCAATGCCTGTGGGGGGGAACCATCCACACTGCCCTAAATCCAGTGCTGGTGAAGAGAAAGTTAAAATGTTAGATGATACAAGTGGTTTAGATATGGGTCCTTCTGTAAACATTAATAGCAGAAAGGAAACACTGTCCACTTATGGGACAAAGGACAAGCCTTTCTGAGCAATCAAAGCTTATCATCTTAAGACATTGGTTCAGTGGAAGGTTAATCGCTTTTTTCCTACTGTTAGGCATCCCTAAAACTCTTGCCTTGGATGTCAGGCTAGACAAACTGAAGTGTGTTTCTCATTCCACAATCATGGCACTATAGTTGAATTTCGAAAAGCTTAGAAGCTGGAAAGCAGCATCCTCAAAGTGCCTTGCAATATCCTCATCTCGGCTACTATTGAGAAACAACTTACAATGGAGAATGCTCCTCGTTTGACCAGACTGATGCGCTTATATGCATTTATTAAGCATGGAGCAAGTGTATGTCAATATTCTGACTAGGCAGTAGCTGACTGATCAAATCCACTCTTTTTATGTTGGGTGAGCTTCCTAACAGAAGCATCTCACTGGGGCAGAGCAGCTGTGCTAGCTTCCTGTCAGGTAGGTCCTTGCTGCTCTCCTGGAAGGAGGCGGTGAGGTAGTAGAGAGGTTGGCATGATGCAAATGCGCCAGCAGAAGCACTGAATTGGCTCCGCTAGTATGTTTGCACAATGCAGCTCTGCAATTTCTCCCCTTTCCCTCCTGTGACCAACAGTGATCTGCTGGGAAGCTAGTTTACCAAGCAAGCCACTTCTGTTCTCTAATGCACAAAGCTGGCAAAAGGAGAAAAATTGTAGTGTGTTCAGGTTTGCAAGCAACCAGTTTTCCCTGTACGAGAATATCCCTAGCAACGGATCACAAGTGATTTATTCTGGAGGCTCTTGAAGGAATCTAATCAAGAGCTGCCAGAACTATAACTGGAAATGCATGGATCTTTCTCTTAGAGATGCAATAAGTAACATGATGGGACTCTTCAGTTCTGGGACTGAGTCAAGCAGGAACATGTAGAACAGCTTTTATTTTTTACTTACTTTTTTCCTCATCTCAGCATTGTTTGCAACATTATGACAATAACAGTGAGTAAAAGATTAGGCTCTGCCCAATCCATGTGCGGAGAGAAATTACAGAGTCTGAATATCCGGTTATGGGTTGCTAAAAACTTTGAGTTCTTATCTGTGCTGCAGAACATATGCGACAGCAGATTACAGCTAATGAAAATGTGGCCCCATAATCATAGGAGATAATAATAATAATAATAATAATAGTAATAATAATAATAATTTTATTTATATCCCGCCCTCCCCAGCCGAAGCCGGCCTCAGGGCGGCTAACAACAATAAAACAGTACAAAAGTACAGCACGAATAACACACTAAAATCATTCATTATAAAATTAATTAATTCAAGCCACTGGCAACCATTGGGCCAGAGCTCCGCGAAGATTGCCGAGGGAGGGAGTCAGGCTGTGCCCTGGCCAAAGGCCTGGTGGAACAGCTCTGTCTTGCAGGCCCTGCGGAAAGATGTCAAGTCCCGCAGGGCCCTGGTCTCTTGTGACAGAGTGTTCCACCAGATCGGAGCCACGGCCGAAAAAGCCCTGGCTCTAGTTGAGGCCAGCCTAACTTCTCCTCTGTGGCCTGGGACCTTCAAGATGTTTTTATTTGAAGACCGTAAGTTTCTCTGTGGGGCATACCAGGAGAGGCGGTCCCGTAGGTACGAGGGTCCTAGGCCGTATAGGGCTTTAAAGGTTAAAACCAGCACCTTAAACCTGATCCTGTACTCCACCGGGAGCCAGTGCAGCTGGTATAGCACCGGGTGAATGTGATCTCGCAGCGAAGACCCCATAAGGAGTCTCGCTGCAGCATTCTGCACCCGCTGGAGTTTCTGGGTCAGTCTCAAGGGCAGCCCCACGTAGAGCGAGTTACAATAATCCAGTCTGGAGGTGACCGTCGCGTGGATCACAGTGGCTAGGTCAGGGCGAGAGAGGTAAGGGGCCAACTGCTTAGCTTGGCGGAGATGGAAAAATGCCGCCTTTGTTGTAGCTGCAATCTGCGCCTTCATGGAAAGGGAGGTGTCGAAGATTACACCCAAACTCTTAACGGACGGTGCTGGCACTCATTGCGCCTCGCAAGAGATGGGAGTTGCCCCCAATCCCATATCGTCCCGTCCCAGCCACAGGACCTCTGTCTTCGAAGGATTTAGCTTCAACCGGCTCCCACGTAACCATCCAGCCACAGCTTCCAAACATCTGGTCAGTGTGTCTGGGGCCGAGTCAGGATGGCCATCCATCAACAGATAGAGTTGGGTGTCATCGGCATACTGATGGCAACCCAGCCCAAAACTCTGGACAAGCTGGGCGAGGGGGCGCATAAAGATGTTGAAAAGTGGTACCTTTGGGGATGGGGATGTGTGTGTTGGGCATACTATTCTCCATGACATTCCTCCTCCATTTAAAATATGTAGTTCAGTGCAGTCTTCTGTATATAAATTTCACCTAGTCCTTAGAGCAGTGGTTCTCAAACTCCCCCACCCAAACCATTTCCAAATTGCTGGGCATCTTGGCTTAATGATTTTTCTACCTCTTTTAGCATTTTTAATTTGCCGTGCTAGACACTGTATGGTTTTCAATTTTATTTTTACTGCTGATCTCATTACTTAAATATTGTATTGCAATTACAATAAAATAAAATACAATTGAAGAAATAAAAGCAATACAAATACAACTAAAAACCATACAGTGTTTTTTTTTTCTTATAGGGTGCCTCAGAGAAAGGAATTGTACACTCAGGATTAGCTTTCACCATGGAATGTTCAGCCAAGGTAGGTGTCTATTCACTCAATATTTTTCTCTTTTCACTATTTTCACAGGACAAGCCATCACTATCCTACAGATACCTCTCTAATATCCTTCTCTATTCTTCTATAACATTCATTATAATATCATCAGAATAGTGCTCATTGGCATTAATTCCTTGTAACCCACCATTTTCTAAGTTTTGGCTTAGGACAAGAGTACCGGGACATGCTAATTTCTATTTATGTTTTATCTTCTAGAAAATCATGGGTGCAGCCACAAGGTATAACGTAGACTTGGACTGTTGCCTGTTACTGTGCCGTTGAAAATGTCTTTTAAGATTTACAGTGAGTCAAGTTTCACTTCTTGAGACTACCATCCTATTGACCTTCTGTCTGTTGCCTGAAGAGGAAAAAGTGTGTGTTACCTGTGAGAAGTTAGAACATCACAGTGAGTGAAGAGACCTGAGGTGTCGCTGTGAATTTCTGGAAGCTTTCCCTTCTGTTTACATCTTACTCCTCCCTTTCCTGTTCCCAATTTCCTTGATATTTATTTGGAGAGCTGTTCTTTTTTAGACCTGTAGATGGTGCCAGCCGTTTGGAGAAGCTGTTGATTTACTGAATTATACACTGTAGCTGTTCAAATTAACCATCTGTTAGAGTTTAATGTCTTATTCTTTTATTTCATGTGGCTTGCCTTTACCACATGCTTGGAATGCCCTGATCTCCTTGTTTCAGGGTTATGTCCATATTGTAGCTAGCTCAATATTTGGTCCTAAACATTTAATTGCTTCTTGGACTGTGGTAATGGTGCTTTTCCGTCTGTTCAGTGGCCTCTCCTGCAGATGAGAACCATCTTTGCAAGTGAATCTACTTTATTTCTTCCTGCCATAAAGGAGAGATCCTGAGTTTGTGCACATATTTTATTGCAGGCTTGTCCAAGCAAGCATTATCTGCACTATACTCCCCATATACATACTCTCTTTAAATGCGACAATAGAAAATCCACACTAATGTTTTCTGTTCTCTCTTGTTTTGCACCCTAGTTGTGGTGTGCCCTTCATTTGTATTCCTAGTACCTGAATCTCTTTTTTCCACAGCTATACTAAAGGCTTGCTGTTGCCTGAGTCACAGGATTTTCTCAGAATATGTTAGTGAATCTCCACATACTCTTGCTTGATACAAGATACTGAGCCTACCTTCCTGTTGTCAGAATCTCAATTAGAAAAATCAAGTTACTGTTCCTCACCCACTTCCAGCAGAGCTCCAGAATCAGTCACACCTTTGGTTTTAGCCTGTGTCCATCCTGATAGCTGGCCAGAGGACATCTTATTGCATTTTTTGTCTTAACGGCATTTGAAGGGTTGGAGAGTTCTTGGTACAGGTTGTATGTATTGGTGCCCAAAGCTCTGGATAAGAAAACAAGATCTTAGCCTTGGGTATATGAGCATCAGTACACTTGTGTGGCTGTGGGGTCTTTAATGGCATATTCTTTACTGGTAAGGCTGCTTGCTCAAAAGGATTGAATTTGTTGCAAGTATGCTTGCAAGGCTGAGTAAATAGGTGCCAATGAAGTGTTTGTCCAGAAACAACATCACACATGTGTAGTCTAGTCAGCCTGCTGAAGTTACTATTGTTTGTACAATGATATCCAGTCAGTTTGCCTGTTGGCTGAAGGCTGCTTCTCATATTGCAGTAGGCTTAGGACACAGCAAAAGCCAGAGGCAGCTATGGCACCCTGTAACTGTGATTCAGGGAGGATGAATGACAAGAAAGAGGAACCTGCTGCTCCTAGACAATGGGGATTGGACGTTTGGAAAAGATTCACATTGTAACTGTGATATATTGTCTTTTGGTTTACCAGTGATGTGAAGATTTTGGCCCTATGGAACAGTTCAGCCTTTAAAACCTACTCTGAAAGATTGTCGTCCCAGTATTGCTTTTCTAACAAATTTATTGGCTGGAATTTTAACTCACTACTTGCTAATGGTGTTTCTATTCATCCATGTTGTTGGTTCAAGTTTAACTTTGTTTCATACTGGATGGGCACTTCTCATCATCACAGTTGTAAATGGTGGCTGATAGGAATGCCAAATATGTCATAGGTAATGTCAAATTTGGGCCGTATCGCTTTGAGCTTTACTGTGCTGGACAGCTCCTCCTCTCTCCCAGCTGGCACATAGTTTTTCTGTACATTGTCACCTGCAGTTATCCAGCTTCAGCCTTACACACTGGATTGAAAAGCTGTTGTTTGGAGCAGATTAGCAATATCATATGCTCACTAGAGAACGGGGGAGGTTATTTTTGAACCATGGAGCTAGTCTTGTGAATGTTTTAGCATCTATGTTATGATTGCAGATTAGCATGATTTGGACAGGCTTGATTTTCCCCCCATATGGACTTAGGTTGGACTGGGATGTATTGAATAATTCTGAAAACACTGGGATGCCCATAAAAATTCCATTGTGAGATAACTACAAGAATTCACTTCACTATGGAGGAATATGCTTGCATATGAATCCTTACTTCTGTACATCTATCCTCAGTTCTTTATTGAACCTTTTCCAATACATCTGCAATCTCTTTGGAATATGAACATAAGATTGAGTGGCTAGTGGAGACCTTAATATCAGTTTACTTCATGATTTTACTGAAATGAAACATTCTGTGCTAATCTGAATTTCAGCAGATTTGGCTGGCTGATCACAAGCCTTGTCACGTTTTAGCAGCTTGGGGCCTATTTAATTGGTAGCAGGTGTGCCAGGTTCTGCTGCTTGCTGAAAAAGTTTGCGCTTGTCTGCTGCGTTTCTTATGGTAAAGCTGGAGGAAGGATCCTTTCCAGCAGATTCAGTGAATACATCACTGGAAAACAACCAGTACTTCTGGTGACATGCACCCTCCATACAACTTGGAGTGTTGGGAAGAAGTGTTGTTTGCTGTCGCCCTGAGCTTAACTGCTCAGTCATGCTGCAGAAATCACCCCAGAAAGACATTGCAGTCAGCATGGCAAATGGCTTAGTGCAGGAGGAGGCACTGTTGACTGCCTCACTGCTGCTGGTTTGTGTGCTGGGAATGCACCACACTGGCTGATAAGAAGTTTTTGGCTAATGTGCCAGAACTGGAATCTGAATCCAGAGATGTTCCCTGCATGATTTGGACTAAAAACACTTTTCGTGGACTGGAGCCTCTTCATCTTGCTTAGGAACAATACTTTCTAGGATTATTCTCAGCTACCAGGCAGCTGTATTAATCATTTTGGATATTGATATGCATAGTGATGTGATATTTATTTATTTATACAGTAGCATCAGTGGTAGGATGCTTTAAGAGTAATGATCACAAGAGACCTGGAAATAATATTCCAAAAAATGAATGTACAGTGGTACCTCAGGTTACATACGCTTCAGGTTACAGACTCCGCTAGCCCAGAAATAGTGCTTCAGGTTAAGAACTTTGCTTCAGGATGAGAACAGAAATCGGGCTCCAGCGGCACGGCGGCAGCAGGAAGCCCCATTAGCTAAAGTGGTGCTTCAGGTTAAGAACAGTGTCAGGTTAAGTACGGACCTCTGGAACGAATTAAGTACTTAACCTGAGGTACCACTGTATAGAATTTCCATTGTTTGAAGTCTTCAAATGAAATATGAATCAATCTATTAATCTTAGGGATGTTTGCAAACCATCTCTTTATTCATCTAGTCCCTGTACACAACATTGGTTAGCTCTTCATGTATGTTTGCATTCTCTCTAATATAGTTCCTTGTTCAAACACCTTCACATTGGCCTTAAAAATCCAGAATTGCTTTTTGAGATGGACTCTGCATATAACCATAATGAGGCTATACAGTGTGCCTTATTTCCAGCCAAAAGCTTAGTAGGAAAGCAGACTTGGTAGACTCAACCCTCTTCCCACAATATACTAATACCGGCTTCATTGGTTCAGACTTTCCTCCTTTGCTTGTGACCTTGCTTTGCAATCTGGGCAGCTTGGCTCTGGTTGCTCTCCAACAGGGATTGCTTTTCTACTAATAGAAGCAAAGTATCAGGCCACTTTCAGTCTGATACCCACATGACCTGAAGGTGCTGCTGTGCAATGCCAGGTCAATGATTCATAAGACCACTGCCATCTATGACTTGATCATGGATGGAGGACTTGACCTGGCATGTGTAACAGAGACTTGGTTGGATGAAGCAGATGGGCCTGTCCTTGCTGCTGCTTGTCCACCAGGTTTCTCTTACGCACAGCAACCCAGGTCATGTGGGCGGGGAGTGGGGGTTGCAGTGATTTTTAGGAAGTCATTAGTTTGCACCAGGCGTCCTATTGGGAAGACCTAGTTTTCCGAGTGCATGTTCTGGAAGTTGGGCAATAGGGGCAGTACAGGATTCCTTTTGGTGTACCGACCTCCCCGCTGCACCAAGGATTCCCTGTCCGAGCTGCTTCAGGTCGTGGCGGATGTTCTCCTGGAGACACCTAGTTTGGTCGTCCTAGGGGATTTTAACATCCATGCCAACATGACCTTACAAGGGGCCGCTCGGGACTTCGTGGAAAGCATGGCCTCCATGGGGCTGTCTCTGAATAAGTCTGGCTCAACCCATAGCCGCGGACATGCCTTGGACCTGGTGTTTACCTCTATGGGTGTTGGTGATCTGACACTAAGTAAAAGCGAAACGAAAGAAGTGCCATGGTCAGATCACTTCCTGGTGCAACTGGACTTCCCTGCGACCCATCCCCTCTGCAGGGAGGTGGGACCAATTCGGATGGTCCGCCCCACCACTTAATGGATCCAAATGGTTTCCAGAGAGTGGTAGGGGATGCTTTATCCCATGTTGATGGCCTTTCAGCTGATTCCCTGGTGGCCCGCTGGAATGTGGAGTTAACCAGGGCTATTGACCGTTTGGCTCCGAAGCGCCCTCTCCGATTGCATGGAGCCCGGACAGCCCCATGGTTTTCCATGGATCTTAGGGCAATGAAACAATCGTTGAGATGGCTAGAGCGGCGGTGGCGGATAACTCATTCCGAATCTGACCGGACACAGGTTAGAGCTCAATGTCGAGCCTACCAAGTGGCGATAGCGACGGTGAAGAAGAATTTCTTCACCGCCTCTATTGTATCTGCAGAAAAAAGCAGCAGGAGACTTTTTCAGGTGGTTCACAATTTAGCGGAACCACCTGCAACATTGGGGCCCAGTACGGGCCACATGATCTCCTACAATGATTTTGCAAAGTTTTTTGCAGATAAAATCGCTCAGATTCGGGAAGAAGTAGACTCCACCGTGGGAGCAGGGCCGGGGCG